TTTTCACGAAAAACACTGAAAATTTGATAAACACGGATTTTGACGAATGAGGTATCAAATGAAAGGGTATTCAATGGAGACATTAATAACAACAGCCATATCCTCCCGGATGTTCAGTGGAAAAAGTTATGAAAGAAATAGATAAATTTTTATACGCAGACATGTCAAACATTTTTTTAAGGAGAAACCGAGTTGATATTCGTATTTAGGACCCCGAAGAACCCTCAAATACGGAGTTTCATAGCATTCTAAAAACAAAACATTTTTTCTTCCAATTTGAACCAAGGCTAAAGCCTTAGTTTTTTCACGAAAAACACTGAAAATTTGATAAACACGGATTTTGACGAATGAGGTATCAAATGAAAGGGTATTCAATGGAGACATTAATAACAACAGCCATATCCTCCCGGATGTTCAGTGGAAAAAGTTATGAAAGAAATAGATAAATTTTTATACGCAGACATGTCAAACATTTTTTTAAGGAGAAACCGAGTTGATATTCGTATTTAGGACCCCGAAGAACCCTCAAATACGGAGTTTCATAGCATTCTAAAAACAAAACATTTTTTCTTCCAATTTGAACCAAGGCTAAAGCCTTAGTTTTTTCACGAAAAACACTGAAAATTTGATAAACACGGATTTTGACGAATGAGGTATCAAATGAAAGGGTATTCAATGGAGACATTAATAACAACAGCCATATCCTCCCGGATGTTCAGTGGAAAAAGTTATGAAAGGAATAGATAAATTTTTATACGCAGACATGTCAAACATTTTTTTAAGGAGAAACCGAGTTGATATTCGTATTTAGGACCCCGAAGAACCCTCAAATACGGAGTTTCATAGCATTCTAAAAACAAAACATTTTTTCTTCCAATTTGAACCAAGGCTAAAGCCTTAGTTTTTTCACGAAAAACACTGAAAATTTGATAAACACGGATTTTGACGAATGAGGTATCAAATGAAAGGGTATTCAATGGAGACATTAATAACAACAGCCATATCCTCCCGGATGTTCAGTGGAAAAAGTTATGAAAGAAATAGATAAATTTTTATACGCAGACATGTCAAACATTTTTTTAAGGAGAAACCGAGTTGATATTCGTATTTAGGACCCCGAAGAACCCTCAAATACGGAGTTTCATAGCATTCTAAAAACAAAACATTTTTTCTTCCAATTTGAACCAAGGCTAAAGCCTTAGTTTTTTCACGAAAAACACTGAAAATTTGATAAACACGGATTTTGACGAATGAGGTATCAAATGAAAGGGTATTCAATGGAGACATTAATAACAACAGCCATATCCTCCCGGATGTTCAGTGGAAAAAGTTATGAAAGGAATAGATAAATTTTTATACGCAGACATGTCAAACATTTTTTTAAGGAGAAACCGAGTTGATATTCGTATTTAGGACCCCGAAGAACCCTCAAATACGGAGTTTCATAGCATTCTAAAAACAAAACATTTTTTCTTCCAATTTGAACCAAGGCTAAAGCCTTAGTTTTTTCACGAAAAACACTGAAAATTTGATAAACACGGATTTTGACGAATGAGGTATCAAATGAAAGGGTATTCAATGGAGACATTAATAACAACAGCCATATCCTCCCGGATGTTCAGTGGAAAAAGTTATGAAAGAAATAGATAAATTTTTATACGCAGACATGTCAAACATTTTTTTAAGGAGAAACCGAGTTGATATTCGTATTTAGGACCCCGAAGAACCCTCAAATACGGAGTTTCATAGCATTCTAAAAACAAAACATTTTTTCTTCCAATTTGAACCAAGGCTAAAGCCTTAGTTTTTTCACGAAAAACACTGAAAATTTGATAAACACGGATTTTGACGAATGAGGTATCAAATGAAAGGGTATTCAATGGAGACATTAATAACAACAGCCATATCCTCCCGGATGTTCAGTGGAAAAAGTTATGAAAGGAATAGATAAATTTTTATACGCAGACATGTCAAACATTTTTTTAAGGAGAAACCGAGTTGATATTCGTATTTAGGACCCCGAAGAACCCTCAAATACGGAGTTTCATAGCATTCTAAAAACAAAACATTTTTTCTTCCAATTTGAACCAAGGCTAAAGCCTTAGTTTTTTCACGAAAAACACTGAAAATTTGATAAACACGGATTTTGACGAATGAGGTATCAAATGAAAGGGTATTCAATGGAGACATTAATAACAACAGCCATATCCTCCCGGATGTTCAGTGGAAAAAGTTATGAAAGAAATAGATAAATTTTTATACGCAGACATGTCAAACATTTTTTTAAGGAGAAACCGAGTTGATATTCGTATTTAGGACCCCGAAGAACCCTCAAATACGGAGTTTCATAGCATTCTAAAAACAAAACATTTTTTCTTCCAATTTGAACCAAGGCTAAAGCCTTAGTTTTTTCACGAAAAACACTGAAAATTTGATAAACACGGATTTTGACGAATGAGGTATCAAATGAAAGGGTATTCGCTGGAGACATTAATAACAACAGCCATATCCTCCCGGATGTTCAGTGGAAAAAGTTATGAAAGGAATAGATAAATTTTTATACGCAGACATGTCAAACATTTTTTTAAGGAGAAACCGAGTTGATATTCGTATTTAGGACCCCGAAGAACCCTCAAATACGGAGTTTCATAGCATTCTAAAAACAAAACATTTTTTCTTCCAATTTGAACCAAGGCTAAAGCCTTAGTTTTTTCACGAAAAACACTGAAAATTTGATAAACACGGATTTTGACGAATGAGGTATCAAATGAAAGGGTATTCAATGGAGACATTAATAACAACAGCCATATCCTCCCGGATGTTCAGTGGAAAAAGTTATGAAAGAAATAGATAAATTTTTATACGCAGACATGTCAAACATTTTTTTAAGGAGAAACCGAGTTGATATTCGTATTTAGGACCCCGAAGAACCCTCAAATACGGAGTTTCATAGCATTCTAAAAACAAAACATTTTTTCTTCCAATTTGAACCAAGGCTAAAGCCTTAGTTTTTTCACGAAAAACACTGAAAATTTGATAAACACGGATTTTGACGAATGAGGTATCAAATGAAAGGGTATTCACTGGAGACATTAATAACAACAGCCATATCCTCCCGGATGTTCAGTGGAAAAAGTTATGAAAGGAATAGATAAATTTTTATACGCAGACATGTCAAACATTTTTTTAAGGAGAAACCGAGTTGATATTCGTATTTAGGACCCCGAAGAACCCTCAAATACGGAGTTTCATAGCATTCTAAAAACAAAACATTTTTTCTTCCAATTTGAACCAAGGCTAAAGCCTTAGTTTTTTCACGAAAAACACTGAAAATTTGATAAACACGGATTTTGACGAATGAGGTATCAAATGAAAGGGTATTCAATGGAGACATTAATAACAACAGCCATATCCTCCCGGATGTTCAGTGGAAAAAGTTATGAAAGAAATAGATAAATTTTTATACGCAGACATGTCAAACATTTTTTTAAGGAGAAACCGAGTTGATATTCGTATTTAGGACCCCGAAGAACCCTCAAATACGGAGTTTCATAGCATTCTAAAAACAAAACATTTTTTCTTCCAATTTGAACCAAGGCTAAAGCCTTAGTTTTTTCACGAAAAACACTGAAAATTTGATAAACACGGATTTTGACGAATGAGGTATCAAATGAAAGGGTATTCGCTGGAGACATTAATAACAACAGCCATATCCTCCCGGATGTTCAGTGGAAAAAGTTATGAAAGGAATAGATAAATTTTTATACGCAGACATGTCAAACATTTTTTTAAGGAGAAACCGAGTTGATATTCGTATTTAGGACCCCGAAGAACCCTCAAATACGGAGTTTCATAGCATTCTAAAAACAAAACATTTTTTCTTCCAATTTGAACCAAGGCTAAAGCCTTAGTTTTTTCACGAAAAACACTGAAAATTTGATAAACACGGATTTTGACGAATGAGGTATCAAATGAAAGGGTATTCAATGGAGACATTAATAACAACAGCCATATCCTCCCGGATGTTCAGTGGAAAAAGTTATGAAAGAAATAGATAAATTTTTATACGCAGACATGTCAAACATTTTTTTAAGGAGAAACCGAGTTGATATTCGTATTTAGGACCCCGAAGAACCCTCAAATACGGAGTTTCATAGCATTCTAAAAACAAAACATTTTTTCTTCCAATTTGAACCAAGGCTAAAGCCTTAGTTTTTTCACGAAAAACACTGAAAATTTGATAAACACGGATTTTGACGAATGAGGTATCAAATGAAAGGGTATTCAATGGAGACATTAATAACAACAGCCATATCCTCCCGGATGTTCAGTGGAAAAAGTTATGAAAGGAATAGATAAATTTTTATACGCAGACATGTCAAACATTTTTTTAAGGAGAAACCGAGTTGATATTCGTATTTAGGACCCCGAAGAACCCTCAAATACGGAGTTTCATAGCATTCTAAAAACAAAACATTTTTTCTTCCAATTTGAACCAAGGCTGTGTCAGTAGGATACAGTAAATGAAGTTATCTATTAAATTGATGCTTTATTTTTTTTCGTAATAGCTAGATTTCATTTGATAATTGAAAATTACTTGTTATAACGGTAATCTAGGCAGGGAATTGAGGATGATATAACGTTATGAATTAAAGTTTAGTCAAGTAATCCGTTTATTTCCTGTAAGAATTATTTGTTTTTTTTAAAGACCATTGTCAAGTTAACGTGATGAAATATTGTGAAAATCAGGTGGAAACTGCCCTGTCCCTCACTAGGTGCTGGCCCATAAGTTTAGTTATATGTAAGGAATATAAAATTGCCAAAATATAGTAAATTATATCATGAATTTTAATATTTAAATAATATAACGGCATCTTCAGTTGGAGATTATCAGAACGTAATTTACTTCACAATATATTTTTGTAATTTGTAAATTAAGTTCATGGACAACACTGCTAGGTTTAGCCATTGTGTTGCAAGGTTGTCACGTGCTCATTGTGTTTGGTTACAGGCTAAGGTTATGTACTCCGCAATTACCCTTTGAAATACTTCTCTCCCATTATTTATTAAGACACAATGCGTATTGATACGTGTTATTTTTGCTCCTCACGGATTTATCCTGGTCATGGAATCCAATTTGTAAGAAATGACTGTAAGGTATGTAAGATATTATTTGTTTCCATTTCTCCATAGGTTTTGCTTGCTTTATGTTAAATAGTTATTTGTTGTCCATGCTTATTCCTTTCCTGTAGAGACTTATTTTACTATTGTGTTCCTAAACATTGTCATGTACTGCAATCATGGCTAGATGAGTGATTTACTCACAGTTAACAAACCTCTTCCTATTGACATACAAAATTATTTTAAATCAAATGTACAAAATAAATATTAATCCTATCGCACTTTTCTCAATTATCATTACTATGAATATTTTTATGAGGCATATCAACTTCAAAACCGGAGACATAAGATTGATCACTTATTAGACTTGTAATTAAATGCAAATTTTTGTAGTAGATATTACAAGTTTTTTTTTTATTTGTTTAAATCATATTTTATTGGATCACCTTGTTTTTTATAGCCCCATAAATTTTTCTTTAGTTTAAATTTTATTCGGAAACGTATTATTTGTTTTAAGTAATGAAGTTAGTTTTCTCTCTTTGTAAAATTGTTTTAAATAGTTTATAAATACTCTAAATATTTGTTGTTATGTTATTATTATTATGTAATTGACTTAAATGGTTCACCTTTATAAACTTGTTTATAATGAAAACAATTATTTTATAAAGCTATTATCCTTACAATATTCATGCCCAATCCATGAACTAGTACTCAATCTTTTTATGTTTTACTTAATTATCTGAGCTGAAATATTTCAATACTTTATTGTAGATGTTAATAATATTGTAAAAGTCGTTATGTAATTCAATACAATAGTTATTGTTTGTTTTATTTTACAGATATTTAAGTTTTGTCGATCGAAATGCCACAAAGCTTTTAAAAGGAAGAAGAACCCTAGGAAAGTCAAGTGGACCAAAGCATATCGTAAATCTGTTGGGAAGGAATTGGCAATTGACCCGTCATTTGAATTTGAAAGGAGGAGGAATATTCCGCTGAAATACGACAGAGAGTTTTGGCAGAAATCGAGTAAATTATCAATTTCACCCAATTTATTAGAAATTAAAGTTATATTTACTTTGATGATTTATTTACATATTTTGTTTTTTATATTTAGTTGAAGCAATGAAGAAGATTGAGGCCATTAAAAACAAAAGACAGAATACTTACATTATGCAGAGATTAAGAAAAGCCACTGAGCTTGAAACCCAGAGGGATATTAAAGAAGTCCAAAGGGATCTTTCTCTCATCAGATCTCCTGCTGCTGGTATGTAATAAGTCTTTTTATTATCCACATAATACTCTTTTATTATCGATAGCCAGCCTATGTCGTGAATTTTTTATTAAAATCACAATAAAACTTTGAACTAGATACCCCTATACAATCGTAATTACAAAAGAAATTTACTGATTTTATAATTATTTTCCATTGCCTTAACAAACTTAATAGATCTTGGGCTATTCCTTTCCAATTCACAGCATGAAGTTCTACGTCTTAAATTTTAAAAATACTTTTAGCAGACCTTCATTTGGGTTGCTCCTGACACAAAATTATTCATCAATTTTTAATTTATTGAATTGCATCTGCAGTAATTTTATCCACAATTTTTGTTTCAGGTTTAAGAGAAAAAGAAAAAATGGAAATGGAAGAGTCAATAGTAGAAGAAATACATGATTCTGATGATGAAATGAACGGGAACACGAGAATGATGGAAGTGAATGGTTGAATAGTAATTTGTTAATTTTTGGAAATAAATATTTTAATTTTTTACATTTCTCATTTTTTTAAAATAACCAGTCTATAATAGTAAAAGGTTCTTTAACATTACAAAGTTGATGTGCCATTACATAAAACAGGATGAGATAAATTAAATCTATATTTTAATTTATAAATGATTCCAGAGAGATTACAGTCTTAAGTTGCCTTAAAGTTTTTTTCTCTAAGTTTTAAATTAAGAAAGAAAACTGTTTTTAAGAGCTCTTAATCCAAACTGTATGCTCTATGTTATATTTAGCTTTTTACCAAGAACATGACATAAATTTATATTTATATAACATGGAATAAATGTTCATTAAGAGGTATGCAGAATACCTTCAGCTTGTTCTTTTAATATTGCTCATTAAATGCGTCCAAACTAATAAAAATTAGTGTTCTATTAGTATTATGGTTTACCAACTGTCAACATAATTTATTATGCCAATTTTTGTAATAACTTAGCTAATTAAAAAATTTCACCTTTAATATAAGAAAAATTATTTTTGATTAGTTGAATAACACTTTATTTTGTATAAATCAATAATTATTTAAATGTATTTTCTAAAGTTACATTGTCTCTAGAAATTGAAATATTGTCAGAGTAATAAAGCAAGTTGAAAGAAAAGATTTTGCTTATTTCTGTTTTCCTTCACAAAAGTAATGTTGATTTGATTCAACGACGGATGAAATTCATTTTACAGTTAACAATCAACTTAAAGTCTTCAGCTCAGAGACAAAAAACTGTGTAATCCAAAACATTTCAAGGTTATATTAGTTGCCAAAACGAACTAGTGGAAACAGAGATAAAGTAAACAGGAATGCAATGAAAAGTGCTTTGATTTATCTCGTTAAAAATATCTAGAGCAAATTGAAGCTAAGTTATTAAGATCGTTTCTATTTTGACATTTAGAATTGAAATCGGTTGAGTAGGGACAACTCAACAGATGCAAAATAGATTGAGAGAACTTCCCTCTCCCCTTGCATATGGTCCTAAGAAGAACTAGTACGCTATAGATTTATTAGATCGCGCTACACACCGTGGAAGGCGTCGACTCTTTGTTAGATATAGTTCAATAGCGTTGTAGCAATTGGAATTATCTGGGTAACCATGAAGATTGTGATCAGCATTGAAAAGATTGGGTCGAAAGAAAAAGTGTAATGATCACTTTTTTTTCTGTACTTATAAATTCAGAACGGACTAGATTCAATAGAGGTGGTTTTAAAAATAAATTAAATAAGGTAAGATCAGCAGCAGTTGATTAGCATAGTCCAGCCAAATTGTAATGTAGGGAAGTTAACTAAATAAATAGTGATAGTACGGAACTTCATTAAGCCTTGTGAAATTTTATCAACACTGACTACTCCACAAGAAAGTTCATGGATTTATTAAAGTCAGCCATTATTTGTTCTACGCATACTATTAATAGTTTAGTGCAGACATTTTATTCGAATAATTTCCTTGAACAACCGCTTTGGAAAATATATAAAACTATAGTTTGCCAAGAAGGCTGGCAGTGGGAAAGTGATGTTAGAACATGACAGAGGAAGAAACCATCCCATCTTCATAGATTCAATTGGAATATAAATAACTTATCATTATATTAAGTGAATATTTGAAGGAGACGGTTGTAAAGAAACAAGAATTAGTAATTTGCTTAATTTTTACTTTATAATAATAATAACAAATTAATGGAAACTTAAATTGGAAAAAAAATTTTTTTGCAAGCTACAAAATACCTCTTAAAACGGAGGTAGAGCAGCTATTAGAACGAATGGCATATTGCATACCGCATCTATAGGTTAACGATATGAAGACCAAAATAACTTATTAATTACACCAGAATTATTTATATTCTATAAAGATAAAATTGCAATCCTTATTGTTAATTTTTCAAAACTATTTACAAACGAAGTAGATTGAGTCAAGTAATATTTTTTTATTTCATTTTTGACACATTTAATGAACAATATAGATTGTCAGACGACATGCAGAGTATTGTAAATACAAAAGAAACTGAAAATCAGATTGAGCTGTTCAACTGTAAGCGATGGTTACAGTCTTAAATAAATTATAAAACACGCCAGGATACAATGTTATATGAAATTACAAAGACAAACAAATTTTTAAATCATGCTTCGAATTTAGTTTTCTCTTTGGTTCTAACATGTTCAAATCCACTTTTTTATTGTTAATATCTTTATAGGCCTCATGGCGTCATATAAAAATACTCAAAACGTCTCTATTCGTATTTAAATGCAACTCACTAGTTATTGCCGGTACACAATTGTACAACTTGAGAATTTTTTTTTTATTCTATTAAAAGTAACAAAGTTATATATTGGTACTTCAGTAATATAATATAAACTTAAAATTTTAAAAATCAACTAAACTTTTTTTTAATTATTTGTAATTACTAAAATAAAACAGTGTATTATATATATGTATACAAAAGAAAAAATAATAAAATGATAACAAATATCCACAACAATTATATTACACTTTATGTAATCTTACCTAAGGGAATTTTATACTTACTCTCAAGTATGACATAGAAATAAAAAACAACTGGTTGTACATAATTTTATACATAGAAATAATTTATTTACAATTCAACTAATTATTACTATATATATAAATATTTACAAAGATTCAAGAAAATACAATGCTTATTTAGTTATATAATGTACAAACTCCGATCTTTGTGGTACAAAAACGTTATATTTTATTATCTTCAAACAGTTAAGTCTATTTGTTATAATTTAAAGACGATTTCGTTTGTTTTCCTTTTATTTTACACAATTCTTCCCTGTCAAGTATATCTTATTTTGATTAATTATCTGTTCCGATACAATGGTTAACCAATGAAACAAATTTACTAATTAACACAGCTGATACTTATAAAAAATATACATTTATCTACAATTTGTATATTGACTCTAATCTTTGATTCTTTAAAAGATTTAATTTTAAGAAGGTTAAGATAATTCAACCTCAGTACCATTAGGAAAATTTGTAGAATTTCATCATGATACATACACGTTTTCAAAACTATATTAGTTGAGTCAACATATTTTAAAAATAAAAGGAAAAGAATATAAGAAGAGGAAAACTAAATATACAAATATTAATAACCGGAATTCGGAGGGCGTCCCAATATGGGATATATATTTACAAACGCCTGGTGGAAGCATATCACATACTTCTCTTTAGATAAAATACATAAATATACAAAACATATTACAATAAAAAAAAACTTCATGTTCCCTAAATATATACGATTATTAATCACTGTCTGATCCCACAAGATTTTTTTTCCTCTTTTTTGCTTGTTTAGGCTTAACAATTTCTTCTTCCTGTAACAAACATTCCACCAAATCAGTACTTAAACATAAAATTTTGTTATAACTTCTTACTTTAAATCTATTTCTTTAACTCTATAAATATGTTCAAAAATGTTATTGCTTTTATTTTCAATAAATAGTTCTCAAAACTTAATTCACAATCAAAAATAGTGGATGCCTCTTTTGCTTATCAAAGTTATGAAATTTTGTTGAAATAAAACATAATTTTTTGGTGCTAATATGCAACTCCTAAATATTTATTCCTAGTGTACTTTATATAAAAGCAGAGATGGGCATATTTATATTCAAAAATAAAAATACGAATACCATTTATATTTATGGTAAAAATGAATATAAATATGAATATATTCATATTCATAAAAAGTAATATGAATACAGCAGATACATATTCATCGCTGTAAATATAAATACGGCCGTATTCACAATTGTAAAAGTGAAAACAGCTGTATTTACACCTGCAAAAGTGAATACGGCAGTATTCACGTTTACTAAAATGAATACGCTTAAATTTACAGAAGTGAATGCAAATATTTTCACACAATCTTATTAATTAATACTCTTATTTATTAAAAAAAATGTATTTATTAAATTATTTATTTAAAAAAATAGATTAACTATATATATATATCATTTTATTTTATATTTAGTATTATATTCATCCTTTTACAATATATTTTAATTATGTTACAAGGTATAACATAATTATACAAGGTATAACATAATTATTATTATATTAATTATCACTTGTAATGTTTGTGCGTAATATAAATTCTCGAGTCTTTGTATTTACACTAGTAAAAGTGAATAAGGCAGTATTCACGTTTATTAAAATGAATACGCTTGAATTTATAGAAGTGAATGCAAGTATTTTCACACAATCTTATTAATAAATACTCTTATTTATTTAAAAAAATTGTATTTATTAAATTATTTATTTTTAAAAAAATTACTATATATACCATTTTATATTTATATATATTATTATATTCTTCGGGCATCGCCTCCCTCCCTCCCCTCTATAAAAATTCTGAGTAGGTGAGAATATTAGAATTACATAAAGAGGCGGTACTCTCGTGAAAAAACTTGAAATAAAAACCTTATCATCCAGATTACAAGAGCCTGCAGACTCAGTTTCGCTATCTACTTCATACATTGTTCTATATGCAAACCTTAACACATTAACAAATATATTCACATTACACACTGAACGGCAGGTCCGGAAAGGTCACTATTCAAATTTGACAGCTCTTGCTCCTTTCCTTGCTTCAACTTAAGTCTGTCGTGTCCACGTATTCCCCGATTGAATTTCCAGGGTATCGTTCCGAGTGTTGTACCTACTCTGGCAGTCCATTAAACTTATATTTCTTGCCATTAGCAGCCCACAAGTAAATAGTGCACCGAAAAGTCTGTACGTCTAGGATCATTGACCCCACCCTCTGGACCCAATAAAAAAAATGGTTGAAATTTATATTACAAAAATTCCGAGTGACAATTAACATAATATATTGCAAAACGAAGAATATATACTATAAATAAAAATAAAATGTGATATATAGTAAATATATTTTTTTTATAAAAACAATTTAATAAATATATTTTTTTAATAAATAAGATTGTGTAAAAATATCTGCATTCACTTCTGTAAATTTAAGCGTATTCATTTTAATAAACGTGAATACTGCCGTATTCACTTTTACAAGTGTAAATACAAAGGCTCGGGAATTTATATTACGTACATACATTACGATTGATAATTAACATAATATATTGTAAAAGGTAAAATATAATACTATATATAAAAATAAAATGATATATGTAGTAAATATATGTTTAAAGTAAATAATTAAAAATAAATACATTTTTTTTTTAAATAAATAAGAGTATTCATTAATAAAGTTGTATGGAAATATTTCCATTCACCTCTGTAAATTTAAGGCCATTTATTTTAGTAAACGTGAATTCTGCCGTTTTCACTTTTACAGGTGTAAATACAGCCGTATTCACTTTTACAATCGTGAATACGGCCGTATTTATATTTACAGTCGTGAATATGTGATAATTGACATAACATAATACATTGTAACATAATTAAAAAAGCATATTGTAAAAGGAAGAATGTAATAATATTTATACAAATGAAATGATATATATAGCAAATCTATTATTTTTAAATAAATAATTTAATAAATACATTTTTTTTTATAAATAAGAGTATTCATTAATAAGATTTTGTGAAAATATTTCCATTCACTTCTGTAAATTTAAGCATATTCATTTTAGTAAATGTGAATACAGCCGTATTCACTTTTACAGGTGTAAATACAGCCATATTCACTTTTACAATCGTGAATACGGCCGTATTTATATTTACAGCCGTGAATACGTATCTTCTGTATTCATATTACTTTTTATGAATATGAATATATTCATATTTATATTCATTTGTACCATAAATATAAATGGTATTCGTATTTATATTTTTGAATATAAATATGCCCATCTCTGTATAAAAGACGCCCTCAGAAGAGCCTATAATCAATCCCATGTTCTGCTATTTCTGAGCCAGGTTGCAAGTGGTCAGTACTTGATCGACCAATAGATTCCCATTCTCTCATTCTTGTTCTTCATCAAAAGAAACAATAGAACACATTACTGCATTCCAATATTTTTTGAAAATAATTGTATCATGAATTTTTCTAAAAATTAAAAGTAAAAGCAGGTAAATTTGCTAATTACCTCACTGCTGAGATCGGATGAATCAGAAATAATTTCCTTCGGCGGCTTCTTCTTGGGAGGTGGGTTCGCAGGCCTCCTTCCCCTCCCGCCCTTCCCCCTCCCGCCTGTAGTTTCCTCCACTTCTACTAAAGCAAACAAGTTGCTGAACTGGCTCTTTTGGGACTCGCTACATGCGGACTGGGCTTGTTGCAGCGCTTTCTGCATAGCATCAAATTTGTAGAGCTGCTTGGTGCCGCTCCTCAGCCTGTCGAGGTGGCCTAGGATCTTCTCCGCCGTGGGAGCTGAGCTGGCGCGCGTCCCCGTCCGCTTCCTCTTGTTGGGAGAGGCGGCTGCCGGGCAGCTCCTAGACAGGAGTGTAGCAATCAGCTCCGCGAGGGTGTCCTCATGCTCTTTGCACCACGCCAGCAGGACCGACATTACAAACATATCACAACTTGGTCCAACATCTCGGCTCATCACTTGCTTCACCAGATCAGCGGTCGGCCTGCACATTCAGAAATAAAAATTAATACATAATAATTAAATTTAAAGTAGGCAATATCTTCATAAGAGCGTAAAATAAGAAACTTGTCATTGATGAAGGAAAATTTTATCATTTAATAAAGAAAAAATAAAGCTTACTTCACAAAATAAGAAAAAAAATTTCCATAATTTTCAGACAGATGTTGAAATTATCTGCTGTCAATTACAATATTTCTATTTTAAAAATATACCAATTATATAGATAAAATATTTTTCTTTTTACCTACTGTTATTGTAGTTTACTTTTAAATATGGAAGATGGAATTTTTTATGAGATGTTTAACCTGTTAATCGGGGAATTCCCTTTTTAATTATACAGCATATAAAGAGTGCAAACTCTTTCACTAGGACATGTCAGTACGACACCTCTGGAGAAAGTAATTTCACATTTTTTTTTAGCCCAATACCTTTGTTCTTCGAAAATATACATTTCAATATTCAAGGACATATTTATACGTCCCACCCAGTTAACAGGTTAAAAAACGAAACTTGAGCATTTTTACAAAACTTGTAAAACCACGATGACTCTTTTAGCAGGGTTTACCTTTCCTGCTGAAGCATGAGCAGTATCGCCGTGAGGGCCTCGGCGTGGCTGGCAAAGTCCAGCTTCCCCAGGACGGGCATGATGGTCTCTATGGACATGCCGTGCGCCGACACCAGTTGCCAAAGACAGATCTGTTCAAACGTCTCCCACATCAGAGACGCTTGTAGGATGTGCTGCAAAGAGTCCTCCTGAAGTATAGTCAAGCTCCCTGATTAAACACATATAATTTACATTAATTGACTTTATAATATTATTATTACTAGATTTAATTAGGAGTTTTCGTGCTGAAACTCCAAACCTTTTGTTTAGTAAGTTTTCAAGGATCACTTAAACATCATTTTATAAATAATAATAATAATAATAAGGCTTAGCGAACCCGGAGGTTCGATGCCGACACCACCAATCGCCTGTTACACACCTCCCTCCACCGTTCGCCGTCCAAACCCAGTCCCTTCAGATCAGCTTTAATGCAATCTTCCCACCTTCGCTTCGGTCTACCCCTCCGACGCTTACCATTCGGCACAGCAAATATTAACCTTTTAGGAATTCTCTCGTTACTAAGCCCAACAACTTTACAAGCCCATTTGATTCGCCGCGATGAAATTACCTCAATTATATTCCCCGGATATAGTTCACGCAATTCGGCGTTGTGTAACCGTCTGAACTCTCCGGTTAACTCATCCTTCTTCGGTCCGAATATTCTACGCAATACTTTATTTTCAAAAACCTTAAGACGCTGCTCATCCCTTAATGTAAGCGGCCAAGTTTCGCATCCATAAAGAACTGTAGGCAAGATAATTGTTTTATAGATTCTAATTTTTAAGTTTCGGGACAAGAGGCGCGAACTGAGTAGTTTTGTCACAGAAAAATAACAAGCATTCCCCGCCTTCAGTCTAACTTTAATCTCTTCTTCAATTTCGTTTTTTCTAGTTATCGTAGAACCTAGATACCTAAATTTATCTACCTGTTCAAACATATTACCATCTATATCGATATCACCAGTAGTATCGCCATTTTTGCAGCTAACCATATATTTTGTTTTATCCACGTTTATTTCGAGTCCTAGTTCTTTACCGGCTTTCATTAACGTTGTCGTATTTAGTTTTATAGTTTCAACGTCTTCGCTTAACAGTACCAGATCATCAGCATAGCCCAGCACGGATGTTGTCCCGCCCAGATCCAACCCTTTCTCGGTACGCATTACCTCCCTAATGGCATGTTCTAATGCCAAATTGAACAGGACAGGCGAAAGAGAATCCCCCTGTTTTAAGCCCGAACGAACCTCAAATTTTTCGGACAAATTATTACCGATTCTAACTTTATTGAGTGTCTCCGTCAAGCACATCCTGACTAGATTTACTAGTTTTTTTGGAATCCCCTGCTCGATTAGAATATTATACAGTTTCTGGCGGTCAATAGAATCGTAAGCCTTTTTAAAATCTATATACAGCTGGTGAACAATACCGTTATACTCCAATTTTTTCTCTAATATTTGCCGTAAAGAAAATATTTGATCAATAGTCGAACGATTCCGTCTAAATCCGCATTGGTAGTCTCCGATAATTTCCTCTGCGTATTCCGTGATTCGACTGGTTAAGATTACAGTGAATATTTTATAACATACCGGAAGGAGTGAAATTCCTCGATAGTTATTACAATCCGTCCTCGGACCCTTTTTGTGAATCGGAATAAGAATAGATTCTTTCCATTCTTCAGGTAATTTCTCGTTCACCCAGATCTTTTCAACCAACCGATGTATTTTAGAAACTCCAGCTTCCCCGCATGCCTTAATTAGTTCAGTAGGAATATTATCGATTCCCGCTGCTTTATATGATTTTAATTTACCGATAGCTACTTCAACTTCCTCTTTACTTGGTCCTTCTATTAACGGTTCAGCACTCTGGTACTCAGAAGGAGGACACCGATCATAATTTCCCGTATTTAAAATGTTGTCAAAGTGGTCCTTAAACTTATTCAATATGTCAACCGGATCGGTCAGAATATTGTTATTATCATCCCTAATTCCAGACGTTACGGGCCCTACATATTTACGTGATCTGTTTATACCTTTGTACATGTCTCTTACGTTATTTTCGATTCTATTAGTTTCTATTTCAATTATTTTATTTTTAAGATACTCCCTTTTTTTATTTTTGAGCAATTTTGTCGTTTCGTTCTTTGAGATTCGGAAGTATTCCAGATTGTCTTCGCTAGGATTATTTAGAGCTTTTAATTTAGCGGCTTTCCTTTTTTCGCACATGTTTAAGCAATCTTCATCAAACCACGGTTTGTTATTCTTATTTTCCTTTTTTCCTAGACACGAGTTACCGACCGCTTTAATATTATCCCTGATCTCTACCCATAACTTGTCAATATCCTCGTGGTCCTCGTCAGGAAGCTCTAAAGCTTCAAACCTATTCTTAACATCTAGCTCGAATTGGTTTCTAATTGATGGATTTTTTAATTTTTCCAAATTAAAATTCTCAAAATCGAAACGGTTTTCTTTTCTCTTTTTTATATTAAGTTTTTGTCGAAGTTTCGCGATTACTAATTCATGATCCGACCCACATTCTGCTCCGCGATAAGACCGTACATTGATTATACTGCTTTGCCAGCTGTGTTGTATCAAGACATGATCGATTTGATTTCGTGTTTGCGAATCCGGCGATGTCCAAGTATATTTATGAATATCCTTACGTTTAAACGTCGTACTTTTAATTACCAGGTTTTTCGAGATGGCAAAGTTTATCAGACGGATCCCATTATCATTACTATATTCGTGCAAACTTTCTTTACCAATCGTCTGAATATAAACTTCTTCTCTTCCTACCTTTGCGTTCGCGTCACCTACAATTATTTTCATGTAGTTTCGCGGTAGTTTATCATAAACCCATTCGAGTTTATCGTAAAATTCACTTTTGACTTCATCGTCACTGTCTTCGGTCGGACAATGTATGTTTATTAATGCGATTTTAAACCAACGTCCCTGAAATGTAGCTACCGAAATTCTATCACTAAAGAATTGTACGTCCCTCAAAGCGGATAGTAATCTACTCCTAATTAGAAACCCGGTACCTAAACAATGATTCCCGCTTCCTCCGTACCAAATAGTGTACTTTCCTTCCCTCATCGAGCCCTCCCCTGGCCAGCGAACCTCTTGCAGAGCCACGACATCCAAATTGTACCCATTTACCTCATTCGCGACCGATTTTAGCCCCCCTGCTGTGTTTAAACTCCTTACGTTCCACGTACCAATATTTAAATCCCTATATTTCAACTTGCGGCATGAATCCCCTAAAGCAGTATAAAAAAATTCAAAAACTATATAAAAATTCATTTTATATAGTTTAATTATTTTTGGCCTAGAGTAATTACCATAGTAAGTAAAAAAAAATAAATAAAAAAACCCAAAATCAAATCCTGGATATGCTACCAAATTCATTGACAGTCAACTACATCTTATCTGATCTAATCAATTATAAGGGCGACCGGCCACCAAAAGCACATCGAAGCTGAGCACAGTTATGTGGTATGGCAAGGGTCAGCCCAGCTCAGCTTCCTCCACCACAACTACTCGCAACCGTGTGGCTCTGTTCCTCAGTGTCATCCTTTTTTCCGTTTGTTTTCACTGCACAACCTCTCAAATTATTTTATTTTGGTTCAGTGTAAAATATGCAATGGATGTGGAAGAATTCTAAATCGAATGTGAACGTAAAAATATTAGATTTTTCTTTTCAATTGTGACATGTTCAACTTTTCTATTTTTTAAATGTCACATATGCTATTTATACTTTTTTAAAAAATTTTATACAGAATATGAGAAGGATACCGATGCAAGGCGAGTTGCTGACTGTGTGAGAAAACTCAGCTCCCAAATATCTTTGATTCTATTATTTTTGAACTTGTATAATTTAACCTAGCCCTATCTTTACCTAATGAAGTCATTATATTTTTAAGGGAACCGTATTGATACATTTTCATTAATTCAATATAGTATATGCTGCTTCAGTTTTAGTTGACTTTTTTTGTTTTGTTTTTTAAATGACTGAGAAATCCATTAGTTCTCTGAATCACATATATATAATGTACCGCAATTAAAAAAAAATTAAAATTGGATTTAGAAAAATAAGAAAACATAACTTCTAAAATAATAGACAAAACAGTGAATTTTATGAAAGTGGAGGATTGCATTTATTCATTCTATTTCAGCATATTATTTAAATATTTCAAAAAAAATTCTCAACGTTCAGTAAACAACAAACCAGTTAATATTTGGTCAGTTCCACCAGTCATCAACATCACCATCATGGCAGAAAAATACATCACATTAATATACAAAGATACAGGTCAGGAGTTACAACATTGGAGTAATGCACTATCTATACTATATGTAATATGTTGATGTGAGATGTGCTACATCTGGTTCGCACTTATGAAATCTTATATTTTTCTAACCTGACTGGTTGAATTGATGAAGGACGGGTTACGTTTAAGAGAATTAATGCTTTATAATGAAATGTTTCAATTATATTCTGACAATATTTGATCGATTCTTAACGTTTTTCAAAATTAAAAACATTCATTCAAGCCTATATATAAAGTTACCTTGAACAACACGGCACACAAGTTCCTGCAGCTGACGCGCGTCGACGCTCGACACAACTAGGTGGAGGAGATTAGCGTGACCAATTGCGATATTAGGGAATTCGTTATAAATGGCCGGAGCTAACCAGCATAAAAGGTGAACATCGTCTTCTTGGCATAACTATAATAAAAGAAAAAGTTGACTCATTAATAAGTTACCAAGCAAAAAAAAAATTTTTTTTTAAATAAAGAAAATTTAAATATCTACCTTGAGATCACTCAAAATGCATTCTTCCAATTTCTTATCTAAATTATCACAGAATTCTCGGTAGGCATGCATTTTATCACTTCTAAAAAAAAAAAAAATAATAAATGAAATTAAAATAAAGAGTACAATAATTAAAGGAAACTTGTGCATACATAAATAATACTAAAATAAGGATATCATAAAAAATATGGATTCCTGATTAGAAAATTTTGAATCACTGATCTATGTGTTATTAAGATAAACCTATTTTTAATTCCCTCATTAAAATGTTTTTACCATAATTTATAATCCATCAATTCTTTATCAATTTCTGTCAATACCTCTCTGTTTAGCCATCTATTTAAAACTAGAGTTTCTCGACATTATGGTCTTTTGTTTTAATTCTTTTATTCATGACTTTGATTTTATTTATAATAAAATATATGGAAGGAATTACACAATTCAAACTAACTTTAATTTTAAATTTTGAAGGTAGGAATGAAGTTATTGATTAAAGAAAAAAATAATTCATAAAAATTAAGAGATCATTTACTGTGTATAGGCCTCTGGAACCAAACAATATGACAAGTTGAGCAGATAGAAAAATTATGAATAAACTAAACATAGAAATAAATCAAGAAATCATCTATCTATCATAGCTAACAAATACATTTTAATAAAAGAAATTTACTATGACATCTGTGACAATAACAACTTTAAAGTAATGCTACATAAATGATTAAAAATAAAGTTGAGTGAATTTTGTCAAGTATTTTTGAGCCTCGGCAGGCTCAATTGATCGCCTACGACGGACATAACGTGAAGGTGAGGGCATAGGCAACCTGATCAATATCATAATTTATTTAACTTATAACTTATTCCATTTTTTCTAATATATCCCAATAGGCCCATTAATTTAATTAATGAAACCAACAAATAGTCATGTGGTGAGACCATTATTAAGTATTGACAATATAAATTTTAGATTTACCTTTTAAGATTTATTTTTTCATTACTTATCATGAATTTTCTTATTTATATTTATTTTTATTAATTAAATTATTTTTAAAACTTGCAGATTTATTATGTTTTTACGAGCTACTTTAAACCAACCGTTACCATGGCCCAACTTCGCACCAGCTTATAAAAATATATTTTGTAAACAATTACTTTAAAATTAACTTATGTTTTTAAGTTTAATTTATTAAATGTAACAAATATGTAGGTATAATTAAGAAATCATATTAAATTAAGACATATTTTTCAAATTCAACAGCAATAATTTAATGGTATTCATTAATTTCAGTATATGGAAATTAATTAATTTTATTCAAAATCTATAATCATTTTTATTTAACTAAATATCTAATCAACAAATTCCAATTTTTGTAATAATCAGTTAATAAGTTAATTTTAATAATTAATATTAGGTTCATATCTAAATAACTCTACGATTTCTTAACAATAATTGTCAATAATTAACAACTAAGAACTGTTATTATATACAAAAATTATTTCGCTACTATTAGTGCAAATAGTTTTAAGTAAAAATTGAGTTTTTTTTTTACAAAAGAACATAAAAAGTGATCATTTCTTTATGATTTATTGGTATAATTTTATATTTTATTTTCCTCTGCCATTTTCTATAGTAGCAGACTACTTACTGCTGTTACAGACTACAAAATGCCATCTTCAGCACAAATAGAAACATCAAGGAAAATTGTTACATACAACATTTTCACACTAACAGCAGCAATATAATATGTTAATTTATAATAAATAAATATAAAATATATATTAGAAGTCGAAAGGTCAGTAAGTGTAATATTCAAACTAACATAAAACACAAAGAGCGACCGCCAAATATTTAAAGAAATTTTCTACAAAAACAGAAAATAAATTTTAAATGTTTCTATCCATAGCGATCTCTTCAATCAGCCCTAACGAAGGCCTGAACTTTGGGTGGAAACGACGGCAAATGTTAAAATAAATATTATATATTTTTGCCATTTTTATTTTGACTGATCACCCCAACTATCCTTCTCTTCATTAGTCACTACTGTCAACCATTTACTCACAATTAAGAATCTTAATTTTAGATTTTTTGAGAGTAAAGGACATTTATCGCGTCAAAAAGACCCCTGATATAATTAAAGCACAAAGAACAACCGTTAAATATTTAAAGACCTCTGCTGCAAAACTTTTTGAGAGTAAACGACATTAATCTTGTCAAAAAGACCCTCGATATAATTACAGCACAAAGAGCAACCGCTAAATATTTAAAGAGCTCTGCTACAAAACTTTTTGAGAGTAAAGGCAATTAATCTTGCCAAGAAGACTCTCGATTAAAAACAAACTAACAACAGAGTCGATTACCTAGAAGACTTGCTATTTGTCTCAGCTTCTTGTGCGCAGGCACTCGCGTGGATATAGTATAACAGGAGGTAGCCGAGCCTTGGTTGGTGGATGTGCATCTCCGCCAGCAGGGTGAAAAGGGGGTTCTGACGATCATCGTAGTCGGACGTTTCAGTCACGTTCCTCAGTAGCACAAACAGCGGCTTACCTATGCTATCTTCCAACGTCCTAAACAAGGAAAAAAAAAAAAAAAAAATCAATAATTTGACAGCTGAGTAATAATATTGGGAGATAGCAAACTTGAATTCCCATGGAATTATAATTCCAAAAGATATAAACAATATCTAAAAGAAAGCAATATATTTTGCAATTTTAATGAAAAATTCCAAGAAAAAATATTTAATTCCTTCAAAACCAGAAGTGTTAGGTATTATCTTTTGGTTTTCTAACATTTTAGGTTCGAAGTGTTTCTTCACTTGTTTGCTTAAATTTGAACAGAACAATCATTACCATTCTAAATAGCTTATTTGACAGTATACCTCAGGTAATTTAAAAATTAACAGATTTTTTAATACAAATATTCACACTATATTTCTTGAAATACTAAAACATAATGTAATTTGTCAATTAAAACGGTGATAAATAAAGAAATAATTAAATATTTTTCTGATCTTACTTCTTTCTAACACAAAATAATAATATTACCAGCCGGATTCAAATAATCAGGTCACCATATTTTTTCAAAGGTTTCCTACTAACTTTTGCAACCACTAAACCTCTTGAGGTTAGCAGATAGATATTTCAACTTCACCTGTGGTGTCCAAAACCTCACTAATTTCTTCTTTTTTGACTTCGTTAGTTGTTTTCAGTAAATGAATTTTATTTTGAGCCTTATTTATTTCTTCATTAAATCAATGAATAATTATTTACAAATTGAATGTTAAAAAAATCTTAATTTGAAATGCTGAAATTAACATATTAAACATCACATTAAATCATATGGTGGCCTTTATGACCAACCAATGTTCATGATATTCCATAAAACAGATTTTCAGAAATGTGAATTATTTGATCGAACAAATTATTTTTTTTTTAAATATTCAAATAACAAATTTCACAATTTTCTAATCAATATGAGGATTTTAATGAATGAGTAAATAAAATAAATTAACTAATATTTTGGTAGATTAAACATGTTTCAGCTCTTATTAATTTATGAGAAAAACTTCTGAAAGTACGAGGTTGGTATAAGAGTGATAAGGAACTGATCATACAAAGTCAGGTCAAAATATTGGCAATGAAGACATTATATATGATAAGAGGAACGAGAGACAAATACTAACTCGGGAGATACAGTCTCCGGAAAGACCCTGCCTTCTATCTGCTCTTGAAGAAGCTGGCAAAGGCAAATTGCTAAGTTAGTCAGAACGTCACCGTCCAGATCTTCATCCTGCAGCACTATTTGTACTAGCTTGTCCATGGCCTCACACCTGTAATACAAAATCATATCTTTAATAATTACAGATAAAATTAATTTTATTTCTGCAGATAATTGGATCAACATTTAAACGATCACATAAGAATCTACTCCTTTTACAAATTTGTACCATGGTTAATGTATGAATAGAGTGTACATTTTTTTTCAAACCTAGCCTTCTTGTAAAACTGTAGCGTACAATTTTCAAGAAGGGCATGTAATTATGGAGTTATGAATTTTCGAGGGGGGGCACGTATTTCAGTGTTAAGAGTTGGGTTGGAGAGGGGAAGTGGCTGAGCGGGCAAAGCATTTGCAAAACGTGTTGCCTGGCAACCGATAACCTGAAGATTACGAGTTCGAGCCTCAGTGTCAAGGGTATTTTACCACAGTAGCCAACAGTCTTTAACTATCTCAATTCCATATATGACGTTTGCAATAAATAATAAGAAATATTTAAAGAAGTGATAGAAAATTGTGAGAGCAACAAAAAAGTTTAGTAAACAACGCAATGATGTACAGAGATGGTATGTCCTTAATCATTTCTAAAAACTTTAAAACTTGGTCATGAGTCCATCTCAAAATTGTTACTATCCATAAAAAGAATATAACAAAACAGCCACACTGGCAATAACACAATAGAAAAACAATATTTCAATAGAAAAATGGCTGAATACACAAAAAGTTTTGAAGAATACTATATTTCCAGAATAGAACTCTAACAAGTGTCAAGTATTTTCAAAACACTTTTACACAATTAAGTTTCTCGACTAAAGTAAGTTCATCCAAGAAAATGGTTGAGAAACTCAACCATGTAAAAGGAACTTTTTAAGATAATACTTCTCTTGAAAAACAAGTACAGATTCTCATACCACAACTATTACAAATTTCAATTTTTTTTCTACGTAGGCGTAGTATTCAATTGTAGTATTAGTATTATTCAATTGCGTAGTATTAGTATTATTCAACTGCTTAGTATTCAATAGCTTCGTATTCTCTCTGTATTTCCTAATATATCTACATTTATTCTGGGTTGCATTTATAGTTTCATGATTTTATCTTGTTGAGCTTAGCTCTGATGAAAGCCTTCAACTTAAGACTGAAATAATTGTACACACAAAATTATTTCTTTTTTAATTTGTAGGCCCAAGACTTCCATTGAAGTCCTACCTATACTGCCTTTAGTCATATATTATTATTTATTTTTATTTTTAAAAGTCGATTTTGGATTCTACTATAAATTTGTACAACGATTGAATGATATCCCTATCTAGATATCTGCCATCCCTTGGAGGAAAGCGCTATTGTTTTGGATGAGGAGGTATTTCTTCCGGTATTTATCATACTTGCTGGAACATAGAATAATGTGCAATGGGTCCTCGATGGAGTTGCATGTCGAACATTTATCGTTTTTGTTAACTCTAATTATTGTCAAGCCGCAATTGGCAATTGACCATGGTTCATTCATAATCTTGTATGTATAAATAAAATAATAAAAATTACCTAGCTTCATTGTCAGTCTCCATATTCAGTCGTTCAACGGCAGTCTTGATATCTCCTTCCAAATTCTTCGTAAGCTCAAGTGTTTCTTCTTCTTTCACTTTAACTTTTTCACTACTTGCGCCTGCATTCTTCTTTGATTTTGTCTTTGTTGAAAGGACTGAAAAAAAAAATGTACTTATTTTAAGTAAATTAAATAATTGTTTTAAACTAAATTACAATCAGAGACAATGGTCGAAGGGGGTAGTATGATAAGTCTCAAATGCTAAGTTTACAATACTGAATACCGACCACTGACCCTTCATTATCCCCATAATCCAGAGCAATGTATTACTAGTCATATTATAAGTTGTTAATTCATTAAAAAGGATGGGTTTAGCGGAAAAATATTTGAGAAAAACAAAATTAAGTGTGGGATCTAGAATCTGCTCCAAAAAACACATGTCATAAATTCTGTCATAATAATAAAATAAAAAAAAATTCGTAAATGAAATAATAATTTCAAAAAAAAACTTTTTGTAGTTAACAAAACATTTTGTCATTACGTGAAACTTATTGAGGTTCTGCAATACAAGCACTGCTCCACTTTGACAGATGGTTCAAGCTTCCATGACTACACTCTAAATGAAATCCCAATACAAGCACTGCTCCACTTTGACAGATGGTTCAAGCTTCCATGACCACACTCTAAATGAAATCCCGAGTGAGCTCTTAAAAATGTGGAGGCGACCAAACCACCTAGTAAGGCTCCTACCTCACCTAAAATGACTTGTTGGAGGATGGATTATCCATTTTGAGCGAAATTTTGAGAGAAATTAAAGCAGTGTGGTAACAAAAGCCAATTAAGGCACCAATTTCAACTGATGAATTTGGAGTTCATGGAAGTCATAAATCATGAACTAAATAAAGGGAGATTATACCGTGAATATGTCAATCCTTGGAATCCTACTTATAGTGTCACCATGAGATTTTGGCCAACTCGTAAAACTGGAGCAACACGTGTACAGTAGTACCCTCATTATACCCAGATTAACAGAAAATTCTTAAAAAACAAAAGTTATACGTAATTGGACAAAGTTTATTACTATTTATAGAATGTATAATTATAAAATATTAATATTTCCTTTGTAAAGGTTTGGGTTCCACAAAACTATTTTCTGGGTCTGAAATAAAAAAATGTTCTTCGATAATGAAGAAATATAAAAAAAACTCCAAAACAGTAAACAATTTCAAAGATAATAAACAAATCAATGTTTTAATAGTAAATAAACATATGGTCATTAATTATTAGATATATGCTATTTGTCAAATGATTCTTTACAATAAAAGATAATAACATTTTAAATTACAACTGTACTTAACTAAACAACATCACCTTAGCAGTAAAATGGTATACTAAAAATTTTGAACTAGAAATTAAAATCAAACTCGCATGCTAAACTGCTTTGTACTTACTATCTGTTACTTTCTCCTTATTTTCTGACGGTGCTGGTTTTTCTACCTTTACTTTGGCTGAAAAAGAAAATAGCATATAAATACGTACACAGGTATATAATATTTAGTTGTCACTAGGTAATTCAACAAAAAAATAATTATTTATAAACAGATAATTATAAAACAATTTGAGCAGCTTAGCTATTAAAATTTATGTTCACTACAATTGTTTTTTCTAAGGAATTAACTATAATAACACCTTGTATAAGTATTAAAAAAATATATAACAAACCAAAATACTAACACAAGTTAATGTGAAAGAATATAAAACAGAAAAGAAAAAAAGAAGAACTCTACATACAGCCATAAAAAATCTTTATAGAAAAATATTTAGGTAGATAAACAATAAGTCACACTTATAAATATATATATATAATCATAGGAATAATTTCCAAAAATATTAAGAGTAAAAAACTAATAACCCAAAAATATTGCCTGGCAGGACGAAGAACCATCTTTACAACCAAAAACAATAATATTGAAAATACCTTACCTCAAATATTGCTTTTACCTAATACCATGAAGGGTTAATTATAATATTGGTAAGGAGAAAAAAAAGAAGAAAAATTGCAAATAAAATAGATCTAACTAACCTCTGCTACGTAAATCTGGAATAATAAAAGATATTTATCAATTACTTGGTTAACGTCCAACTGAATAATTGTTTATGATTAGAAAGAATACAAAACTTACCATATTTATTATTTTTAGAATGAGATCGAAACATTTTTCTTAAAGGAAAAAAAAATTAAACTGCAAACAAACTCAATAAAATTGTAACATAACACAAGTCTATTAAAACGCTGCTCGACCCATGAAAAAAAAAATGGCTGAGGGAAGCAATATCTAATTCAATTATAACATTATTATGATGTAGAGATGGTTGAGCATTGATATAATATGAGAAGGAGTTAGTCGGGGGTGCGGCCAGTGTTTCAACTGCCTCCCGCAGTGCTACATCCTACGCCCTGAAGACGACCTGCTAAGTGGGTCGACACGTCGGCAAAATTAAAATAAAATAATTACTATATTTTAATTTAGTATTTATTTTACCGCACCCCCGACCAACTCCTTCTCATATTATAACATTATTAATATTAAAAATTATTTTAGATAATCGAGCTTATTTTACTATTGTGAATTTATCAATATAAAGAATTCGCTTATTATCATTATTTATAATTTTTTATTTTTTTTAACACATTAACTAACAATAACTTTAACTGTTTACTTAATAATATATATATATATTATACACACACACATATATATATATGTTTATTCCTCTAACCATACATATTTTCTTTTTTAAAAAATTCTATTTGCTCCTAGTACAACATAGAGAGTAGATAAATATAATGGTTGAACAGAAATTACTTACAATGACACCTTGTAAAATACTAAAACATTAACTAACATCATGATAAATCACAACTAGATGAAATTTTAAAGTATTTTCTGGAAAGGATTCATACTGATACTGTTATCAGACCATGCTGTTGTAACAAATGGCAGTTATCCAGATTATAGTAACTTCACATTTACTTGCGTAAGTATTCTGGTTTGTTATGATGTTGATTTTTTTAATACTTATATCAATATATTATAATAGTTAATACCTGAGAAAAAACAATTGCAGTGAACATAAATTTTAATAAGGGTGATAAATTACCAACGTTTCAAAAAAAGCATGTAGGTCATCATCAGGGCTGAAAATTGTTTAATACAATCAGAGATATAATATTATAAGCCAGATAAAGTGGTTAATAATGAAAAAATTGTGATGGATAATACATGAAATATTTAATAAGTTTTACAAACTAAAAAATAATGCATATATATAATCAATTTATAAGATATGTAATATATACTCTTTCCGATCATGTTTTGAGCACTGAAGGTTTTCAAATACTGGACCTTAAGTAGCTAAGTGAGCACCATTAGAGGATATTCCAGATGTGCTTTTAAGATAGCAAATGTAGACAAACAAAGTCAGAGGGGAGGTATAACATTTTTGTGAAATGCATATGTATATCAATTGAAAAATAAAATATGCAAGGTAACTTGTGTACAATCGCTACGTTGTTTCTAATAGTTAAAAAATTATGAATATTAGCTTGTAATAAACTAAAAATAAATAAAAGATGCCAGTCACATGCTTGGATTGAAACGACGGGACCAATAAAAACCTTAAAAATTACTGCGACCTGACTAATTATCACCCATGATGTGTAGAACAGTCGATTAACTTACTTCAATGATTTATTACTTTTCTATTATTTCCTATTACTTATTACTTTCCTACATTTTATTGGCTGAGAGGGAGGAGAGTCACATTCTTCGTCACTGAAAACGGCCTCCTGCTGGCTGCCGTTGTGGTTCTCTAACTCAGGCGGCCCGTCATCATCGTCGCACCTCATGTCGTCTATTCTGCTCCCTGCAATAACCATAACCATAATACATAATAATAATAATAATAAATAATATTACAAATGTTATAATAAGACATAAACTGAATACTGATAAGTGAGAGGGATCCCTTTCATCTAAAGACCTATACCAGTGAGTGCCTTGCCTGTACAGCAAGTTATATTTTTATTCTTCAATAAAAATTTCTATACAAAGCAAACAAAAATTAAATCGACAGTATACAATAAAAACTTTAAGAATTATTAATTCACTGGCATTTGTTAATTTTCAAACTTTATGATGAAGACCCCTGGCAAACTCTTCTATCAATGCCACATAAATCTATTTCACATTTTATTTTTGTTTAGATAAATATTTATTTGTGGATAATACATTTTATAAATTTCATTTATTATTTAGGGAATATATATTTTGAATGTATAAATCTATTATATTTTTTTATCTCCTAACATACTTCATTAAACTAGGGTGTAAATTCAAAATATCTTCTTCTAGGGTTCTATTCAACTTTTGTCAATATTAATTTTAATCTTATTTCTGTATTATTTTTATTTATTGTGTATGAACTGTGAATGTACTCTTTGAACATCATTATAAATGTCCTTAATTGTAATAGATTGTAATATCTCTCAATAAATATGTTTAAAATTTAACTCATTGTTTTATTTACTTTATACAATTAATTTATATTTTGCATAAAGCAATAGAATGATTAAAAATGTAAACTATTATGTTATATATCTACATTTATGGAAATTCATACTGAGTATAAATATTTTACAAATAAACTCATCTCACGCAGGTATACTATGTAAGAGAACAAAGGAAAAAAAAATATAGTTCTTTATATATTGTGTTGAATATTTTATGCCCTACTTATGGTATTGTATATTTTATACCTTACTTATTGTATTGTATATTTTATGCCTTACTTATTTGTTTGTATATTCTATGCCTTCTTATTGTATTGTATATTTTATGCCTTACTTATTGTACAATATATTTTATGCCTTACTTATTTGTCTTGTATATTTTAATTTTGAATAATAAGATATGTTATTAAAATTCTCATTTACAGAATATGAATAACATACTAAATATTAATTTACGACATATTAAGTATTGTCGGTCTAAACTGGTTAAGTAGAAAATATTTTGATTTTGAAGATATTTTATTTTTGCCTAAATTTCATAGACAGCAATTAATTGGCAATTAAATTTGATTAAAAGCAAAAAAAAAAAATTAAAGGTGCTTGATTTTTATTTAAAGTAAATATAGATCCTAAATTAAGAAATAATTATCATCAAAATGCATAAATGTTACTAATTGACTTTTATTTAAAAAAACGAACATTTTTTGTTTTTAAATATCAGTAAAAATAATTCAAAGAACTTTAAGTGGTGTTCCTGACTAAGAAGCACTCGAGGTAAAAAACTACTGAAATGCATCAAAGATTTAAAACCATTTATTATTTTCCCATCTCAGCCTACATATTGGCCAACATTTCTATCAAAATCTCCCGATTTCCTTGATTTCTTTGTCGCATGCTCCTTACCACTTGCTCACTTCAATGTTTTCTCTCATTTCAATCTATGATCTCATCATAGCCCTATTTGACTAGAACTATCAAAATACCCTTTCGTAAAAACTAAACCCCCGACACTAATTGATGACTAAATGAACTGGGACAACTTTAAAAAATAATTAAACAAGAAAATTATACTAAATACTTCTATTACTAAAGGCGACAACAGAGAATGTATCCAAAATCAAAATGCAGTCTAGCATTTGACTACGCCAACAAGATCATTTACAGATTGCAGATACCTGCTTCAGCCTATACGCAATCTCATAAACGAAAAATGCATAACTAGAACTCTATGGCAAAGAACCAGATACCAATCGTACAAAACTATTCTTAACGGACCAAAGTAAAAAACTTCAACGAGAATTGTCAACATTCAAGAACAACAGGTATAGGAATTACATAAATTCAATGTACAACAGAAATGGATCAATATGGACAACAAGATATATACTGAAGACAACTTGTCCTTTTCGTTACGGACTGGTACAAATATAATTTAAATGTAAATGTTTTTATTATTTTCAGATAATAGTTTCGGCAGCTGTCTTTTTGATGCTATGGTAGGGTTCGGGTTCTGGTTCCGTCTTGTTTTAAAAACTGTCTTGTTCGTTTTCTTTGTTTATCAGAAACTATTTATCTTTTTCTAGAACACACTACCACTTTGTGCAGTACACTGTTTTATGATCATGTGTTTTTATACATATTTAATTACTTCATGTTTAAATAAAGATGAAAAATGAAAATTTTTAATTTATTTATTTATTTATTTATTTATTTTAGAAAGGGGGTTATGTTCTGTTTAGAATGCTTTGTTAGTATTATTATTCTCAAAACCCCTTAATAGTCGTAGAACGATTGAAGGGGTATTTGGGACTCTAATTATTTCAATTTCTGCTTATAATCTATTTTCATTATCTGCTAAATAAATAAAAATGTTTTGTTTTTAAAACATAAATTATACTCTGAATCAAGAAATGCTAACCGATTCTGTAAAAGGCACCTGTGGAGCATTTTAATAATTTATTTTCGATAATTTACTTGTAAATAAAGATTGTACATTATATATAAATCCTGCAAGAAATGTATTGCATGTTCAATACCCTCTCCGACATATAGACAATACCATAACAAGAGAAGTAAAAGCCAACAAATTAGCAAAACATCTTACTCGGGTATTTGGAACAAATAATATTAAAGACAATACACTCACTATTGGGATTGAAGACGACTACTTCCCTTATCCTCCAGCATTTCACACAAAAGAAATTCACAAGAAAATCAACTGACTTCCAAACAAAAAAGTTCCAGGCCATATTCTGATCACTCATTTCATCCTTTGCTACCTACCCTGAAAAGCCATTCTTTTTCTTATTCACAACTATAATGCTGTCTTACGAACAGCATTTCCCTCTCCTTTGGAAACTTTCTACAATAAAAATCATTCCAAAACCTTTTAAAAACACCAGTAACCCTTCATGTTATTGTTATATTACACTCCTTTCTATAATGGAGAAACTATTTCTTCTTAGGATAAAGCTAATCCTTAATAGTCACAAAGTTATACCAAACCATAACTTCGCTTTCATTACCATTCCACCGTACAACAGTGCCATCATATAGAGGACACTACCTCAGTCGCCTTAGAGAAAAACGAATTCTGCTCAGCGATTTTCCTAGACATTGAGAAAGAGTTTGGCACAAAGGTCAATTGTGGAAAATAAAACCACCCATTTCATCTACTAATTTTCTGATACTTTAACCTTTCATTCTTGAAAGATTTTTCTGTATTTCTATAGATTCCTCAATTTCTTTCTTTTTCCGTCAACTTGTGGGTGTACCACAAGGTAGTGTTTTAAGTTCTTTTCTCTTTTCTTTGTACACATCTAATATCCCCGAGCACCCTAGCACCACCCTCTATAGCTTCACTGGCGACACGACTGCAATTCTTTTTTTCCCACAAAAATCCTACTATTGCTTCAATTGCCCTTCGAAATCACCTTCTCAACCTTGAAAAATGGTTCCACAAATGGAAAATTGAAATGGCAGCAAGTCAAGTCATGTTAGCTTCTTCCTGAGGAAGAAGACCTGCAGTGAAAATAAACAAGTCAGTTTCCTCAAAAACTCATGTAAATTATATTGGACTATACTTAGACAAAAAACTCATCAAGAACATACACAAAAAATTAACTGAACGATACAAACAACTGTCACATCTTTTGGACTACAGATCTTCACTCAACTTACAAAATAAGCGACTAATCTTCACCACCATCCTATGATCTATTTGGACATAAGGAGCAGAACTTTGAGGTTCCCCAAAACACATAAACAAAATTCTAACTGCATAGGGTAGATGTGTTGCAAATATAATGTAAAATTAAATAAAAAAATATCAGTTATATTTTAATTAAGGTAACAAATTATTCCTCAAATGCAAAACCAGTCCCCACCAATGAAATATAGTAATAAATAATATCACATTTCCTTAGACTACGATTAACATAAGTAGTTATCAAACACAAATAATAGATCCATAATAAATAGGTTGGGTAAATACTAACCTTCGACAGGCGGGGGAAAGCAGAAGTCCGGAAAAGTGTCATGAATCATCATCTTGAGCTCACGGTCCAGCTTGGGGCTGTCGAACAGGGGATAGAGGGCGGGCAACACTCGCTTTTCCAGGATCTGCCTCAGCGAAGTGTAGATGCCGTTCTTCACCCGGTCGGACATAGGCGGGTAAAAGTTGGGGATTATCTACAACACAGATATAGTGAGTATAGTGAGTCTATTAAAATTTTTAGTTCAAAAGTTGAATGTTTTGTATAATTGGTAGGTGAATGATATATAAGTATAATAAATTTACAAAAAATTCACTTTCTGAACAAAACTCAAAACTGATTAACTCTATTGTCATTCTAAGCCCCTCAAATGTTGCTTTTTTACAACCAGTTAGTGATGATATAATAGTTCTTCAATTGTGACATCAATGTCTGCCTCATTTGAGTTGTTTGAATGTAATTTAAAAATTCCTTGGAAAAGGCAGATGACATATCTGTTCAAGAGACCATTGAGAGGCACAAACAAAATATATGATAATAAGTTGAAAATTTCAACACAACATCTGTATAGAAGATAAATAGTTCCTGAGAGTAGATTAATTCAAATCACTTTGTTGTTCCACAATAACAAATATTCGTTATAAATAAATATAACAATAACAATCATTATAAATAAATATAACAATCATAGTCATTATAAATAAATATAACAGTAACAAATAGCCATTATAAATATAACAAGCACAAACAGAGCTCTCTTCTCTCTTTCAAAGGTATTTTAATATAAACAAATTTCTAAAAATCTTGAATCGATGATATAAAATAAAATAGAGGAGAGCGGCAAAACATTTTCCTGCCTATCCCCCGCCTACTCTCTAAATTTTAAAATTTCTTTTATCAATGTTTGTTTACCGTGTCAAGTAAACTGGGTGTAGAGAAAACTATCCACTCTCAGACAAAAAATGTAATTTTGAACGTAAATTATAATAAATAAATTCATGAAAACAGAGGCTGGGATTGGACCAGTCCGTGTTTCCTGTTTCCTCTGTGTTCTGAAAAGAGTTTGCCTCGCTACTGGTGTCTCGGAAAACACTTTGAGAAAGGTCATAAAAGAGGGTGAAGCTGTTGAGAGAGGTGATAAACATTGTTTTGAAACTTCAGCCAAGAAACGGAACAAAAGTAAATATTGACAACTTCGATAAAGAAACCAATCGCAGATTCGTGCTTAATTTTCATATAATTGATAGAAAACTACAGTCTTTGAAAAATATTTAACTAAAAATACGGGAAAATGGAGAAATTAATTTCAGAGGGAATAAAGACATGTTGCATAAAATATTTCAAAAAGGAAAAATGAGATGGTAATTGAAAAATTTAGATTGAGAGAAATGACATCCGCCTCAAAAGAATAAAATATTTTAACCAAATAACTAAATATCGAAAAGGTCACCTCATTGTTTACTCAGATGAAAGTTATGTTCATTCAACACGACAAACGATTTCATCTGGACTGATGGAACTCAGTTGTGCTTTTAAAAAAATTAACAAGGGGACCAGGATGATAATTGATCCTATAGGATCTGAAAACGGTTTCATTCCAGGAGCCTAATGAACTTTTCAATCCCATCTTAAAAGTTGATACTATCACGACGACATGAACACAACAAATTCTAAAAATGGTTACATAAAAAATGAATACCCAATTTACCTCCCAATTAAGAGCTGTTTTGGTTGTAGATAACGCTTCCTCTACATGCAAACTCAACTTAGATACACTAAACATAATAACGGATACCTCAATAGTTGGCAAGAGACCATGTGAAAGACCAAACCAGATGGAAACATCTTGAAATTGTACATTATTTATAACTATCATCGAGTAGTTACAGCTACAGCAAATAATACTGCATTAGGAGCAAGAAGATGGATGCAACACATTTTAATCTCTGTAAAAGAGGCAGGAAAAGAAACCATACATAATACCCAAGATTTTATTTATAATTAAATAATATGAATCTTTAATGTGTAGCACTCGCATTGTTGATTATTTTAAAATAGAACAGGTTTATATTGTTTCATGAATATTGCTTTAATATTTATTTGTAACTAGAACAAAACAAAATATTTTAATTAATCTAAATGACATTATTATAAGCTCTAAGTGCAAGTTACACTTAATTTCTTGAAATGATGCTCATTTCTTTCAATGCCATATCTCAAAAAACACGATTTTTCAGAAGAGCAATATTAAAATTAGAAAGTAGTATAGAAACTGATAAAAATATTGATATTCCTTATCTTTTTAGATAAGGCCTCACTTTTCTTGTTTTAGAAGAATAAGTATAAAAAGTTGATATAAAGTAACTGAGAGGTCTGTTGCATAATTCATAAAAAACAAAACAAATGAGAAGCTTTTATTTTTGTTCTTCTCTACCTCGCCTTTTAGGCTCTACGGAGTTTTCCCAGGCCAGGAGGGGTGAGGTTGAGGAATTTGAAATCCTCTCCGGCACCGGAACACTAACTCGTAGTACTTCTTTAATCTCTCATAGCTTCAGTTACCGGATTGCCGGGCAACTCCCGCTGCTGTGTGCACTCGTTAGCTCGTTCGGCCAGCCCGTCCCCTACTACATCAGTTAGATCATTTGTAGAAGAGGCTGCGTTTTGATTCAACGGACCATCGATGTTTATCAACCTTCCTCTTCTAGCTTAAGTACTTGTATAACAATATTAAATCCAACTTAAATTTTGTTTATTTTTAAAAAAATATATGTTATAAAAAAAATAATAATAAACAATTAAGATCCCTTACCCTGCAGAGAAAATCCAAAAGAGTTGCAGTCACAACAGGATGAGACCTCATAGAATGGTGCATTACAAGAATGGCAGGTTCTGAAACACATTAAATGATAATAATTTTAACAATTAAAATATTAAATAAAATCTTAATAAATGAAGAGTAAGGGGGAAAACCACGTAGGTTATTATTTTTATTTATATCGAGTTATTAATATAAATAAAATCAGAATGAAAAACTCCCCTCTTCCAGAGAGTCTGAAAGTGAAAAAATAAATTCAATATACATAATTAATTTTTTTTTGGTTTTCTTGGAAACAAACTCTAACATTACAAATAGTAGCTCTTAAACAGGGGTGAAATTAAAAAAATTCTCATTTTAATATAATTATAAAGAATAACAACCAAATCATTAAGCTTTAATTATTGCTTTTCATGTTATGAATTAGTATGTATTGTAAAGAAACACAACATTTTTTATGTAATAAAAGTTTTTTGTTAAATTAAAAATAAACATAATCTTTAAGAGGAGAGAGGAGTTAATTTTCAGGTTCAAGGAGGTGCTGGCGATTTATCAAAAATCGAAGGTTCCCTGCTTGAAGAGGATACAAGTTACATTCAAACTGAATCATGGAAAATCTAGTACACTATGAGCTGAATACTAGTGAAGTGAATGTAGACAAATTAAATTAAACATAAGGCAAATAAGTAAGTGTAAAAATAATAAAGGTCATACCTGAATAACGGACAATATTACATTATTAATTTTTTCTTAATAATTTATAATTTATGAGAGATAGTCTATATTATGATTATTTTCATAATATGCAATATGAAAAGTAAAGCAGGGGGTAGATAATCCGTGGATCAATCAAACTGACCATCAATTATCTGGGATAATCTTGATTTTTTTTTTAATGGTTTTGAACATTTTTCTGAATTAAAATAAAATTTCTATAGCCCAAGTCTTTATTCCCCTTAACATTTTAGAATATGGACAAGTTTATGTAATTCAATATTAATTTTAATTGTTTTAAGTGTCAAAAGACATTTTAAATTAATTAAAATTATTAATTATTAATTAACCATAATATTTTATCTTTTATTTACTGTTTTTGTCGATTGTTAATTTACTTATAAGATTGGTCTATGCACACATTTTTTTTTCTCCTTCGTTTAACTTTTCTGGAAATCGTTCGTTACTATCTACTCATCTCATGTTTTTTTTACTCAGTTTTTGAACATTGAATAAGACAAACAAGAGTTTTGTATAATTGTTCAAGTATAATTAGATACAAATGTGAACAGTACTACAATGTTTAAACATCTAAATAACGACCTGTTATTTACATCTCCTGTTATTATGGATTCCTTGCGAGAATTTCACTTTAGGTAAAATAACATCGACTAATTGGACTATTTTGTCATCCAGATTAGGGCTGAAATTGCTTCTTTGCATAATAAATGCTCTACTATACACCCAAAAATTCTAATAGCTAGAGAAATAAAGTAAAAATAAAAACAGATATATTAACCCTTTGTAAAACTTATATTAAAGTAAAAAAGAATATAAATTTCTTCATTACCTATATTCATAATATTATCCTTCTCGGGATCATAAAACAACCAGTCATAGAAGAGAGCAAGCTTGGCATTAGTAGTCGCGATGGTTGAAGTACACGTCGTCAGCAGCCAACCGATAACTGCCCATCGTGGTATGATGTCAGAACAAAGTAGCTCATTGGTCGGATGAATTACCCCAACGATGAACCTTATCAGATCGCATCTCAATGACTGTGCCTCAGGGGTACCTAGATACTGCACAACAAAAACAGATTATTAATCTAGACTAAAAAAAACTCAATTTTCAGAAATAATTTTAATTTTTTTAAATTTATATTTTAGCTAGTTAAATATTTATTTATAATTGATTAAAACATAAAATCAAATTGCAAAGCTTTAATAGTGTTTAATTTAGAAGCAGGAACACTGCAGGGTGTCTACCAAAACCGTTTTTTTTTTTTTTTTTTTTTTTTAATATCCTCAATTTATCAAGTCATTTAGGTTAATTTTTAGATCATTAAAATAGCTGTAATAGAACACAACTGATCTTTATCAATAACCATCTTACATAATTGGTTCATATAATATTTAACATTTTAAATTTCCTACTAGAGGCCTTAAAAAAAAATGATGTAATCTTTAATATATATAACTTTGTAACAGAAAAAAACAGCCGCTCTTTGATATACAAATAAAAATATCAAAGCAGGCTAAAAATATTAGAATCATCTGTAATACTGACTTATAAACTGAGCAAGAGCATATTTTTTTTGTATAAAGATATTTAAAAACTGATGATTGCAATACAAAAAATGCCTTTATTGACGTAGAAACTGCTATTTCATAACCAGTTTTTAGGAAAATAATCACACAAAAAAAAATCTGATGCGCGCAATACATAACTTTCACTTACCGCTCTACTTTGAGTAGAAATTATTTCCTGGCAATGTTGGACTATATAAAATTTTTGAAGTGCATTTTAAACAGAACTAAAGCTTAAAGCTTACAGATAACAAATCATTAAGATCATTAAAATTACTAAAAGACTATTAAATATATCGACAGTATATAAAAAAATCTGTTATTCCATCAGTTTTTATAAACCACATAACTTCAGTCTCTGATTTATGAGTGCCCTTTCAGTTAACAGAATGAATAACTCCAATTTAAACATTTTTGAGTAATGTCATTTCAGTAATATTTCTAATTGAAAAAGTTTTATCTATACAGATAGTGAGGAAGTAGAGTCCAGAGTAGGTGATTGCAGTGTTGAAATACAGGACTATGAATAAGGGTATAATTTTCTCAATAGAAACATCACTAAAATTAACAATGAAGAATATTGAAATTGGAGTAAATCATTCTATCAACTGAAAGCCTCATATATGCCTAGAGAGATTTGAAAGTATATCTGAATATTTTACCTATAAATGATTATGGATTATAGGACCATTAGTAACTAAACTGTTATTTTCCATTGTAAAGTTTACTAAAATGAAATTATGAAATTTTCATTGTCTGCATGGATATGTCAAAAGTTATCACACATTAATTGTAAGTGGATAATGTTGGGATTTCATAAAGGGAAATTTCATCAAATTATTCACTATTTAATTTTCTAAAAAGTTACTTGATAATTTATTGTAATAAATGGTCAATAGATACCTACTTATTTAAATATAATATCATATCTAGAATTATTAAACTATAGTAAATGTATTTAAGATTATAAACATATCCAAGAAATATTATTATATTTCACTTCTTCTTTCACACAAGTACAATGAAATAGTATTTTAAACGAAGAGAAGGACGGTTGGGGTGATCAGTCGAATTGAAATGATAAAAAATAAATAATAATTTTATTTATTTTTGCATTCGCCGACGTTTCGGCCCCAAGTTCAGGCATTCATCAGGGCTCTTGAACAGGAAGTAAAGTCAGACAAACCAAAACCCTCTAGTATTGGTTTTGATTAAAACCAACCTAGAGTAAAAAAAAAAACCTCTAGTATGACTTTAATCAAAATCATTAGAGCTATTTTTGAGAAAATTGTAAAAATGTGTTTCACCGTTGATATAAATAACACTTCCGGTCAGCCAATTTTAAGGAAAAAGTTGCTGTCACAACTACACCATATACCTATCTTAAATACCTAATATTAGTTTCGTACGACTTTTCGTTTTTGAGCTAGACTGTTAGCATACACACAGACCATTTTGTGGGACTTGGTTATTTGTACTCAGGAGACCTCAAAACGTAGAAAACTCAGATTCCAAAATTTTCACGATCCCAATACTTTCCCTTGCTATACATTATATATATATAGGTAAGTGAAAGTAAAAATTATTCTTTATCATAAAAAAATGTATGAACACATCATAACATGTTTGTTTTGTCATAGATATAGTTGCGTACGTATCCCTGTTACGTAAACTTATTGTGGTTAATAATGATTCAAAAAGACAACAGAAAAGTCATGCTCTATTCCTCAAGTCTATAAAATTCTCTGACTTTCAATTTCAGTGTTTTCCATAAAATCCCCTAGCTCATCCAGGTCCAAGTTTACAGAATTTATCAGGTCCGGTAGACACTCAGACACCCTGACTATGTTACTACAACACATAAGCTATTATGGATAAAGACATTTGACCAGTTTTATGCAAGGACCAACCAATCCACAAAATTATAAAAATCATACTAAATAAATGATTTGATCCCAAAAGGGGCCACTCTATGACTTGCAGAAACTAAACAAACTTTACTAAACATAATCCTAGTCAAACTGACCACCTCTAACCATCATGTCATTTTCAAATTAATTAATTTGAACACTTTGTAGCTCTCTGTTTGCCATATTTGCTCTAATTAAAGTAAAAAGTAAGTATAATCAATCAAATTTTTTTTTTTAATTTAATATCACAGGTTAATTTTCATTTAAGTATATCTCCATTAATGTGCTTGAGTACTGGAAGGTTTCTGCATAACAATGCTCATTTAAGAATTTGTTTCATAACTTGACTATCGAATAAAAATAAAATATCTTTAAAAAAACAAATTATACTATATACATGCCATTCGATTCCTAAGTAAAAAATCTGAAGTTGGTTATAAAGCAATCATTACTTAAATTACATACCTGCCTTTGGAACCAATCTTGATAGCGCTTGTGGTTCCCGAAACGAACATTTGAAGTGAGAAATACCAACTTTTGTTCCATATCGGGTGTCAACCGTGACTGAAGAAACCGCCTTGAAGTCCTTGTCTGTAAGAGCGTCAGAACTCCTAAAAAATGGATATGTTAACACATTAATACTTCATAATAGAAAAAAGATACTTTTAGAGTGAAGTAAATGTAAAAGAAAAAAATTATGAACACTTTTTTTGTAAATTAATATGAAACAATTAGAACTGTGAAAGTAATAAATTTAATGAAATATAAAAATATGTTGTACTTATTCTGAAAACATACTTCAAACAACAAAATAAGAATATACTTAAGATCTTCATATCCAGTAGTTTACTATTTCTGTTTTTTTTTTTTTTTGTAACTATAATAAATTAAATAACTGTTAAAAACTTGTACAATAATAATAATAATAATAGATCATAATAAAACAATTTTAATACTAAATAATAGCAGTATTTATATGACCAATATAAAAAAAAAAAATACAATCAACGACTCATGGCAGACAATAGGTTTCATAATAACACAAAGCTTATTGTTTAGCTAAACTTTTAAGTGGTTCAAGTATAGTCAACAAAATGATAACTGATACAATCAGATAACCAAAACATTTAGATTTAATTATCTAGTCGAATATAAAAATACGGAGGCGCGTAACACAACTTTCACTTACCTCTACATTGAATAGAAATTATTTTCTGAAAACATTGATCTATTATGAAATTTTGAGGTGCATTTTCAAACGGAGCTAAAGCTTAAAGCTTACAGATAACAAATCATTAAGACCAATAAAATTACAAAAAGTCTATTTATTATATCGAGGGTAGGCAATAAAAATCTAATTACTCCATCTGCTTTTATAAACCACACAACTTCAGTCTCTGAGCCTTTTAGTTGACAGAATGACAAACTCCAATTTCAATATTTATGAGTAATGTCATTTCAGTGATATTTCTATACAGACAGTGAGCAAGTTCATTGCAGTGTTGAAATATAGAACTGTGAATAAAGGTATAAATTTTACTGCTAGAAACATCACTAAAATTATTAATGAAGAATATTGAAAATGGAGTTAGTCATTCTGTCAACTGAAAGCCTCATATATGCTTAGAAAGATTTGAAAGTACATCTGCATATTTTATCTATAAATGTTTATGGATTGTAGAACTATTATTTTCCATTGTAAAGTTTACTAAAATGAAATCATGAGATTTTTATTGCCTTGCCATGGATAGGTCGACAGTTGTCACATTAATTGTAAGTGGATAATGTTAGGATTTCACACCGAGAAAATTTATCAAATTATTCACTAATTTAATTTTCTAAAAAGTTACTTGATGATTTTCTGGAATAAATGTCAATTGATAAGTAATTATTTAAATATATCATATCTAGAGTTATTAAACTACAGTAAATGTATTTAAGGTTGTAAACATATCCACGAAATATTTTTACATTTCATTTCTTCTTTCATACAAGTACAATTAAATAATATTTTAAACAATGGTGTGTTGGCTTGATTCGGTGGATTTAAAAATACTTTTTTTTCAAAGTTAAAAAAAAATTTTAAGTTTACATTTAGTAAGAAAATTTCATTCTACTTCCTTGGAAACATGTTATTTACGTTAATAATGTTATTTTTCTGAAATTATTATTTATTTTTTGCCTCACTCTCCGTTACCTCCTACAACTTTATTTATTCGTTATTATTTCTTCTAAAATCCTCCACTTTCCAACGATATATATAGGAGATTCCTTTTCCTCCTGAATAAGCAGTATTAATTTCTCCAGTATACAATTATCATATTCTCTCAAACTTCATATTTAGCAATTTTTTATAGTTACTGTCAATAAAAAAGAGTTAAATTTTTTAAATAAAACATATTAAAGGTACTTTAGAGGAAGACATATATGAATATCGGGGCATTTAAACCTTGTAAAGTGACATCAATGGAGATAAGACCTTAATGATATTAAAGACCACTTAATTATACAATGATACACCGAGTTCAATGAAAATAGTTAGAGCCGTTTTTGAGAAAATTGTAAAATGTTTTTTAGCGTTGATATAGTAACACTTCCGGTTTGCCGATTTCAAGGAAAAAATTGCTGTCACATCTACACCATATACCTATCTTAAATAAGTAATATCAGTTTCATATGACTTTTCTCTTGTTAGGTCAACTGTTCACATAAACACAAACACAGATCATTTTATGGGACTTGGTTATTTGGACTCATGGGACCTCAAAACGTGTATTTGCATTGAAAACTGAGATTCAAAAGTTTTCACGATCACAATACTTTCCCTTACTATATATCAAATATATAGGAAAGTGGAAATAAAAAAAAAAAAAATATTTTTATTAAATTAACATCAACCAATAAAAATATCAGATACATAAATATTAACAAATACTTTTCCTCTGTTGTTCAATTAAGAAAATTATGAAGTTTATCATAACCATGTAATTTATAATATACATATACATTTTCAATTTATAATAAAATTTGTAAAAAACATGTAATTTTTTGTCAAATACATACATGTATTATGCGTAATGGATGGAACATGTAAAATTTAACAAGTAAACGGCCCTTGTTCAGTGTTACTGTCAAAAAAAAAAAAATAATAAAATAAAAAACTTATGTTTTCATTTATATTTTATAAAAAATAAATAATCAACTGTACGATTTATCACAGGTTATGAATAATAAACATTATCAAAAATGAGTGTGTTCTGATTATTTAACACCTATGAAAAAAATTAAAAATATGACTCTATAGTTGATATTACTTTCATATAACAAAATAAAACAGTACCTCCAAATTGTGGGCTAAGACTTTTTGGATTATGCAACATATCCTTCCAAAATTGCTCAAACTCTGGAATACGAGCAACATTTTGCAGTAACCTTATCAAATCTCTACCAATCATCAAACAGTCATTGAATTTTTCCCTTAATAAAGACACTGTAAAAGCTATTTCCTTTTTTTGCAAGTTGGCAAGAGCAGGGGACATATGGTCTTCAATCAATCTCAAAAAGGCATACACAGATGTAGAGACTATTATAGGTGTCTTGTCCACCCATGACCTAAAACAACATTTTTTTAACTGAATTGCAATACAATATAAAATAATTAAAGCCTTTCTAATATCCTACCTGTTTTCTATTAACATATCAAGAATGGCTTCAACTAGCGTCAAATTTCGTTGAGTAACGTCACCTCCAGCCATATGCCTCATGACGTTCCATAACAAGTTTTCCACTCCAGCGACGCCATTCCTTATCATCTCTCTCACAACCCATATCAGTTGAGAACGTACTATATCTGTCAACTTTGACCATCTTTCTGCAACAAGCTGTGTGAGATGATGCTGTGCCAATACTAATCCATCTCTTGCTATCAGTGTCAGGTCTCTATAACTCTATAGGCACAATCACTTTCAATTATCATTTTAGAAATAAGAAACAAAATAACCAAATAAAAAATAAAAAAAGGAGTACCTTTGATGAATTAGTGGGGTCTGTAAGTATTAAGGTAAGTAAACCAAGGCATACTATTTCTTCATGAGCTTTATCTTTGGCAACAGTGACATTTAAGGCATCATGGGCTTCTTTCTCTGATAAGCCCGATATTATCGACTGCAAATTGATATAACAACGTTCGTACTTCTAAAAACAAACAAGTAAAAATTAGCTTGAATAAGAAGTGATAATTAAAATTCAACTGGTTGATCCAAACAAAATTCAAAATTCCCTCTCCTCCACCTAGCGCTCCACCTGGGCGGTTAACATTTTACTAACGAAAGAGCAAGCTGTAATGGCCGCCTAAAAAGCTTTCAAATAACACACTTGCAACGAATATTACCTCTTCAATTTCATCCTTTTTATTCTCTACTAACGTAGTATAGTAAAGTCTGGGGGCATGTAGTTTGGCCTGGTCCATTTGAATACGAACAAACTATGGACTAAATAGTAATATGGACCGAAAATCCAGGCACGAAAGTTCACATTCTGCGCTCCCTTCCCTCACCGTAGGAAAAGTGTTCTGGCTCCGGGCGCGCTAATACATTCCAAACTGTTGACAACCCAATAACGTAACCTAGATGTTTGAAAAAATAGTTCCCAACATTAGGTCGCTTTATCCAGTTGGAATATTCAATTTTAACTTTCAAAAATCAGTTAACTTACTAATTAACTGTAATAAAAAGCTTGACCACTGAAAATTCCTAAACAGAATTATTTCATTTATATTTAAAAATTATAAGTCCAATTGATTAATTCTACTTTTCAAACTTGATAGAAAAATATTACAATGTATAAAAACAATATATGATGCTAAAGAAGTTGTTTTATCATGATATATGAGAGAAAGATTATTGTGTTTACAAAAGGAACTTCATCATGGTTCACTGATAGTACGAATAATCAGTGACTAATTTCGAAGCCACGTCGCGGCTGCAACTTCGAAATGCATTTGCTAGATTAGATTATTTGATAAGCACATTGTGGTGCTATTTAAGCCGGCACTTCCTCGCACTCGTTTTAATTTGTTTAACTCGAAGGGTGATTTAGTTTGACAAAGAATCGACTTCTACAATCACATCGTTTTTATTAGGTTGTCCAACATTTTATAATTCACAAATTTTATTGCATCATTCTCTAATCATATTATGTATTGAAGTTAACTGTTGTCTTGACTAAGTCGTTTAAATTTTTAGTTGAAGAATTTCAACTCTCCAAACATGAGTAAGGAACTGGAGGAAGATACTGCTTCTCTAGCTCTTGGTAATATTTGTTCTGACTACTGACAGTCATTATTTTATCTATTTTGCAACCTAAACAAATCTATGTTCATTCATCTACTGATTTTCTTAAAATTAGCTTCGAAGTCAACTTAATTTTGATATTTGGTTAACATCATAGATCAACGACTCATGCAAAACTTGAATTTATCTCAATCACAATCACATTAAAGAAAATATTTATGTTCCATCTATTACACGTTGGAATTACACCTTGCGATAGCATACTATAAAGTTTGGTAACAGATCTTTTAAGATCACAAAATGTACATCAGTAATTATGGATGAATGTGTTAAGGATTTTTCTACTAACACTAAATGAATAAAACTACTATGGCTTGTTGTTTCTTATTTGGATTTTAATTCCATATTAACGCTGATATGTATCTGTTTTAGGAGAACTATATACTTCTGAAAAGTATGGAAATGATGACAAAGGTGATGGAACTGAAGCTAAACCTTTTAAAACTATATTAAAAGCTATGAAACACCATGGCAAGCAACCGTTCCCTGTTATTTACGTTGATTCAAAAGAAGAAGGAAAGGTCTATAATTTACCTTTGTGTTATTATTTAATTGGTAATGAAATATACTTCAGTTTTAAACTTATTTTCTGATTGTTTTAAAGAAATATGAACCAGCTTCCAAGTCACAATTAAAAAAGATACAAAAGATTTTTGTTAGGGATTCTTATAAATCTGAAAAGCCTCCTACTCAAGGTGAAAAGAATGAAAGTGAGATTTTAGAAGAAGCTAAAAATATTATCATTGAAGAAGACAAAAGCCTCCCTAAAGCACAGTTGATAAAGATATTTTCTTCTACTCAAAAGAGGGGTTCTAGAGTTAAAATCTTTGGTTGGGTGCACAGACTTCGAAAGCAAGGTTTGTCATTAAATTATGGAATCATTTTAATTGTATAGTTAATTACTATCATGGTACCTACTGGTTCAGTTTGCAGTTCTTTTTCCCTTGTGGTTGATTTTACATTCAGCCTTCGATTCATTTTATAGGTTTAAAATTAACCTATTAATGACACTATAAAGTAAAATAGTTTTATAATGAAGATGATTTCAGTTTGTTGAATAAATATTATCGATTTCAGGAAAATCATTGATGTTCATTACCCTCAGAGATGGAACTGGATTTCTTCAATGTGTTTTAAATGATAAACTATGCCAAACTTATAATGCACTTGTCCTTTCAACTGAATCAGCAGTCGCTTTTTATGGTGTAATTAAAGAGCTGCCAGAAGGAAAATCGGTACTTTCACCTTTATTTTTTAGATATTTGTATTTCAAGTTGAATGAACTATCTGATACAATTTACTTGTATTGTTTTATTTTTATTTTTAATCATTTATAGATTGCATTATATTATAAAAAATTAATTTTCCATTGTCTAAATGCTTGGACCTCAGGCTCCAGGAGGTCATGAAATGCAAGTAGACTTTTGGGAACTGATAGGCCTTGCCCCGCCTGGTGGAGCGGACAACATCCTCAACGAAGAAGCTCTTCCAGATGTTCAGCTCGACAACAGGCATATCATGATCAGGGGAGAAAATGTAATGCAATAATAAATTTGAATATTTTATCAATCAATTACTATTTAAATCTGTATAATTGTATTAACTAGGCTTTTTAATTCTAATTAATTGACTCCTGTCTTTACAAGATTCAGTCTGACTAATTTCTAGCAATTTGTATCTTCAATTTAATTTTATTTATACTTGAAGATTCTTTGAACAATAGTTATATTGTAATTGATGGTGTTGATGCAGACTTCAAAAGTGCTGAAAATGAGATCAGTTGTTATGCGAGCGTTTCGTGAGCACTTTGAAAGTAGAGGATATACTGAAGTTACACCTCCTACTCTTGTTCAAACACAGGTGGAGGGAGGTTCAACATTGTTCAACTTAGATTATTTTGGGTAAGAATAATTTGTATCGAACCATTTCTAAACTTAAAAAAAAAATGTATAAAATTCTGATTTGATTATTTATTTTACTTTAGTGAACCTGCTTACCTCACTCAGAGTTCTCAGCTTTATTTGGAAACTTGCATACCTTCGATGGGTGATGTCTATTGTATAGCACAAAGCTACAGAGCTGAACAAAGCAGAACTCGTCGCCATCTCTCTGAGTAATTTAATCACTTTTATTTAAGTTTTGATTATTGAAAAAATATAATTTTTTCGTTGTAATTAAAAGTATAATTTTTGAGAACTATTATTTTTTACAAGTATCGTTAATGTTTTTGAATATTTTATACAAAACAACTACCATATTGAAGAAAGTTTTTACTTTCAGATATGCTCATGTTGAAGCTGAATGTCCGTTTATATCATTTGATGATTTGTTGGATCGTCTGGAGGATTTAGTCTGTGATGTTGTCGATAGAGTTTTAGAATCAGAATATGGTGAACTTGTGTACCAGCTGAACCCTGTGAGTACGAATACTCTTTCATGATGTTTATAGTAATTTTATTCCTGTTATAAGTTAAATTTTTTTTTTATAATTTTCAGGAATTCAAAAAACCAGAAAGACCCTTTTTAAGAATGAACTATAGAGATGCCATCAAATATCTAAAAGAGCACAACATTACCAAAGAAGACGGAACTTTTTATGAAGATGGAGAGGTGGGTTGTTTAATGTAGTTACAAATTCGCTAGAAAAACTGCCACAATATTGTTAATTGGTACAATATAGTGAATGGTAGTCAATGTTATATTAAGTTTTAGAGATGTTACTTGTTTATTATGTACTTATGCTATATGTATCCAGCCTAAGACCTCTATCTTTTTAAAAACCATTTTTTTTAATCTAAGGAATCTAAGTACTTTTTCTAAAACTAGTAATCCTAGTGGATAATTGTTGGCTGTAGAAAATATATCATAGAGAAGTTGGTTGGGGCTTTCAGTCAATGAAAGTGCAAAGTCAAAATAAACAAATTGTATTAATTTTTATTTCCTTTTTGCCTAAGTCTTAGGCCTTCATCAGGGCTAAGCAGATATAAGATATTATATAAATATTGAGAAAATAGTAGGCAGTAGTAGTTATGATATGGAGGTAAAAATATTAATCAAAAGTTATATTCTCTTCAAAATATTAATCATTTTATCCTACCATATGGACATTATGAATATCACACTTAACAACTTTTTAATTTAGTATTATACAGACGAATATGGAGTTGGATTCTGAAAGCTTGTCCATATATATGATGTAAAATAATAAAGAGACTAATGTATGATATATAACCTAAATAAATAGTTAAATTAATATTCATGCTGTGAATTTCGAATTTTGTTTATTCAAAATTAAGTGATCAAATATTACATTTGTTCAACGAAATATATACTCAAGTACAATATATGTATAATTTTCTGTTTTCCTTAGGACATTCCAGAAATGCCTGAAAGGAAAATGACTGACACAATAAACAAACCCATAATGCTCTGCAGGTTCCCAGTTGCCATTAAATCATTTTATATGTCACGGTGCCCGGAAGACAATACGTTAACGGAGTCGGTTGATGTACTGTTGCCCGGCGTTGGTGAGATTGTTGGAGGGTCCATGCGTATCTGGGACTTGGAGGAGCTATTGGCTGGTTATAAGAGAGAGGACATCGACCCTGCGCCCTACTATTGGTACACTGATCAGGTTAGTGCTCTGCATCAGTTTTTAATTTCATTTTTTTAATATATATCGTTTGTTTATTGCAAACATTTATTAAGTGATATTTCATAACCTTAAATGGCTAGGATCTTTGATGAATTTTCTCTTTGTGAAATTAGAAAATTGAGTGATGATTGTAACTATATTGGACATATTAAAGGGTTTGTGCCATTTTAATGTATTTACTATGTTTTTTATCTATAAATAAGGTTGAAATTCCTAAAAACCTTCTTGAAATTTTAGCTCGATTAAAAATGTATTTTAGTAATGGGTAATTATCAATTATTCGGATGAAACATTAATTAATGGATCTACTCAAAACAACTACTTGACTGTGAATCCTGACAATTTTGTTTCATCATGCAATAAACCAATGATATTTTAACTTGTGAAATCCAGTTTATTTTATTGTCCATTTTAGTAAATATATTGTAATATTTTAGTCATAAATCATTAATATTCAGCTTAATATAACTTAAATTACATTAATTGTTCAGTTACAATTTTAAATCTGTTTTAAGAATTTATTATTTGATCCTTAAGAAATTTAAATTTAAATGCTCTCAATCATGTCTGATTTAACAGGTTTTTAAAGAAAGTTTGTTACCTCGTGAAAATTCAGTACCTAGAAAATGGAGTTGGCTGCTTTTGCAATTCTTCACTTCCATAACTTATATTTTCTCTACATTTAATCTTATCTTTTTGTATGTTAGCTGGTTATAAGTTAATTGTGTGGAATGTCTTATAATCTTACGATCTTCCTAGATCAGTCAAATGAAAAGCTTACTTTCAACAAATTATATTTTATTGTATACTTTGCTAAATAATTATTAAGCAAGAAACAAGTCAATTTAAGTGTTGTTATAAGTTTTTTTCATATCTGAGCATCAGTAACTCATTTTTTGTGTTAACAGAGGAAGTATGGTACGTGCCCGCATGGAGGATACGGGCTTGGCCTTGAAAGATTCTTATGCTGGCTGCTAAATAGGTATCACATCCGAGAAGTTTGTCTCTACCCAAGGTTCCTCAAGAGATGCAAACCATAATTCAAAACATGCCTTACGTATAATTTCCAAATTTGTGTAATGATACCATCTATCCTATGAGCTACTTTTTTCATTTTGTTTTTATTTAATTAATGGTCTCTTAAAATAATTAATAAATTATAATTGTATTTTCACACTTGCAATTTAATTTTTTTTAAATGTGATGCTTATTATGCATTTCAGCAGAGTAAATGCATTTATTTAATAAATGACTAGAAATCACTTTTTTTTTTTTTTTTCATTCCTCACTATCTTCTTTTTATAATTAGATAATTTATTATCGTTTATGAACTTCTAAATATTTTTCATCTTGATATCAGGCTTTTTTGGGTTGTCTTCCTTTATAAAGATAAAAATCAAGATACAAGAGCATTAATTCTGATAATATTATATCAAGCTGATTGATAAGTAAGGCCACATATTTTTAAAAACCGAAAAATTGTCTGTTATCAAAATTACCTTAAATTAGGGTTTACAAAGCTGATTAAATCCATTCTCATATACCAGTAAATTGCTTTTGAAGCACTTTTGATGGGTTTTGGAAAGAAAACTATCATATGGTTCTGTGGGCATTAGCTACAATGCTGAGAATAATGATCGACAGTGAATAATAATTTCTTTAAATAAGTTCTTTAATACTCTTGTTATCAAATTCCTCTAGCAAATACATAAATAGCCCTGAAACTCCTGAAAATGGCACTAGGAAATTCAGAATCTCAAAACATTTTTGGTAACAACTAATCTTGTAACATTTTATTAATTATATTGGTAAAGGATTCAATTTTTGGGTATTCTTAGAAGATTGTGTGATTGTAAGTATTAATCAAGAATTGAAAACTAGAGAAAATCTGAAATGATAAGTAGTGAAGATTGATTAAGGCTTACATCATGTAATCTTCAAGTTAAACCACTGAGTTTATTTTTTAATTCCATAATTATAAACTTTCTATCCTCATAAAAATTACGTACTGTGATTTATCTAACTTGTAATAATAATTTAACAACTATTTTTACATAAAATATTTAAAATACTCAACTCTAGAGAGGAGTGAATTTTATTTTATTATTAGGCATGGTGAAGTGTGTTTTAGCAGTAAATATAAATTAAGTAGGAAACCATCCATTTTATCGATGAAAATACTACATGATGTGAGTATAAATTAATTTTATGGACAATTGTTTTATAGCCATGCTTAAAACAACCAATGAAATTCTCTGAGAATGGTTAGTATTTTATGGGATAATTTAAAGGAAAACTGAAGTTGTTTATTGACCCCGCATTACAAACAAAATATAATGCCATCACAGAAATTGATATCAGGAAGTCATTAATACTGAAATCTTTTTCTTTTTTTTCCTTCTAACAACTAGATAACAAACTTTATATAATAATCTATAAATTGGCAATAAGTAAATACAAGTTCATTAAATTAAATTTCAGCTATTATAACTAATTTCTGTATTAGTATGGTACATTTTTTTTAACAGTTGCATATTAATTCAACTTTCATTTAATACACATACTTTTTAATCTGGATCTTAGTAATATTTAGCTTCTCCAATTAAATTAAATAAATCGTGACATTTCGGTACCAGTAGCTGATCCAGGATTTAATTTTAGGGGAGATTTCTTTTTCTTTTTTTAATAACGGTAATTATACTCTTTTCAAAAGAACTACCAATATGAAATTATAATTAAGTGGTCCTTGAAGGAAAAATAACAAGAACAATAATTATTTAAGATATAAATTTATCATTTACCTGCTTACATGTAGTAGAGGTAATTGCATTACAACGGAGTGGGGTAGCTCAGTAGTGGGCACTGTTCTGCTAATGATCAAGGTCCTGAGTTCAAATTCTGGCTCATGGCAGAGAAATTAAATAACTTTTCTAATAAATAAATATTCTGTTTCATCAGTCGTTTGGGATCCTGGGATTGGGAGACCCTCCAGGGGCACACCGACCCTCTATTAAGTGGGTACCCTTAATTAAATAATTATGGTTGAGGTTGAGCATTATCTCAGTCAAATCACCTCCTTGCACAACCATTGATTAAGAAACAATACTGAAACAAAGATCATCCTTCATGGGTTGTAGTGGTACAGGTGGTTGTTTTTTTTTTTTTATGCATTACAATTTAAAAAGATAATATATTGTGGTTTTATAAGTATTCAGTTTAGATCGCTCATGTAAACAAATATGAACCAATGAAAAAAAAAAAATTATTTTTCCATTTTAGTACTGCAATGCAAAAACTCCCCAGTAGTTCTGCCAGTGGTGGATTCTAGGGGTTCGAATAATTAATTTCAAATAAATAAAATGGTAATTTTTTCATATTTTAGGCAATAAAACTTCCAATTTTCTTCATATTTTTTTATTTATGCTTGTCTCTTACGTTTCGAGACAATGCTCCCATTATCAGAGTAATATTTTTATTTTTACATTCATTTCTTTGATGTGGGACCATTTGTCAAAAATTAAATATTTGTCACATTTTTTAAAAATTATTTGGTGTTACACATATTCACTGGTTTATGGTTGGGTGATTGGTGTATCAGTGAATATGTGTAACACCAAATAATTTTAAAAAAATGTGACAAATATTTAATTTTTGACAAATGGTCCCACATCAAAGAAATGAATGTAAAAATAAAAATAGTACTCAGATGATGGGAAAATTCTCCCGAAACGTAAGAGACAACCAGCATAAATAAAAAAATATGAAGAAAATTGGAAGTTTTATTGCCTAAGAAGTTTATAATATGAAGAAATTATAAACGTAAGCTTCCTAATAAAAAAAGAAAAATAAGAAGATAAATAAAATGGGAAATTTTATGGAGCATTTATAATAATATATATTGATCCAAGTTTATACCTAAATTTGATTATAATTTTTAATCACTATTTTAGAAATGGACTCTGTATTTTAAAAATGTAGACTGTCAACATATTTATGGCACATTGCATCATTAACACTAGTTGTTTCAACTATTAGTCTGAATTGCCAAATTTTGTTTCTTTTAATCTTGAAAAGAGTAATTAACTGTTAATATTTGATCCAAAGCTTATCGAATAAATATCAGATAGTTTGGTCAAAATTAGACCAAGTGAAGTACTAAAAGATTAAGAGAATATTAATATCAAATCTGGTTGTAATAATAATACTGCGCTTTCCAGGCAGCCCTAGGTTCCTTATCATTTCAGTGACTCATAGATTGCCAACCTTTACAACGCAAATTCATCACAGCCTGGTTTAACATGCTACATGTTTTCTAATTACATCATCCTTAAGTATATCAGTCATTTAAAGTTTGTCATTAAAGTTTCTAAACATAACTTGACAATAGCTTAATTTTTAACATGGTCCTCATAAATTAATTTATATTTTATAAGTTATATAATGTTGTAAAAAACATTATTTTGTATATTATTTTGTACATTATTGTTATTCTGAAGGGACTTAGTCCCAGAATAAAGTTTTTTTTTCTATCTATCTATCTATCTATATTATTACAGTAAGGCTCTAAATCGGTTTTGTACCACATATAAGCTCCTGTCATGCTCAAATACCATGAATGGGGTACCGATGGATTCAGAATTTCACGGGGGGAGGGGGTTAGCGAATCGTATTCTCCACTTTTGTTTTTCTTTCTAAAATAAATAAAGTCGATACAAACATTTTGCTAGGCTACAATACTGGAACGGTGGTAGGTCTGTAGATCGATACGGACCAAATTGGATCTTGAAGATTTTGAAGCGTAGTCCTCCGGAACTATCGGATCCTGCGTTTTTAAGCCGAAAAACGTACTATTTTCGAGATAAAGCATGGCATAGGGTTCGAATCCACACAACCTTACGTTAATTGTAGTACTGTCATTGAGTTGAGTACTGTCACACTATGATTGAGAGAGGAGGAGTTTATATTATTTATCGATAGTGTTTTGATCGGCAAGCCATATCATCGTCAATTTTTCACCAAATCTCAAGATTGAGCCACCAATTTCGAAGTCTTCCTTCTCCTTCAGGCAGAAAAAATAGTCGAATCACCCCAAAAATTCAGGCAAACAAGTTATAAAAGAAAACAAACTTTATTTGCGATTAACTAAAAAATTACACACTTTTTACTTATGCCCGTGATTATATAAAAGATTACATAATTCCCTACAAAAGGAAAAAAATACATTGAAATCGGACAATTTTTAGCAAAGATGCAGCTTACTGAAATTTGTAAACATGTTGGCTCAAAACAAAAATGAAGATTAAATTAATTTTTGTTTTCTTTGTCGATTATATTCATCGATAAAGTAACATTTGATATTTTTTGATACGTTGCATTATTTTATTTTCTTATTAATCTGGCATTTGATAACAATATCCTGTGCGAATGTTTCGCACGGGGCTACTAGTGTTAATATAATTTGTGAATGAGAAACAAACAATATAAATAATTACAATAGGTGACAGTTTCATGATGAATGCTCGATTCTGGAATATAATTTCGGCATTTAAAATTAGTTGAGGCCAGGACGCCATTACAAGGAATGCCGGACCTCTAAGACAGCACTCATCGGCCAAGGACCCTCAATGCTAAAGCTCACTACTGCATACCTTCCTCAAGGTAAATGTTAAGTGAAAAGAAAACAGGATACGCGAGAAATAGATTACATGCCTTATAGCACAGGAGGATCTACGGGGAGGGGGGCTTTCGGACTGAAGCCTCTCCCCCCAAAATGGTAAAATATAACCATGTTTTACAGAAAAAATATTAAAAACTATCTCTTAAAGTATTCTTGTTCGTTTAATCACATTTGATAGGACTTGAAGAACCACTTAAACTCAATTTCATATTGGTAGTTAATTTCTTTTTTTTTTCAAATTATTATCGTTATATGTATATGAAAAAACATCTTTTGGCCTGAAGCCCCCCCCCAAAATTAAATCCTGGATCCGCTATTGCCTTATAGGAGTTATTACATTTGCATAAAGTATCCGAGGGAGAGGGGGTGCACACCATCTAGCACAATATTAAAAGCAGGGGGTACAACTTTTTTAAAAAGTCCATTTTAACAGTTTCTGTGAAATATTTTAGGAAAAAAGTTTTACTTAACTGTTTCCGTGAAACTTTTTAGAAAAAAGTCTTTAAAATAAAAGTTTCTAAGAAATATTTTTTTATAAAGTTCCAGGCTTGTGGTAAAAGTTTAACAATTTTTTTAAATTTAAGTTCTTAAAAAAAGTCCCGTTAAATGAAAAATAAACAGTAGTTGGGCTTAGATTAGAGTTATAATTTGTCTTAAATGAATTACACGTGATTCTAATGTAATCGTTTGTTTAAGTAGTTATAATGGTTATAATAGTTATAAAAGTCGTTTTTAGATAGACTTTTTAGTGAAATTGACAGTACTTTTAAATAAACTTTTTTTTAAAAATAAAAGATGGGTAAAAAACCTTTATTGTAAAAGTTACAAGGGAAAACGTTCTAGTTACAAAAAATTGAAAAACTATCGACAATAAAGGTTCCAGTGATACCAAAATGAGGGCCCATTGGAGGAGCTCCAAAATTTTTCAGAAATAATGGAATACTCAAAAATTATTTTGGTGAAGAAGCATACCACAGTACGAGAAAAATACAAAATAACGATGTTGGGTGCCCTACGATGCAACGACCATAGAGACCATTCTATGGCGATTTACGAGCCTTTCACTATCAAGTAAACACATGCCTGTAAAAAATAATAAATGATATCCTGTCATATACTTGAGTTTATATAAAACTTCATTACACTAGAACACTGTCAACTTGTCAAGCCTATGTATTATATATAAATAAAGCAATAATAATATATTTGAAGTACCACTGAATAGAAAGGCGTGTCAAATTAATTTTGTTACATTTTTGACAGCAGAGAAGATATTTATTTCAGAATGAAAAGTTCTAAAGATGAGAAATGCTTGTTCTAGTCCTTTATTTATAAATAGGTACTGTACATAAATAGAAATAGAATAAACTGTGAACTGCTAATATTTCTTTGTAATTTCGTGTTGCAACACTTTCTTTGATATTACAAATATGATGTTAATTATTCTAGAGTGATGCAATGACACATTGCTGGGAAAACCCACTCAAACTAAATGTTTGTCAGCAATAAATAAATATGTCCCATGCGAGCACTATAGTCAAGAATACTCAATTCGTACCTAAAAATATTTTCATGCCGATCCAAATATAAGATTTTGATTTTTTGTTTTGCTATAGTAAAGAAAAATGGAAAAAGGGAGATATTTATAATATTTTCAATATAAAGAACTAATTGCAAGCACACAGGCGGATCTATGAATTGCTCTCAATTATTATCTTTTTTTTATTAGTCTTTATTTGTTATTGTGAATGATCCAAGCAAAATATAATCACAATATGTTCTATTTTCTAAATTAAAATGCATATATAGCTACTAAATATACCATTTCTTATGAAAAAAAAAATATTACAAAATTATCTCTAAAAGTATAATTGCTCTGTAATTGCAGTTTTTTATTACTTTTCAAGCTCTACTAGGCAAGGAAAGTATTATCGTTGGGTAAAAAAAAAAAAAAAAAAAATTACGTTTCAGAACCTCTTGAGTTACGGAAAATGCTAAATATAACTTTTGGAAGAATTTGATAATTAAATAAAGGAGAAAAATACTTATTTAGGTTGAAAATAAATATTCGGAAAAAATAGTCAGAAGGTATACGTATCTTTGGAAATCGGAGATTTAAAAAAAAAAAAAATGTATATAATATAGAAAGTTGTTGAAGGTAACCGAGAGTGACGAAAAAAATATAAATAATAATTTCTAAAAACTAATATTATTTAACGTAAATCAGGTATTTTAAAGGAAATTAAATGAAAATTTTTTTTAATAAACTCTTGAGTCCGAAAAACACATTTTCAACTATTGTCTGTAAGTCTGTGCCAAGATTATCTTGGGAACTACTCGACCGATTTTATTGCGTCTTTTTTTATTTTGTAGGACTTTAAAGTTACTCATTAGCGGATCCAGGATTTAATTTTGGGGGGCTTCAGCCCGAAAGCTTGTTTTTTTTTTCATAAAGATGATGGTAATTACTTTGGAAAAAAAGAAAGAAACTAACTATCTATACGAAATGGTGTTTAAGTGATTCCTTAATTCCTTTTAAATGTAATTATACGAACAATAATACTTTAAGAGATAATTTTTAAATATTTTTGTCCATAAAACATGGTTATATTTTACCATTTTTTTGGGGAGGGAGGGGGGCTTTAGCCCAAAAGTCCCATTCGTAGATCCGCCCGTGCGGTTACTCATGCTTGTGACACAAATTGGATTTTCCATGCGCAATAAGTGAAAAACATGTCTTTCTATACAGTGTAGCGCAAAAACGGCTTTAACGATTTTGATGAAGATTGATTTCTCTACAAAGCTAAATAAAATTGTAGTGTAGTACGCGCATCACACAACTTTAACTTATCAACTTTAGAGTAGATAAGTATTTTCTTGCAGAAATTCGAAGTGAAAACGACGATATAGCTTCATTTAAAACAATTAATTAAAATGGGTGATAAATATTCGGCAAGAAGTCATTATAAGGTTTTTATTAGTGCCGACGTTTCAACCCAAATATGTGGGTCCTCATCAGGGCGTGCTTCGAGCACTGAAGGTATTCAAGTGCTGAATACCCTCATGATGACCCATATATTTGGCCTGAATATGTGTCACCCATGATAAGTAGAAGTCGACTAATTTCCTTCAATAATAGAAGATCGGCAAAGGTCCGTATAGCTTCCAACCCTTTTTTCCCTTTCATTTACCAATAGAATTTCTTCATTCACAATATTTAATAATTTTAATTAATTATTTCAAATAAAATGAAATAAAGGTACTTGAGAGCAAGAAATTTTGAAAAATCGGCATCTATCTAAGCCCTGTCTGGCTGCATCGATGAGGATAAAAGCCACGGGCGGATCTACGGAGGGGCTTTCGGGCTGAAGCCCCCTCCCCCCCCCCCCTCCAAAATGGTAAAATATAACCTTGTTGTATGGAAAAAAATAATAAAACATTATCTCTTAAAGTATTATTGTTCGTGTAGTTACATTTAAAAGGACTTAATTAAGGAATCACTTAAACATCATTTCAAAAAGATAGTTAGTTTCTTTTTCTTTTTTTTCCAAAGTAATTATCGCCATTTTTATGAAAAAAAAGCTTTCGGGCTGAAGCTCCCCCAAAATTAAATCCTGGATCCGCTAGTGGTAAAAGCTGCTTTAAATTAAAAACCACTTAATAATAAAATGACCTAGAGAGTTTAATCAAAATCGTTAAACTTGTTTTTGAGAAAATCATAAAAATGTTTTAAATCGATGATACAAAGTACCACCTCCGGTTGCCAGTATATATGTACAAACCTTCACAACGCAAGTTCAGTTTCCAACGACTTTTCGTTTTTCAGCTAGGCCGTTCACACATTCACACACAAACCATTTTGTGGAACTTAATTATTTGGACTCATGAGACCTCAAAACGTATATTTCGGTTGAAAATTCAGATTCAAATTTTTTTCTGGATTGCAATACAATACTTATCCTTAAGCAAAAGTAATATCCTTACTATATATTAAATTAAAGCTGTTTAAATTTCGTATTTAAGATTACAAGTATAAATACCAGAAAGAGATGAAAGAGACAGAGAAAAAAAGTAAAAAATCTGGTGACCGCAGCACAGAAATTATTGTTTAACAAAATTAAGCTGTTACAAAAAATTGTTTGATATGAATGTTGTATTGATTTTTTACACTTCTACAAGCCAGTTTACAGTTCTTCAAGAACCACTTAAACATCACTTCATAAAAGTAATCAGTTTCTTTCTTTATCTTCTAAAGTAAATATTGTTATATTTATATTAAAAAAGCCCTCAGTCTGAAGTCGCCCTCTAAAAAAAAAAAAAAAGAAATAATAAATCCGCTGCTGACTAAGTTGATAATTATAATATTGTTAGCATATTAAAGTTTCATGATCTGATAACTAAATATCTACCATTTGAACCAATGCCACGCCAATGGCGGAAGAAATTTCTTTAAGTTGTGAATAATCGGGATGTGGATTGAGCCTCAGGCCTTAACATGGCGGAGGTTACTTCTTTTGACGTTTTTTCTTGCTCTTACCTTCCTCAGTCTAAAAGAGTATATAAGAGCAGATGTCGAAACTTATTGCCGGTTAACAGCGAAATGGTTCGTCTCTTCAAACTTCAAAAGGTAATTACAATATTATTACAGTCATGGCAGCAACTGTTGCGGCCAGTTCTAAACTACACACCGCGAAAGTTCTTCCATTGTATGATAAAACTTTTTGAAATTGTTTATAAAATAATTAAATTCAGTAAATCACTCAAAGACAAGATTAATACAACTTTTATTGCATAATTTATTTCTCTTACAAAATTCATTTTACAACTGAAGTGTCATTTATAGAAAACATGTCTCTGTCGTTGATTAACAAGGGGATTTTAACAATATATATATATATTTACAACTTTTCCTTAATCGACCTTTGAGTATTAAATTTAAACTTCACTATTTAATTGGGAATAAGGTCACTTAATTATTATTTAATAAACGAATGAATGTTCATTTCTTCTGTTTATTGACGTTTCGATTCCGGTATTTTCTTTTTATTAGTCAACCATGGGATCCTCTTCAAAGCTAGAACTACAAATAGCTCAATCGGTACACAATATTACTTCCATATGACTTTAATAACAATTATTTCAAAATGTTTAACCTACTTTTAAAAAATAGAGCTTCGATCAGGCCAGGAACACACCGACAGTCTCAGCACCGTCCACTAGCATATATATTAAGCTACTCTTAATTATTATTATTAAATAATAATTAAGTGACCTTATTCCCAATTAAATAGTGAAGTTTAAATATATATATATATATATATATATATATATATTTTTTTTTTTTTAAATATGGAAAAATATTAGAAAAATGTTCCGACGTTCGTTGCAATGGTTCCTAGGAGTCGAGAAAAAAAAGTTTTTATACAATTTCAGACCAAATTCATTTTTTTTGCGTGACTAGCGAATTTTTAGGTTACTATATGATTTATTTTTTCAAGTAGAGTAAGAGAACAATATTTACTATGGTATTAAACGGATTATAATTTTTCATAAATTACAAAACCAAAAAATAAAATTCCCGTAAAATAGGCCAAGTAAATTTTTGTTGCGAATAAGCAAATTGGATTCGTTTTTACAAATTTTGATAGAAATAAAAAAATATCAGTTTTAGTACTTGATTTTTTTTTTTTTAGATTCAACTAAACCATTCACAACTTCTCAGGATTTTCTCCAAACTGAACAGTAGCAAAATTGTTGGAAAGCTGAAACTTTTGGAATTCATTCATTTTAACCTAGAAATTAAGAAGATTTAAAACATTTTAATTTTATATCTTTAGTTCTAATCTGTTTACGGAGGTCGGATTCGTATCATTTCGTCCAAGATATAAAGGCTTAAATCCTTAATAATTTTCATCCGAATCGGTGGAATTATTCTCAAGTTATCGAATATCAACTTTGTTCCTCTCTAAAAAAATGTTTTCACTCGATACCAGGCCGAATTAGAAATAATATAATATTTGGCAGATAGCTACGGCAAAGGAACTTATTGGACCAACCGACTAGAAATATGGGAGTTAATATTTTTTTAGGTAGATAACTTAAAAAGATAAACTATGATTGTTCAAGTAGTTGCAATTGATTGTAACTAATTGTAGATGTAATCAAACCATTAACATTATTTTTCTGAAATGCGAGGGGGGGGGGGAGGAAAGAGAGGTTAAGCATATAGAAGAGAGTGGTTGGAAGGGGGGGGGGGAGGCCGATGGATTCGCCAAAAAGTCTCGGAAATTTATATTATGAGTGATAATTAAGATAATCATTGTATAACAGTCAATATAATACTATGATTATATATATATATATTTTTTCATATGTGTGCATTTAAAAATATGTAAACCAAACTATTGGATATATTACATATTTTCACTTTTATTTAAAGATTTGAAGTAAGTACAATAATTCTCAATTCTCCGATAATTTAAAATTTCTGCGGAAAATGTGATGATATCTACACGCAAAAGTGGAAGGGTGCAGATGAATAAATCATACAATCCTAAGATATGTTGCTACATAGAATTATGTTTCAATTTAAACTACAATTTCAATAATAGCGACATCAATAATTATAGAAAAAAACAAGAGATCTGGACGTTTTCAGCTGAACTTTGTATATAACTTACCTTCAGCTTGCAATTAATTTACTTTCTCTCGCTAGAAATATATTTATTATATTTTTTTTTTCATTTCCAGCTTTCTTTATTTTTTTATAAATGTAGCTTCTCTTGTTTTTTTATTTTTGTATCAATTTTTACTCATCAGAAATATTATTATTTCAATTTTAAGCTTCTTTCATTTTTGTATAAATTATTTAGAACTTTATTCGATTCCTTGCCAATTTTTATCAATTTATCTAGACCAAGGAGAAATTTATATTTTCTTATGTTATAAATTAATTTTAACTGAATATTTATTTCGAAACACCGAAAATTTATTTTTTTCATCTCAAAGTTTATTTTATGTTAGCATTGTTTTTTATATTTCTAAACTTGACATTATGCTTAAAAAATGCTATATCCTATCCTCCATCCTCGATCATTTTTTTTTTTTTTCAAAATCCTACTTCCCAACCCTCCAGTCATGACTAATATCCTGAATTCCTGTCACATCAATGCACAATCCCTTACTGCACACTAGAATGAATTTCAGGAACATTTCCTTGATAATTTTTACCACATAATAGCAATATCCGAAACCTAGTTAAAACCTTTTATCCCTTACTCCCAGATTTCTCTACCCAATTATTCCTTCCTACTATTGTAATAGTATGGAAAAGTAAAATTGTAAATAGTTACTACTGCAAATATGTATATAAATTATTATAGCGTTCTTCCTTATTTTTATTTCATGTTTATTTTCAATTTTTTGTTTTTTATTTTTAACTGATCTAAATTAGTAAGTAACTTGTAATTTTTTCTATTATTTTTTTTTAATTTTGATTATTTAGTTACTTTATATTTTTGTTTATGTATCTCTAAGGCTCCTTAGCCCACATTATTGTCATTTTATATTATTATAAAGGGTCTCGTCCCAGAATAAATAAAGCATTATTAGTATATTATTATTAAAGCTTAGCCATCTTGTCGACGTTTTCTATTTTCTTAATTGAGTTTAGTTTATTTATTCATATAGATTAATTTTTATTGATTTTCTTCTTGTTCTTCGAAATATGGGGAGGGGGAGGGCAAAGCGATATTGTGGCGCCCTCTATATTTTATTAAGAACGATCCGATCGCCCCCCCCCCCTCAAGATCTAGAATTGTGAAAAGGTTCGGCGCCACTGGGTTCAAACTGTGGCGAGCTGGCGCCTAGTTGTGGTATCAAATCGGTATCGATTCCAACTTGATGTTCGCCAAGCTGTTTGTTTATTATATTCATGTTACTATTCGAGATAACTAATACATGTTGTTAAGATTAAATATTAATAATTTAATGTACTTTATTCGAGGTCCTTTCCTCCGCCATATCCGCGCTCTCAGACGTCATATCTTGTTTGTATTCTTGGACACGATTCTACTGGATGGTAAGCCGTCTTCCGGGATTACCGTTGACACACAGCTACAAGCAGTGGGAAGGTTTTCAATCCAAATATAGTAAGCACTTCATTTCCAATATATTTTGACAAGTATATAAAAAGTTTAAACTACTAAATATACACATTCTATAAATACGTGTCGATTAATACTTTGACGTATTTTGCAGATGCGCTAAATACTCTGGTAAAGTGGAGAGAGAAGTACAAGACTTTCCATAAAGTCTACATCAGTTTCTTGCCCGTCATATTTGCCTACTCTCCAGAACTTATTCAGGTAAAAAAAAACAGAGGTTAGAACTGGTAATAATTTAGTGTGCTAGTTATTCAAAGTATTCAATAATCGATTATATACTAATTAAAAAATAAAATATTGTGAAGATATGATAGGAAGATTTCAAAGAGAAAGCCTTTAATCACTCCAACAACAGTAGCTGAGCAGCCAATTCGGGCATTTTCAAAATAATTCTGCCGTAACGTGAGGTAAATACGGACCATGAACAGTATGTTGTATGCCGTAACATGAGGTAAATGCCGAACATGAACAGTCTGTTGTATATGCCGGTCTAAAATACGGACCATGAACAGTCTGTTGTATATGCCCGTCTAAAACTAACCAATCAAACAGAGGCGGTACACCTACGGCAGAATTTAGAGAGCAAAATATTTCCTGCCATTTTTTTTTAGATTGAGTAAAATATATTTCAATCTACTTTTAGATTGTTTTTGCCTCAATTCATTCAATAATACGGGATGATATTTATTTCGAAATGCATTACCTCCTTAGCTAAAATAATGAAATAAAATGTTGACTTTTATGGGAGGGGGAGCCGTCGGAAAAATTAAGCCAGCTCCTCCTGGCGACAATCCTAGTTCCAGACCTGTGAACAATTAATAACGTAGCTGCTCCAAGATCTTCACCAGATATCTGTTTATGCTTTTTATTTATTTTAGGTTTTTTTTTTACTGTTAATATGAGATGTATTGTCTCCTTTTTTTTGTAGCATCTTATGATTTTTTTCAGTCCTTACAATGCGTTGACTATTTAGTTCTGTAAATGAACAAATACAATAACTTACGAACACAGACACACACATCTTAGAGGGGGCCCGAGTAGAGATGTTGGTACCTCTGTCTGTGTAAGTGGAGAGGCCTGAAAGTAGTTTAATTTAAGAGGTATATTTTTTATAAAATCTTTCTCTAAGGCAGCCAAATTATTCTTGAAACATTTTAATGTTTCTACTTTTGCAAATTTTACTCAAATTATTATTTGTATTTCTCATCAGTAGCGGATTCAGAATTTTTTTTTTTTTTGCCTATTTTATATAACGGTAATTAATATGACAGAAAAAGAAAAAATCTGAATGAATTGATGTTTTTAAGTGGTCCTTAAAGGCCTGCTAAAATAATAAATAAATAAAATGAAAAAAAACAAAAACATATCCTGCTAATTTAAAAGACAGTAATCACTCGCAGAAACAAACATTGACCAATAAAAAAAAATTCTATTTTTTGCGGGGGGGAGGAGATGGGGCTCTGAAAACTTTCAACGGAATTTTGTTCTATAAAGTGAACGAGTGATAACACGTCTAATAAGTAAATATCTATATTCAGTATGTACGTACCTATTGCTTCATTTTTAGTCAAATACGTAATTTGTGCATGTTTGTATTCACGAATTATCAAAACTAGTAACTGCCAATGACGTGGGATTACCATATTCACTGTATTTAATAAACTCTAGGATTCGTTTTGGAATCTCAAAAAAAAAATATAAATACTTTTATCTATTCTTCTGAATTTTTATTTTCACTAATTATTTAAAATAATCTGACAATGAAAAAGGAATTATGTATTTTATTAGGAATTGTTGAGCAAAAAGCAGAAGCACAATGATAAAGGAAAAGTTTACCATACTTTGCTCCCACTTCTTGGAGATGGTCTTATAACCAGCAAGGGTAATTCTTACATATTTTATTTTGTAACTATTTATCAATTATCTTTTTGACATGTCGTTTCTTATGCATCCTCAGGTGAGAAATGGTTTGCTCATCGAAGAATGCTTACCCCAGCATTTCACTCCAACATATTGGAAAGCTTTTTCGAAACCTTCAAGTCAGAAACGAACACTTACATCAACAGTTTGAAAGATAGCGAGCTGACGAAGGGATATGGAGACATTTGTCCTCACACCAGGCGGCTTACGCTCAAATTTATATGCGGTATGGACGAAATATTTAACAGGGATCTCTCTTCCTAGAACGATGTCACAATGGCGAATTTTAAATTAAGTTATTTAATTTAATTAGTCTTAAAAAAAATTAAATTATTCTCTTATAGTTTATAACACTATTGAGCGATATGCATGACCAAAATAGTACCACATAGTAACTTACATAAAAAAAAAAAACCGCTGCAAATGATTTCACAATGGTTTATTATCTCGAAACAATTATACATCTAAAGTAACATTACCTTCCGTGTTACAAAGAAAACAAAACAAAAGGTGATTCCAATTATTAGACTAAACTGTTTTTCTTTAATCATTAGTAATATGCTAAAAAAGAATAGCATTATTTCAGTAATACATTTAAAATTTAAAAACCAAACCAAGGATATAACATTTGGAGTAGAACACAAGTAAAAACTTTTCGAGTTATTCGGAATTTAATTTTACCATCGCTCGTAACTTTTTTTCCAGCTTCTTTTCGTTGAAGTATGTTATATAAATAAATGTAAAGGGCGTCGAGAAAATGACTTTGGCGAAGTTTCATTGAAATCAACGCAGGTTTTTCGGCCACCATTTTGAAAGTTAAAGGCGGAGAGTAATGTCGATGAAGGAGGATCATCCTCGGGTGACTTCTGATTTTATATCAAAATTTGAAAAAAAATCGGTCCAGTAGTTTCGGAGAAAATGCGCGGACGGCGGACGGACAAACATTTTTTTATTCGTTTTTCGAATTTTACGCATCTTGAAACGTGAAACCTCAAATTTTGAGAGGGGGTTATGTTTTTGAATTTTTTGGTCGATCACAATGTTTCATTATTGAAAATAATAAACCAAAAATTACTTTATACAGACTTTCACCATGAGAATTTATACAAATGAATTCGTAAAAAATTAACATAATGTGAAGGAGATTCAAAAGGAGGTGGATGAGAGATCTCCCTTCAGAGATTTAAATTAAATCAATTGAAGTCAAACAGTTCAAACAGGTGCTTCTGTTCTGAAGCTGATGTACAGCCCTATTTGTTATAGGGCCCACACATTTGAACAACAGTAGTTTTCAACAAGAAAAGAAAATATTTTAGTGTCTAAAGTAAAAATGTCTAGAAAAATAGAAAATATTTTTATGAACGATGATAACAGCTACATATATACATAACAATGCGAGAAGAGAAAAATATGGATAAAGAAACATGACCGAAAGACTGAATTAATATATTAAGAATGATTTATATTTTTTACCGCCAACTGGTCAGATAAAATGGAACGAAAATTGGTCCAATCATTCAAAAACAAGTATAGCTTTTTTTTCCGTACATCACAAGATTTATTCACGATAACCGACAAATTCTAAAAGGAGCCCCCACTCCTTAAATTGATGCTAAAGATTCCTTATACGTTTTCTACTATTTTCTCATTTTAAATCCAACCACGGGCGGATCTACGGGGGGGGGAGGGGGGAGCTTTCGGGCTGAAGCCTCCCCCAAAATGGTAAAATGTAACCATATTTTACAGAAAAAATACTTTATACTATCTCTTAAAGTATTCTTGTTGGTGTAATTAAGTTTAATAGGACTTCAAGAACCACTTAAACACCATTTCATATAGATAATTAATTAATTTCTTTTTTTCAAATTAATTATCGTTATATATATATATATGAAAAAAAAAAAAAACTGTCGGGCTGAAGCCTCCCTCAAAACTAAATCCTGGATCCGCTAGTGAATCCAACGTTTTAATTTATTTCAAGCTATATCGGTAGACGTCTGCCTAAATACAACTGATATTAACACAACGTAAAACTTACCTACACATACTAGCAGATCGAGGATTTAATTTTGGGGGGCTTCAGCCCGAAAGCTTTTTTTTGTTAATATATGTAATAATTACTTTGGAAGAAAAAAAGGAAACTAACTACCTATATCAAATGGTGTTTAACTGATTCTTGAAGTCCTATTAAATGTAATCACATGAACAATAATAATGTTAGAGATAATTGTTTAATGTTTTTTCCTTAAGACATGGTTATATTTTACCATTTTGCCTCATCTCTTCTCCCCCGTAGATCGGCCTGTGCCATAAATTACTTCCAGCCCATACCAGATCTCAGGTAAACGGGTCACCTAAAGCAGTCAGACGGTTTGCTAGTTATCAAGTACTCATAACTATGCGAGTCGATGTTTAGAAGGAAAAAATAAAATGAAATGACAATTTTTAGAAGCATTAATAAAATTTTGCTTAGTATTAATGAGTTAGATTTTTCACTGCAGCTCCAAATCTACATGACTGTCTTCGAAAGAGGTTGAATTCGAGACTGATAATAAACGATATGCTAGGTACACTTACGGATCCGGAATTTAATTTTTTTTTTTGGGGGGGGAGAGGGGAGAGGATGAGGTTTCAGCTCGAAAACTTTTTTTACTTTGCTATCTACACTAGGTAAGGAAAGTATTGCAATCGGGTCAAATTTCTGACATGCGGTTTCACAGCCCCTTGAGTCCGAAAAACACATTTTTAGCCATTGGTCTGTCTGTCTGTCTGTGCCAAGATTTTCTCGGGAACTGCTGAACCGATATTGTTGCTTCTTTTTTTATTTTGTAGGGTTTTGACTACTGATGCCTGTGACAGAAATTCGTTGCTCCATGCGCAATAGCTTGCGCGCAATAAATGAAAAACATATTTTTCTACAGACTGTAGCGCGAAAACGGCTCTAACGATTTTGATGAAACTTTTCTATGATGTTCTAATCATTGTCCTTTCAATTTTCGTATATAGACTAAATTCCCGAAAAAAGTTATAAAGAAAAGAAAAATGTTATGGGGCCTTACTCCCTAAGTATATATTATACGGTGAAATTTATAATAAAATTTTTGAAAGGTAATTAAATTACCAACAAAACAAAAAAAAAATCGTTCATTTTGGACAACTGTTAACGAAGTTACAGCGATTCAATTCCCAATGAAAGATTACGAGTTCATTTCCTGGTGTCAGAAAGGGGTGAATAAGAGAATAAAGACGACTAAGAGAAATTAAGAAATTCTATGGCCCACATCACACAATCTTCACAATTTTCTTTAGTTTTAACAGAAATTATTGTTTGACAATACTAAGCTATGGCAAAAAGTTTTTGATCAGCAATATTAGTGAGTATTGAAATTTTTACACTGATCTACCTTAAGCTGGTTTCATTGCCTTAATTTATCAAATAAATCGTACTCAAATCTTTTGTTTGATTAATTTTCAGGAAAATAAATTGAGTTCAATTCTTTTTTGTTTCTTCATGAACCTATGTAAAGATATAAAAATTTTTCTGAAGTAGGTAGGAAAGTCGTGTGAGTGGACACACCAGATTTTTTTTTCTTCAAATATTACGAAAATTACTAAAGAAAGAAACTAACTACCTATATGAAGTGATTATTGTGCTAATGTTAAATGTAATTAAACGAACAGTAATACTTTTAATGATAATTCTTTTAATATTGTTTTCATAAACCATGGTTATATTTTACCATTTTGGTGGGGCTCCTCCCGTGGATCCTCCTATGGCTATTGGTTCTTTAATTAATAAATTAATGTAAAAATTCACTTATAATATATTATTGTTAATTCCTAAATTTTAATTTCAGAAACAGCAATGGGGTTTTCTGAATTAGCGGATTGTAAGGAAGCGGAAGCTGTGATCAAGTCAATGCACAAGTAAGAGAACCGTAAAAAGATGAGTCATATCCATGTTCTGAATAATATAAAAAATTATATAAATGTTCTAAATTATGGGTACCTAGTCTTATATCTTGGAGTAATGAAAAAGGATGGCTGGAGTGGCAAAATCAATGGTTTGGCATGAGAGAAAATAAATTAAGAAAAATCGAACAATATGTTAAAACATCCAATAATAAATCTACAGCTATCACGGAGAGAAGAGATCGTTCTTACTCACCTCATGATTGGCCATTGTCGACTTTGGCATGGACACAGGCGGGGACTTTCGGGCTGAAGCTCCCCCTCCCCCCCCAAATGGTAAAATATACCCATGTTTAAAGAAAAAATATTTCTAAAAGTATTATTGTTCGTCTAATTACATTTAATAGAATTTAAAGAATCATTTAATCACAATTTCGTATAGGTATTTAGTTTCTTTCTTTCTTCCGAAGTAATTACCCTAATATATACCTACAAAAAAAAATCTTTCGGGCTGAAGCCCTCCCACCCCAAAATTAAATCCTGGATCCGTTAGTGGCGATGGATATCTGATGAAGAAGGAAGAACATGTTCCCATTGTGGGTGTATTCTAATAGTACTTCACATACTAACGGAGTGTATAGCTCACGACTCTTACATATTTTCCACAGACCCAGACATGACTTCACGAATTATTAAATTTTTAAAACTATCGACATATATAACAAAATTAGAAAAAACTTCAAGTGGCAAAAGAGACTTCAGTGTAAATGACCACAGTGGTTGAAACACTCAAATAAATGTTCTAAATCTAAATAACATAAAACGTTATATAAATGTTCTAAATTATATCTATGTAGATTAGAGCTCATTCCTTTTAGCTATAAGAGGCACGTAGTTCCTAGATAATTATACATGAAGCTAAATGTAAAAAGTAGCTGTAACATACAAACCTTTAATATGAAATTTCACTTTCGTACGGCTTTTCGTTTTTGAGCTAGACTGTTCACATACATGCACACATATAGACTATTTTGCGGGACTTACCATTATTTGGACTCAGGAGACCTCAAAACATGTATTTCCGTTGAGTCGAAAATTTTCACGATCGCAATACTGTCCCTAACTATACATTTCGTATATAGGTAAATGAATGTAAAAAAAAAACTTAAACGACTTCACTTTAACACGGTCACTGTTGAAAACAGTGTTGCCCATCCCAACCAAACAGTGTTGCCACCAGGGGTGAGCATTCCACTCAAATTCGATGACGCACGCATTCCTCTCTACCACTAGCGGATCCAGGATTTAATTTTTTTGGGGAGGGGGCTTCAACCCGAAAGATTTTTGTTCATATATATAACGAAAGTTAATTTGAAAAAAAAAGAACAAAGAAATGAACTACCTATATGAAATGGTGTTTAAGTGATTCTTGAAGTCCTATTAAATGTAATTACACGAACTATAATACTTTAGGAGATAGTTTTTGATATTTTTTTCTCTAAAACATGGTTATATTTTATCGTTTTTTTTTTTGAGGGGGGCTTCAACCCGAAAGCCCCCCCTAAATCCACCTGTGCTCGCTACCTCTTCTTAAACCAATGCAATGGAAAGTAGAATTGGAAAAAGTGTTAATTATGTACAGTTACACTTAATGACTAGTGGATCCAGGATTTAATTTTAGGGGCTTCAGCCGGAAAGCTTTTTTTTTTCTTCATATATATAATGATAATTACTTTGAAAAAAAAAAAGAAACTAACTACCTATATGAAATAATGTTTAAGTGATTCTTAAAGCATTATTAAATGTAATTATAGGCACAATAATACTTTAAGAGATAATTTTTTCCATAAAACATGGTTATATTTTACCATTTGGAGGGGCCTCCCCCAGGTTTACCTAGAAAGCCACCCCTTAGAGCTGGCTGTGCACCCAATTTGGTCTGTTGCACATACTTTTCACTTGTTTGAAAGGTCCTCTAAATTTAAAAACCATATATATATATAAATAAATAATGACCGTTGTTCAACCAAATATTTGTATTATTTCATTGATATAAAATAGAATTAACACTCAAAGTATAGTCCATTGTTATCTACCGTCATTAGCCAATTGCTAGGATCCCAGGCTGATACCATTCTTTGGGATGGCTGTCAAAGAACTCTTGGACCGTAAAATTATCAAATTTTTTAAAATAAATAGTTACATGGAACACAATGATATACAATTTATAGGAAAGTGGGGGAGGGATGCACAGTAGGAGGTCTGGCCCACAGACTAATAATTATTTTAAGTGATTTATCTGTCTTAGCAAATCGATATTATTCTTAAGAGGAATTGTCTAAGAACAAAGTTTTTCCTGCTCCATTTCATATCAAATAAACCTGTTAATTTTCATTTCCAGATTAGAGGAAATAGCTACCTTGAGGGTCATACATCCTTGGCTACTTAGTGATAGCATATTCAAGATGTCAGCACTCTATAAAGAACTAAATGAAAACAAGAAAATTCTTCATAACTTCAGTAATACTGTGAGTTTATTTTTCACAATTATCTTCTCTGAATTAAAATTTGTGTTAAATATGTTTTCAATAATCGTCCTTTAATATTCTTAACTTTTAATTGTAAACAATTGCTAAAGGAATACAGACCGTTTCATCAATTAATAAAAGCAAAAGCTTAAGCTTAAGAAAGAAAATAAAATATTAGAAAGATGCTCAAATATTCCGAAACCAGTGTTAGGCATCTCAAATTTCAGTAAATAAATAACCAGGATATATCTAATAAAAGAAAGGGTAGGTAACATAACTAAAAAAATTATATTTTAACCTTTTTTACTGTTGATGTAGGAAGGGCTTTCGGTGGAGTGCATCTCAATGATCTTTTCTATCTCTAATCTTGCATTATTTTTTTTTGGCATTCCATTTATTTAAATATTTTAGAACCACTATAAACTTTTCGATATATACTTTCTAATACCCACTCACATCCAGAGGTGGACTAACCGTTCAGAAGCCGTGTAGAACCATGGACAGTAAAGGATGTCCAGGAGCTAGGGTTAACTTAAACTAATCATTTTAGGATGTTTTGAAAGTGAATTACAGAAGTGTTAACCATTCCAAGTAGAAAAAAACCTTGTCTAGCATTCCAAAGATGCTTATTTTGAAAATGGTGCCGATCCCGAATTTCTAAAAATCCTGATTCCAGGATGAATAAAACTTAAAGAGATATTTTTACTAAAAGGTGTTGGTACTGAGCAGTCAGCTTTATTTCTAGGTTACATCCTTTACCAGACTCCTAAAATTATTGCTTTTAAGTCACAAAGTCAAATAAACAAAAGGAAGATTGAACTTGAAACTACAAAATGTTATATGATATCTTTTATAATTACAGTTGATCAAAAGAAGAAAAAGCATACTAAAAAAACGACTACGAAATCCGTACTTGGAAGGTAAGTAATGAGTACATGCATTGAAACAGACTGTTTTACAAACAAAAAACTAAATTAGCATATTTCATTTTCTATTTATAGTTCATAAAAGAAAAGAGATTTTCCTAGATCAGCTCATACTACAACAACTGCAAGGGATAAAGATAACTGACGAAGATATCAGAGACCAAGTCAACACGTTTATGTTCGCAGTAAGTAACAATTAAATTAACAAGAGCAAAGCCGGGAATAGGACCTAAGTCTCAACGGAAAGATATTTTAGCTAATCGATTTCGGAATAAAGATCATTATCGTATAATAATATTAGCCTGTGTCATTGACTGAATTTATGTCAAAACAATCAAAAAGCAGAGATAAATATTTTTAATTCAAGCTAAAAAATAAATAATAAAATTGGAATTTGGCATTTTCTAAATTCTGCTGCCTGGGAACAAGTGGTCTCTTTGTACCTCCCTTTCCCCTCCCCCCTCAAGTTCCGGCCTTGATCAAGATAACTATAATGTGAAAAATTATTGTATCAGCAGGAACATTAAAAATTCTAGAATAATAATTAAGCTCAGAACAATTTATGAACTAGTATTATTGAAGTAATATTACACCTACATAAAAATAGTCGGAAAGTTTATATTTCTTAAAAAATGAATTTATAATTAATAATTTTAATTTGGTTAGGTTAATAAAATATAAATTGTTTTCAGGGACACAATACCACCCAGTTGGCAATTAATTACTGTATTTACCTTTTTGGCAGGTACAAAGACGTTCAGGTAAGTTGAGATTATAAACAAAAAAAAAAAATTTATGTAATCATAATTTAGTATAAAACATGAATGCTGAAGTAATCGACCTACCTATCTTAATATACTCTCTATATTGTTATAAAATTTTATCTAGATTTTGACTAGTTAGTAAGCTTTTAAAAAATATTTGATTATATAATTTAATTTTTGATATACAGATAAAAATTATATTTCTCAAAACAATTAATTAATACAAGAAATTATTAATATAGGAGATGGCTCACAATGAACTTGAGGAGATATTCAACAATTCCAATCGAGAACCAACTCTGGATGACCTTAGGAATATGGAGTACCTCGACCGATGCATCAAAGAAGCGCTGCGGCTGTACCCTAGTGTCCCCATCATAGCTAGGAAGCTAACGGAGGACCAACCTATTGGTATGCAAACTTAATTATAAGAATTTGTTTGATTATGAAAAGAAAATGTTCTTATAAAAACGAAATTGTTTCAAATAATGGAATAGAAAAAGAACAAATTTAGTCTTGATGTTTCTTAAAACTATTTACCATTAAATAAAAAAACATATTCAGACTTATTCACCAGCCTGTATGTTTTAAACACAACTTCAAAAACTTACAGCTGTATACTGTCAGCAATTCAGTATCACTTACTGAGGACAGTTAGCGAACTTCCTACATTCACAAAAAATTACACAGAAATAAGTCAAAAGTAGAAAGAATGGTACATGGCTTAGGGCATTACAAGGAGACGGAAAAGAATACCGACAAGTGATCTAATTTCATTGCATTTTTACTTAGACTAATGATATCGATGGAAGACATACTGCCGAGTGTTTTTCTTGGCCATATTATAGGTCATTATTTAATTGATGATTTTATGAGGAAATTCACTGACAATAGTAGTCACTATATAAAACTAAATTTTTATAGTAGAAAGGTTTGGAATATAAACTAAGTTTGAAAAAATATATATATAAGAAACATAAGGATTAAGGAAATCTTATATCGACAAATTTTTACAGGAAAGCATATTCTACCCAAGGACACTGACTGCTTCATTATCCCATACGTTACACACAGGAATCCTGAACAATTCCCAAATCCTGAAGTTTTCGACCCTGATAATTTTCTACCAGAAAGAATCAATAACAGGCATCCTTACAGTTACATACCATTCAGCGCAGGACCTAGAAACTGTATAGGTAACAACAGCTCCTTATATATATTTTTATGGATAATTAACAATCCAAAAAAATTAATGCAAGAAATATTTTCACTATCAGGTAAAAGATTTGCAAATATTGCAGAAAAAACTGTTCTCAGCTGGATTTTAAGAGAATTCAAGATAGAGTCTAAATTAAAGCAAGAAGATTTGAAATTGATTCCTTCAACAGTCCTTATACCATCTGGAGGGCTACAGGTCAAGTTGACACCCAGAAAATGCTAACAAAAATAACTTCATCAAAGTTATAGTATTGTATTTTTAAAAAGTGTAAAAAAAATCAAACATATTTATTTACAGATGTTTAAATTTGTATAGCATAGGCAAACAACCTGTAGGAATATGGAAAAAAAAAAAAAAAAAATATATATATATATATATATATATATATATATATATGTCGTTTCTGTTCTACAAGATTATTGTTCTCTTAAAATTGCTTAATTTATTTGTTTTCTTACTATTTTTGTTATAAATGTTTTAATTGTTACCATGACAGAATATAAAGATTTTTTATATTTTACTTTATGTTAATTATTTTTACTTGGTGCTCATTTACTAGAGGAATTTATTTTTTTATTTATTGCTGATGTTCCTATCTTTTTTATTATTTTTTTAGCTAAACAGTTTTGTTTCATTTCTTATTTGTATTGTATATAGTTATAAGTATTTTGTATAGTTTCATTAGTTTGTTTTGTATATTTTGTTAGTTTACATGAGGCATTTTATATTTTTAATGTAGTTCTCTTGGCCAGAAGTATTCTTTTGTTCAGTAACATTTTGTTATTCTTAAGGGACTTTGTCTCAGAATAAAGTTATTTTTCTATTATCTCTCTTTCTAAATATATATCCAAATTTTATAATTTATTTCTAAAATTACAGTTCTATTGTTGTAAAAAAATATGCACTATCATAAATATATACATTTTTTTTCCGTTGGCATTACAGACATTGTAGATTTTTTGTTGCCTTAAACAATCTTCATCTCTGCCAAGCTTGGACTATTTATTTTACAACATTAAACTACCAGAATTACTACAAAACATAACGAGTTAATTAGAAACTATACACAACTTCAGGAAAAAAAATTATCTATTTTTATGAAGCTCAGTGAACTTAAAAACTAAAAAGGTATTAAAATATTAAACTGTTCAACCAAAAATAAAGAAGTAAGAGTAAATGCTACTTAAATATAAAACACAAAGTCAAGTTCAAAGGGAAAAGAACCAGGTGACGCCTTTTATCAAGTGATTTAAAGTAAAATAAGTATTTTCCAAAGAATTAAAACATGAAAACATATAGCATTATAGTTTTTAATTTCTTATTTTACATTCTGTTTCTATGGAAGAATCCAGCTGTTCATTGTGAATTTATTTATACCAATAACTTTATCAAAAAGGAAAGGTAACATTCTCTGTTTCTTTAAATCAGCTGACAAGTTATTATGTACCTTGATATAAATGGTAACAATGAATACATAAATCACCTATTTAGTTCTCTTCATAAATTATCTTAAGGCCTAAGAGATCGATTATAGTAAAAAAGAAGTAAAATATCATAAGTGTGTGCTCGCACAACTTTCCTTACCGCCTTGGGTGCAAACTTCAATACAAAATTAATTATTAATAAAAAAATAATTTTCATTTATTCAATAAGGATAATAAGTGCTTGCCTTATCGCTTACATCTGGTTCTCAGAGAAATATTCAAATTCTGTGGGATCTACTGCAGAATGTTTAAAATATAATTTTGAAAAGGTATACAACAAAGTTGAACCTGCTGATACATCTCCAACTAAACCATTTTTTGAGCTGATTGGTTAAGCAGGCAAGGAAAAAATAAAATCCATCTATCCAATAATAATGGCGCAAATAGACAGACACACAGACCAAAGGGCTCTGAAATGTAGACATTTATGTAAAACTATGAATCAAAATTTTACCTGATTACAATACTTTTATAATTTTGTAGTGGCGTGAAAGTAAAAATAATGATGCTTCAAATATGTATTTAATACTTGCAAATATATATGTTTATACACACAAGTAAGAAGGAGTTCCAAATAAATTTCACACTTTTCCAAATCAAATATCATTGTAATCTTTGAAAACCATCAATTTTTTAACTTTATTCATTTTACATAGCTTTTGAGAAACCATAAAATAATCATATTGAATAATAAATATCAAAATAACAATGTATTGAAAAGTTTATTTGAAAACTTATTTAATACAAATATGTATTTTGAAAATATAGTTATTATTTTTCATTTATTTTGTCAGCAGAAGATTAAATTTTAGTTATTAGGAAAAAAAATAATTTCCTTGGAGGAAGTCGTTTTGTATATATCATATTATTCTTTTGAGGTGAATAAAACATCAGAATTGAAAATAGATTTAGTTTTAACCCAAATAGAAAGGAATACATTCGGAAAAAGTTAAAATATAAAATAGATTTGACAATGCTAAATAGAAAAAAAAAAAAAAATACAAATCTAAGTCTAACCTAATAATACAAGAGAATAGTTCATTATAGAGAAATTAAAACTAATTTCTTTAAGGATACAATAAATACTGAAAACAAAATTTAAATGGACTATCACAGAAGTCTTCTCATCAAGATTTTTTAAGTCTCATCTTATAATAATTCTGCAAATAGAATTTGCACCTAAAAAAAAAAAAAAAAGAATTAAAATATATAAATAAACTAAAGTAATTATGCAGATATAGTTGAATCTTGATGAAACCTTACGGTGGCTTAAGTCCTTACGGTTATGGTGGTTACAATAACAAATAAAAACACCTTTTCTACTGTTAACTCTAGTGGATTTCTAAACTTTATGGATAAGAAATGTCAAACAGATCATTGTTGCGCAGACATAAAGATCAATGGCCAAAAATTCTTAACTTGGTGGGCTCTGCCGAAACACAAATACTGAAAAATTTGACCTGGTTCCTAACTTTGATAGTCACCTCTTGTAAGAATGTAAAAATTATGTTAAATATAAACTAAGCCCTCACAACATTTCACTTGAATCAACTTTTTAATTGATCACGAATCTTTTGACACTAGACAATAAATTAGATTTTAGGCATGAAGGCAGTTGGATCTAATTTTCTTTTACACAATGTATTGATTTAATTTTAAATAAAAATTTTAGCCCTAAAGGTAATGGTGTTTATTTGTATTGGGAGGATAGCAATAGATTTGATGCAGGCATTTTGATCTTATTTAATTAATACATGCCATTTTTTCTGGTAGTTAAAGTTGAATAACAAGATTAGGTTATGTCTGTACTATGAAATATTAGCAATTATCCACAGATTAATTCCTACCTTCTACAAAATGATTGTTTCTTGTAGTAGTATTCATAGTATTAATAAGATTTTTTAGACATATATTGTTAATGTTAATAGGAATATAATTTTTCTTAAAATCGCTTATCCTTCAGAGATATCAGGAAGTATAGATATCTAATGTTATGATTTCGTCTCGAGTATATTATATATTATTAATGTGCATTACCAACAGAGCAAAACAATAACAATCTTACTGTAATATAATATTTTACCTTTGAAGAGATGAATTGAGAAATCCTCCTCTCCAAATCTTATCTCCAACCAGACCTGTAACAATGTAACGATAATAATAGTTGAAACGGGGCTAAAGAATTTATCTAAAACTTAAGCTCGCAGCAATCAGCATCTAAGCCTCACAGCGATTTGTGGTTTCAGGACACAAATTTGCCTTTTATTTTTTCTATTTATTAGTTAAATAATTTTTTGGAGACAGTTTTAGAACACTTTGGTTTTCCTTTTAGTGATGCTATTACATTCCTTATCAAACAGATCCATAATTGCCTTTTCCTTAATTTATGACAATCTTGGTTTCAAGTCATTGTTACTTTACAGCAGGAGGAATAAAAACATTTTTGGCATACATGACAATCTCTAAATTTGAAAGAGTGAATGGATATCTCCTCTATACTATCGTATAGCAACTGAAAATTGTATTATGAGAGGCAGACGGAGTGAGAACTCACAGCAGGCTAAAGGAAGGACATAAGAGTGGTCGGCTATTGACCACTATTGACTATTAACTATGAGCTATTGACAATTTAAATAATATTATTCATACCTCTTTCATCATTCTGATCCATATCCATGCCACTTTCATCCATGTCATCTGGTTTATTTTTCAATTTAACATTTTCTGGCTCACTAGAACAAATAATTATATCAATATCAAAATTGTTCTAACTTTTAAGCTATTAAATAAACAGTGTGTAAAAGAAGAATAAATGTTTAGATAATTGAAAAAAAAGTGCATACATTTGGCAGGGAATGAGAACATAAATGATAGTTTGACACTAATTTAGAAGTATTAGAGCTAAGAATATGCAAAAATAATAATATCTCATCAGGTTCAGACTTTGCAACGAATTTTAAGATAAATTATACAATAAAAAAAACACAAGCAGAATAAATGAAGGAAACTGTTTTAATATAAAATCCAAGTGACAAAAAAAATATATATATATATATGAAATTATGATAAAATAGAAAAGGGTTGATCACGGATGTCAGATTAGGCTGTTGATAAATCAATGATAAGAAATAATTAAGAATAAAATCTAAATATAAAGTTAACATTGGTAATCTAGAAGGGAAAAGGTAACCAGGCAACTTGGAAACATTTAAAACATCCGATACTAAGAAAAAGTGGTTAGAGCTTCATCGCCTTTTTGAAGAAACTCCAGAAGATATAACTTTTGACTCGACTAGGGAATTTTTCATGTATAAATATGATTCTAAAGATGACATGACTAATCATTTACGTAAATTAAAGAATATATGAAACAGTTTAAAACATAGAAATGGGTGAAGATCATGTTAATCCAAGATAAAAATACTCACAGCAATTTTATATCTACACTGAAAAAATGTAAACTATTGATCAACAATAATGTCATTCTCACAGGCTATCAAAAATGTCCTGGGGTCTTATTTAACTTAAATAATAATAATAATAAAAGGCTAAGCTAACCCGAAGGTATGATGATAGACAGGAATGATGACTCCAAGTATAGATCTTTAGGAAAATTTAGGAGGGCTTTTATTAAAGTAGTATTTTTTATTAAAGAAATAATATATTTTACTAACTAGTCTTGTTCCTTTTCTGCTTCCAAGATTCTTTTTAAGAATTCTTTCTGGTTCCTTTTAGCAGCTCTCTCCAATCTGGTCTTTTTGCTATCACCAACGTTAACATTCAGATTCTTCTCAGGTTTTATGTTCAAAGAAGGGATGCCTGAAAAATAAAATGAAAATTTTATTTTATTAAAGCAGTTTACAATAAAAAAAGAAAAAAAAAAAGACTAGAAATTAAATAATTATATATTAAAAGGAAATAAATTCAGAATGGAAGAGATAGGTTTTCCAATGCATCTCTAATGCAAAAGTACAATTTATAAAAAAATAATAATAATGATAAAATAACAAAACTTATTTGTGTTTTAAATACAATACAATATAAGAAATCAATAACTGTGAAAATAAGAAACAGTGTAACCGAGAAAATGCCTGGTTTTATAGACAGAAGAAAAATAAAAGATGATGCTATATTTGATTAACTTAAATATAATTTATTTAAATCAATGTTATTCATTAATATAAAAATGAACTTAATTTTTGATTGATGGAATTCATCAATCCTTAAGCTCTTTACTTAGCTGTCCAAATTTGTGAGGTGTTTTTCTCTTTGTTCTTTAAAATATATATGGTATTAATAGGAAGACAATATTAAGTTTAGAAACATCAGTTTCTCATTTGCCGCCAGCTAATGATTTGATGATTTTTACTTTTCGTTAATGGATTAATGTCTCTGAGACATTATCAAAACTAAACTTGAACAAACATCATACACCACAAAAAGAAAAGGTTAAAATAGAAAAACAAAAAAAAAAGTGAACAACCAAAATTTATAGAAATATTTTTATCTTAGTTCCTCTAAGTCTCTCATAAAAACAATATTAAGTTATCAAGATTTTTCTGTGTGGAATAATAAGAATTATTGGACTTTTACCTGGCAACCATAATTAAAAAAATACTGATGGCACCAACACATATTGCTTTCATATAAATTAAATAAATTTTTCTGGGGACCAGTGAATTCATAAGAATTGTCAGGATATACAAATAAGTGGGATACTGGAATTGAATTGAATAAGAAACCACTAAAAACCATAATCGTAAAGACATAAAATGTTTTTTAAAGTTTGATAATTAGAAACAAATATATCAATGCTGAATATTATGATTTTTAAATTTACAGACTCATGATGAGATCCCGTAAAAATAATCAATAAAGAACTTTTCATAGGATTAATAATAGACCAATACATACATATAAATTTGTAAGATTACCAAAAACAGTACAGATGAACAAAACAATAGTCAAATTTGTAAAATAGAAATAAGTTATTTTTAAAACAACAGTTTTAAAGCACAAAATAACTGTGACAAAAATACTTACAATCACGTTTCAATAATTTTGGAAGTCGATTTTGAATTTTGGCTTCTATTGCATCTTCAAAATTTGGTGCCTTGTCGCACGAAGATATACTGCAAACACTCCCAGGCATCTAAAATAAAAAAACAACTACAGAACACATAAGGCAGTTTCCCCCTAAACTTATATTAATTTTTTCCTAAGAAATTATTGAATTTACTACTGCGAAATTGTAAATTCCATAATTCTGCTTGGAACTATAACTTTCACCATTCCTACCTATGTAAACCTAAGGCAATCGTAATAATAATGTCTAATATTGCTACATAATAAAAAAAAATGTTAATAACACCAACGAAAAAGGTGCTTTGTTCAGATAGACTGTTAACATTACATTACTTTTCATAACAAAGCTGTCCATTGACAATTATTGTAAATTTAGTTTTTCATGAAAATAAAGCTGTCCATTGTTGCTCACTATAGAAATAAACAAAATTGAATAAATTATAGATATCAACAATAAGATGATTTCATGAAACAGCACTGGTCACCAAATATTTTCTCAACAGGATTTTCCATGCTTAACTTCCTCATTTTTCAATAAAAAATAAATAAGAAAGTAATATTTAAATAATCATTCTTATTTAGAAACGAAATTAGCAAAGAAAGAATGTCTCATAGTAAAATATTCGTAATTCAATAAACCATCAGATTACTAATACTTATTAAAGAACTAAAACATGAATTCTGGAATGATTCGATAAAACAAGAGTCCGATTTGAATAATTTTTAAAAAAGTAATTTAAAATTTCTTCGACTTAGTGAAAGATTATGAATTTTTTATAATGCATCATACTAGCTTTCCCTTATTTATAAACCTCTATTTTGACTGAATCCTTGTCATTATTGTTAGCAGAATGCTAAACTATTTACATTAACCATGAAAAATTTGAAAATAGACATGTCATGTTTTGACAGATCACGTTTAGTTCTTTCTAGATTTAGACGGAATCACAACAATATTTAAAATTTCATTCATTACCTCTGATGATTTTGAGGGAATTTCTAGGGACGAATTCACTAATTGATTATGCTCCTGAAATGGATTCACATTAATACTAACAATTGAAATAATTTTCATTATTTAAAATGAGGAAAAGTTACCTCCTTTTCATTTTTATCCAGCATCCGTTTTTGTCTTGTACTAACTGTTATATTGACACCTCCATCTTTTAAATTCAATGTGGGTATTACATTTGGTTTCAAAATTGCTTTAAGACGAGACCTGTAATATTTGTGATGAAAATTGAGCTACAATAAACCAACATTCAGATACATATTATACATAGTCACCTGTTCAGTAGTAAAACTAATGAGTAAATATTATATAACATAGTGACACGTCACTACTTTTAATTTCTGAATTGCGCCCATAAAAAATGTGTAATGTTAAAACAAAAATATACATATTAATACAAACCCCAATAGTTCTCCCTGGAAGTCTCTTTCGAATTCCTCAGGTTTAAAATGTACAGAACATATTCTGGAAGAATCAGGGTTAAACTGGTCTTCTCTTCGACATTTCAAAATCCAAATTTTCCTCAATTTTTTATCACGAGGAAATCTAAAAATAAAAAATGTTTTCCATTATTGCTAGAATAAATAGAAAATTGAAATTTACAAAGTGAACATTACTTAGACATAAACCCTCAATCCTCTCTAAAGTGAAATTTACAAAGTAATTGAATATTGGCTCTTAACATAAACAAAACATCCTCAGATTACACAGTTTGAAATATATATAATTTAAATCAATTAAACTAGGATTATAATAATTAATCAATTAAGACTGACCTGTGAAATGATATATTTGGACATTTGCCACTGTTTTTACAAATTCCAACGGCACAAGTTTTTCCAGACATTTTTGAAATTACCACAAACTACAATAACATCCAAGAACACAATACCTACCTCAGGTCAGCAACTAACTAGGGATGGGTCGGATTGTATGTATCAGATACTTTTATCTGATACTAAAAAAGTATCTGATACAACCAGTAGATACAACCAAAAAGTATCTGATACAAAAGTATCTGATGCTCACATGGATACAAAATGGTTGTCCAGACATGCCACATTGACATAAGAGAAATGTTTAGTTATAATTTTAGTTGTGCACAATTTTTTTAGAACTATCTATTCATTTAGTTTAATTTAATTAAATATTTATTTGTAGATAAATATATTCACGCTTATTTTTTTTTTTTTATGTAATGTTAATTTCAGATATTTTTATCTGATACTGCTATCGGATATTTTTATCTGATACTAGTATCAGATACTTTTATCTGATATTTGTATCAGATATTTTTATCTGATATTTGTATCGGATATTTTTATCTGATATTTGTATCGGATATTTTTATCTGATATTTGTATCAGATATTTTTATCTGATACCCGCATCGGATACTTTTATCTGATATTTTTATCTGATATCTGGACTAGATACACAGCGGTATACATACTGGCGCTTGGGCTTTTTAGTTAATATATAATAGTTCTAATGACTGTATAGTTATGTCAGGTACTAAGAAAATATTTACACAATTTTTTAAACAAAATATGCTTCATATTTGACAAAAGAATGGAATATATTAAATAAAAATATAACAAATTCATGCAGAGGAAATATTTTCCTAATACGTTCTTAAGAATTTTGTAACAATTAAAAAAATTCTTTATAGTTAAGTTTAACATACACACACACACAAACACATATATATATATATATATATATATATATATATATATTCTTTTTTTTTTTTTTTTTTTTTTTTTTTTTTTTTTTTTTTTTTTTTTTTTTTTTTCTGTTTGTATTACAGACCATGTAGATCTTTTGCCACCTTAACAAGTATGCTCAATCTCTACCTCTCTTGGGCTATTTCTTTCCATTATCTGATATTTGTATCGGATATTTTTATCTGATACTCGCATTGGATACTTTTATCTGATATTTTTATCTGATACCTGGACTAGATACCCAGCGGTATGCATACTGGCACTTGGGCTTGATATCTCAATAATTGTATCAGATATTTTAATCCAACTGTAACTGATTATTGATCGGGTTTGATATTTTAATACCTATTTGATACCTAATAAAACATACATTAAATATGTACCTATATATATTTTATTCCTTTATTATTGAATTTATCCCTGTAATAAATATTTTACACCATTTTTAAATATAATAGTTCTAATGACTTTATAGTTATGTCAGGTACTATGAAGATATTCACTATACGATAGCTAAGTTTAACATACTCACACACACATATATTTCTTTTATTTTCACCGATCAATCTACATCTTGGGATTTAGATTATATAGGACTTGTATAATGTTTACAATACTATTATTGTATTCTTTGAACATATTAAATTACATATATAAATCATTTAATATGTAATATGTAAATATTTATCCACTCTTTTATTATTATTTTTTTCATTAATACAATATTATGACAACAAAAGTAATTTGTCGTTCATTTCAAATTTCAGTTAAAATTCCATAGTTCATTGTTGTTTAGTAACTATCTTGCTGTATTGGGACCTCATTGCTCATATTATGTCTTTAATATATCAGTATAGTTATGTAAATCCTTCTGTTACTACTTATTTTTTAGTTTTTTTTTATTGTAATATGCATTTTGGCCAGATGTTATGTTAATTTTTATGTACAATATTGTTATTCTCAAGGGACTTTGTCCCAGAATAAAGGTGATTCTTCTATTCTATTCTATATATATATATATTTTTATTTTTTCTGTTTGCATTACAGACAATGTAGATCTTTTGCCACCTTAACAAGTATGCTCAATCTCTACCTGTCTTGGGCTATTTTTATTATAGTAGGCAAAAGACCAAGTCGAAGGCCAAAAAGCAGATGGATAGATAGAATCAACAAAGATACAATAGAGCTGCGTGCAGATAAATGGCAAAAAATAGCCCAAGACAGGCAGAGATTGAGCATACTTGTTAAGGTGGCAAAAGATCTACATGGTCTGTAATACAAACAGAAAAAATAAATATATATATATAGAATAGAATAATCACCTTTATTCTGGGACAAAGTCTCTTGAGAATAACAATATTGTACATAAAAATTAACATAACATCTGGCTAAAATGCTTATTACAATAAAAAAAAACTAAAAAATAAGTAATAACAGAAGGATTTACATAACTATACTGATATATTAAAGACATAATATGAGCAATAAGGTCCCAATACAGCAAGATAGTTACTAAAAACAATAAACTATGGAATTTTAACTGAAATTTGAAATAAACGACAAATTACTTTTGTTGTCATACCATTGTATTAATGAAAAAAAAAATAATAAAAGAGTGGATTAATATTTACTTTAAATGATTTACATATGTAATTTAATATGTTCAAAGAATACAATAATAGTATTGTAAACATTATACAAGTCCTATATAATCTAAATCCCAAGATGTAGATTGATCAGTGAAAATAAAAAATATATATGTGTGTGTGAGTATGTTAAACGTAGCTATTAAGAATTTTTTCAATTGTTACAAAATTCTTAAGAACGTTGTATTAGGAAAATTTTTTCTCTGCATGAATTTGTTATATTTTATTTAATATATTCCATTCTTTTGTCTAATATGAATCACATTTTGTTTTAAAAACTGTGTGAATATCTTCATAGTACCTGACATAACTATAAAGTCATTAGAACTATTATATATTAACTAATAAGTCCAAGACTAGACTAGATACCAAGCGCCAGCATGCATACCGCTGGGTATCTAGTCCAGGTATCAGATAAAAATATCTGATAAAAGTATCCGATGCGGGTATCAGATAAAAATATCTGATATAAATATCAGATAAAAATATCCGATACAAATATCAGATAAAAATATCTGATACAAATATCAGATAAAAGTATCTGATGCCAGTATCAGATAAAAATATCTGATACTAGTATCAGATAAAAAGTAGTAGGAAGGTCATGACCAACTACTGACCCATTTGTATCAGATACAAAAGTATCAGATAAAAGTATCAGATACAAAAAAGTACCCGTATCAGTTGTATCTAGATACAAAAATTTTAGTATCAACCCATCCCTACAACTAACTAACGTAAGCAAGGCCAACGACGTCACTGGTCGTCCGCCATTGGGATGTTACAAAACATTATTTTTAAATAAACAAGTAGATATTTATATTAAACTTTTATTCGCTATATCGGAATACGAATATTGAAATTTTAATATTTTTTTTTCCAAAAAATTAAAGAAATAATTTTCAATCGTATTTTTATCTGAAATAATAGACCATTACACGGCCAATAATATTCAAATATTGTCGAAAATCACAAAAACTTTGTAGGCCAAAGATTTTTACAAATGAGGTATCAAATGAAAGGGTATTTGATGGAGACTTGAAGAACCATAGTCACCTCCTCCGGAAAGTCCATTGGAAAAAGTTATGAAAGAATGAGAAGAATTTTTATTTGCAAATATTTTAATTGTAAATATTATTATCGAGAAACACAGTTCATATTTGGAGGTATCAAATGAATGGGTATTTGATGGAGACGTGAAGAACCTCATCCGGAAAGTCAAGTGGAAAACGTTATGAAAGAAATAGATAAATTTTTATATGCAGATATCTCAAACATTTTTTTAAGGAGAAACATAGTTCATATTTGTATTAAGCACCTCGAAGAACCCTCAAATACGAATGTTAAAAGCAATCGGAAATTAAAACTTTTTTGCTTTGAATTATTACCAAAGCCTTAGATTTTTTTCAAAAATCACTGAAATTTTGATAACCATGGATTTTGACGAATAAGGTATCGTTTTTTTTTCTCTCTGCCTTGGTTTACAGAAGCAGCAGTGGGGTAATACGCAGCATTCCACTGCTGGCAGTATAGGTCTATTTAATTAAAATGTTGTTAACATTATTATTTATGAGGTGTAGACTTGTTTGTATGAACACGCCCACACTTTTCTTTTTCTCTATTCTTCCACCTGATGCCGGTCCTCGAAGCAGCTTGTCTTAACTTCCTTCTCTTCTTCCCAGATTAAAATGTGTAGCGCCTACCGCATCTTTCCAGCCGTATACGAATTCCCTATAATGTGGGTAATTCTCTCTGCTCATTAGCTGGGGAAACATGCTCTCTGTCAGCGTAAAATCTCCGTCTCTCTCAGGAACTTAGCTCTTAGTGCCTCATAGGCAGTGCATTCAACGACCACATGTTCGGTGGTCTTCGGAACGTTGCAGTTGGGGCATAGCGGATCAATATTCTTTCGGTTTTTAACGAGCTTCGCTAGGAAGCCCCCATGTCTCCTGAGGAGTTGAGACACCCAGTAATCCGGGAGGACCCATCTTGCCTCTAATCCTGACGAATGAGGTATCAAATAAAAGGGTATTTTATGTAGATGTGAGTATTTGAAGTTAAGTGGACGAAAGTTATGAAAGAAAGAGAACAGTTTTTTTTTGCAGATATCTCAAACATTTTTTTAGGGATAAACAGATTTCATATTTTAATTTATTACGTCAAATAATCCTCAAAAACGAATTTTCATAGCAATCGAAAAATAAAACTTTGTTGCATTGAAATTTTACAAAGGCTATAGATTTTTTTTCTCTAAAATTTCTGTATTTTTGATGACCATGGATTTTTTATGAATCAGGTATCAAATGAAAGGGTATTTAATGGAGACCTGAAGAAGAACAATAGTCTCATCCTTCGGAATGTTAAGTGGAAAAAGTTATGAAATAAAGAGAAACAGACATTTCTAACATTTTTTTAAAGGAGAAACAGAGTTCAGTTTATATTTAGCACCTAAAAGAACCCTCAAAAACGAATTTTCATGGCAATCGAATAATGAATTTTGTTTGCTATAATTTTTCTATAATCACAAAAATGCTGGATATACCATAGTCACATCCTCCTGAAAATTTATTGGAAAAGTTATAGACGTACTGTACTAAGTGGATTATAAAATTTTTCAAAGCAGAAGTTGTTTTTTATTTCTTCAATTTATACTCCTGAGTAAATTTTCTTATACTTGGTCCGAAAACTTCCTTTTACTTCAGAATGAATAGTTTCTATATGTAGATTTCCAGGGGTGCCCACCCCCCACAGGATGGATGGGGCAAGATCATATACAATTACACTTACTGTTGTAGGTTCCATAAGTTGTCCCTAAGTCTGAAAATTCATAATCCCTTTCAAATTTGCATCCCTCAAAAATTCAAAAATCCATAAAAAATTTTGATGGTGCAGTTTGTGCCATGAAGCCCCCCTCTGGATAACCCTGTAGACTTCTTTGCAAGAACATGTAAGGGAGACCCAAAATCAAAGGGAGTTTGGGTAAGCTTTGGTATCCTCATAAGAAGTTTGTTAATTGTTTATGTTGCTGAAAAGATATTGAATATAATGGTTCTTGGTACAAATTAAATAATTTTCTTTTATTATTTTCATTCACCATCTCCTTAGATAAATGTCTGTTTTCTTTTCCTATTTTAATATTTTATAAAATGATAAATATGATTTATTATTAAAGAGTGATACTTTTTGTCTAGCGGGCTGGCACGAAACCTCTCTTCTTATCACATCTATCTTATCTAACGTCACGTCACATAACCTCCCTCTTCTTATCCCCCCAAAACTTTGAGTTATTGCATTGTTAACTTTTCAGTTATTCCCTTATTATGTTCACTTATTAAATTCTTTACTTTTGGTCTGTTTCTGTTTATTTTTCATTATTTTTAGTTTTTGGCCCGTTTGTGTTTATTTTTCATTTTTTTTTAGTTTGTGGCCCCTTTGTGTTTATTTTTCATTTTTTTCCCGTTTATTTTCTCATATGGATCTTCTTAGAATATGGGATTTGCATGTGAGGAGAGTTTTACCTCAGCAATGGATGTTTGGCTGAGAAACAGATGAATGTTTTATCATCAAAATAAATGACAGAAAAAAAACAATCTTATTGCAAGCAATTAAAGACAATATAGAAGAGGGAACGACCATTTATTCCGACTGTTGGAAAGGATACAACACCTGACAACTGAACAAAGCAAACTATGACCATTTCCAAGTGAATCACTAGTATAATTTTGTTGATCCATCAACTGGGGTTTATACTCAACACATAAAACGATTATGGGGCTCAGCGAAGTGGAGAAATAAAGTACACAGATAAACTGCTAGATAACACCTCAATTCATATTTGTGCGAATTTTTGTGGCGATGTGTTCACAGAGAAGAGGACCCGTTCCTCGCTATTTTAAATAGCATAAAACAATTTTGCCTTCCAAAATAAATAACATAAAGTGAAAATAAATTGTACATATGTTGTTTATAGTGATGATATTTTTTCTTTTCTAAATATGTTCTTTAAATGTTTTTTTATTATTTCATTTTGATGTTTTATATGTACATATCTTCTTAGTGCTTTTTTATTATTTCATTAATATATGTGTCGTAAAATAAAAGTATTTTTTTTGTTATTACATTTGTTTTTGTATCTGTTTACACTTTCAATAATAGGAAGATATGAAGTAGGAGAAGGCTTATCAATGCATTATGGGAATTATCAGTATTCAGGTTATAAACATTGGCAGATAGCAGTCAGTGCTAGACAAAAAGTACCAAATTATATTTTTTATAACGTAATATTTTTCATCTTCTGTGTGCATCAGCCTCGTCCTGTGTACATTGGGTTCATTTTTGCCAAGATTCTATAATATTATTTATTCTTTCTCCTTTTTAGAATAGGCAAAGTTACCGAGCCCAATGAAAAGACATAGAAATAAAAAGCAAGGTTAAAAAAAATAAAGACTCAGTAAAAAAGTAACAATTTATTTTAGCACAATTGGCTATCGTGCCTATATTGAAGGCCAATGTGCAAATTATACCATACAGCTATTTATCAGTGTACACAATTTACAATTATTTTCAGACATTTGGACAAGATTATGAGAAATGGTTGTTTTTCAGAAAAAACAAAACAAAATGAGTCTATGAAACATTGTTCCCAGCTTTTACAGTTAGATATCATTGGTCCATTACATACAGCAGATTAAAAACTATCAGTTATTTATTTATAACAATGATATGGATATAAATTAAGCTTTACACATTAATTCCATTGCCATTGCTTATCCATTCCATTAGCATTTTTTTTAATAATACAAGAAAGCTACCGATTATCGACATTGAAATTTATCAATAGTCAAGTTTTTAATGTTTGTAAATAATTCATTTAGGAAGTCAACTGTTAGAGAAACAAAGCAGATATAAATTTCAGACAAATTATTTAAACCTTAATTCGGAAATTTTGGTTAAAAATGCAGTTAGGAAATTATTTATTTACATAAGTACATTTGCATTTTGAAGAGGAACTAAAAAATAAAATAAAAGTTTTTACAGAAAACAGTTAGTTGATAGAATATGTACATATAATAATTATTTACAATGTTCATATTTTAACAAACAATATGAAATTATATATGTGCGAAAGACTTCTTATTCAATTACTAATTATTAACTTTTTTTGTAAGAATGTATTTTTTTTTTTAAAAAAGAACACTTAATTTGTCAGAAGTACACAACAGATGATTACAAAAAATAACATTATAATTAATTACAAAAAATTATTAATAAGAAAAAAATAAGGCAAAATAGTAAATAATAAAAAAACATCAGAAATGATCAACTTTGAATTTATCATCAGCATAGTTAAAACTGACCAAATCAGTAAGTTTAAAGTTTTATATTAATAATCATAAATAATGAATTCCAAAAACAGTAATGGGGGAATTCCTGTTTGGTACTAAAATGAAATAAAGGGACCATATTGTTAATAAATAATATAAACATACTGTTAATATAATATATTAGATTTTAAGAGAAATCTATATTAATATAAAATATATTAATTTTAATAAGTATAATCCATAAACCTTGTATCTTCAAATACAGTTGTACATGTTGTTCAAATACATTATTTTGTACATTGAACTTTCATGTATCGAAAAATTCTGTATATTAAAATCTTCTTGGAACCATCAGGGGAAGTTCTATAAAGAGGTAAGCATATAACAATAATAGTCATTTTCAATTAAGGATAACTACAAAAAGAAGAGGAGGCAGAGGATGGCTATGAGGATGAATGCAGCAAAGCAAGACACCAACCTGAGGCTGGAAACAGATAAGGTGCAGCTCCATCAGTAATGTGCGCAACCATCTACTGGGCCGCACGCCGTTGAGAAACCTAATATATGTATTGATCCCTAAATTAAACAATCCTTAATAGATTGTAAAATAAAGAGTAGTTTATTGGCAGTAGTGGGCATCTGAGAATCCTCAATGCATCAATCCATTACTGCCTAAATCTTGTATAGTAGCAATGATGGGCAGGTGGATTTAAACTAAAAAAGTGTGGCATATCAAGGGGCTGGGTGGGCGAGCAGGCTAATGTGTGTGCACAGTGCCGCATTGCCCGGCAACCCGGTTGATAAATAATTTGTGATAAAATAATTACATTTTCCCTGTTAATACATGTCATGGTGCCCGTGGGGGACTTGACTGTTGACTGATCTGACTTGGTCAGTTTTATTTTTAAACTAGGGATGCGTTATGATATTACTCAATCTGTTTCTTTTTCTTTTTTTCTCAGTATTATGATCTTCTTTCTAAACTGACACTATACATAATTTATATAGATACATAACATAAATCTACAATATATTAAAATATAGATCATAGTGCCATAAGTAGTTAACATATTCCCTCACTGTATATAAACAGAAAAGGAAAAACAAAAACATTTGATATGAAACATTTAATTTAATTAAAAATTAGTGCAAATAATAATCTAAAATGCTTGGAAAATACTTTTATTTTTGCTTGTACTGGTAATATTTTGTATTTGATTCCTTTTTTCTAACAATCCTCCACGCTCACTAAAACAAATGGAAACAATTTATGCCAACATGATAACATGATATAAAAGATTTAAAAAAATAGCCACCCTTCATTATTATTCCTGTTATTTATTTTAATTATAAATAATTCATATCTTTACAGTCTTTTATAACAAAGAAGAGGGGTCATATGAAACATATCAAGATTATAATTAAAAGAAAGCATTACAATACAAATTGCAGTATCTACAATATCTGGTATTTAAAATGTGTCATTGATCCTTGGTTATGGGTGGTTATTCTCGGGAGATAACTGATATTATTTTATCAGAAAGACACTCAATTCTTAAATCAATTTTGGAATAATCGAGTTTATAAGAAACTTGTTTTCCCTCGTAACAATCCTAGAGATATTTAATTTGGATACCATGAAGGTACTCAAACAGAAGATGAAATTGTTTTGCAGGTATCGGAAAAGTAGGGATTCAAATTTTTGCATCTCAATTATTATTCATGCAATTTTCACTAATTTAACAAAAATATATTTGCAGTACAGGCAAAAACATTTCTGTGAATGGTTGAAATAAATAATTAAAAAATAACATAAATTAAATACTACTGAGTTGTAATGTAATATCACTTTTTAAATAAAATATATTAGCTAAAATGTAAAGTAATAACCTGTTAACATTTGACTTAAATAAATAACCATAAAACATAAATGTCAATTGTTTGAAAAAAGATCCAATAGAAATCTATAAGACTCCAAAAAAAATTAATGGGCTACTAAAAAAATAAGTACTCATTTCTTGAAGAGTTGAACAGACAAAAATGTGTTTGACTAAAAAGCTATATTATTTCTGTAAGATAAAGTTCTATTATTGAAACTGGATTGCTACTTCTTTAGATAGCTTCACTATTAGTCTTTACATTAAAAAAAAAGTAATTTTGCCACTCTTGGATAAGCAGTAATAAGTAGAGTGTAAAAAAAGCTTGAAAATTTGAGTTGGAATATTTTAATGAAATAAATATATAACAGTATACTTCATAAATAATTGGGAGAATAATTTTGACATATTCCACGGAATATTATAAACAATCAGGAAGACATTGAGAAATATGCTAACATAATTGGGTTGCACTTAAAATATTTTAAGTTGAAGAAAAGATAGTTGGGGATATTAATCATTGGAAGTACAAATTAAAAATAAATAAATTATATTTATAAATTATCTTTTAACTTAAAGATTTTGAAAATCTCCAAAAAGTTTAAAAAACCTTGCCATGAAATAATTAAACAAATACCTCCCAAAAAATTTTAACTTTATAGCTTCGAGGTTAAACTTTTTTAGGATTAGAAAATTAGCATATTTAGAGAAATTGGTAGAAAATAGTCAAATATTAGCAACACTGTTTGAAGAGAACATTATGATGGATCGGAAAAAAGTAATTTTCTATAAAATATATATTAATAAATAAATCAGATACAAAATAATGAACTGTACATAATTTTTGGTACATCTAAGAAAAATATTCTGTGATAAAGCTATGAAATTTTAACTGACTAAACGGTTTCAAGATTCGCAGTTGTGCCTGGAGATACACGATGAGAATACGTACAAAGGTGAGAAAAGGTTGCGGTGCCTAGCGCTCGTCAGCTCCGCTTTGACAAATTTGTGATCCCTCTTGAAATGTCTTAGGCGTTGACTACTTTTCAGCGTCTCGTCCCATCCACGGTCCAGCCTCTCTACATCAGCTCTGCAATACTGACCTCCTAAAATAGGAAATTTTTGTGTCCATGAATCTCATACTACATTATAAATTAGTTACGATACATTATGAATGAAGAAGTTACCTTGCTTTTCATATAATAAATATGAAATAGGATAAAAGTAAAATATTGGTAAAAATAAACATTTGTTTCTTATTTTTCTAATCTATATTTCTTCTCTACAGCACTGTGATATAAGAAGACCATCTGTGAGGTACACATTATACTCGAGATGGTAGGTGTAGAAATATATGCACCCATTTTAGGGTTACTATAGGAAAATAAGAATAAGAGCAATAGTTAAGAATTGGAAAGATTAAAAGAATGAAACAGAATATTGTGAATCCTAAGGCTAAACTCATGGTAAAATGTTAATAATTACAATTAAAGAATATTTCTAGATGCTAATATTTGTGCATAATAAAATGTTCTAATTGCTTAAAATAAAAAAAGTCTCATGATGACTCTGTCTAAGAAGCTAAGATTTTTGAAATACAGTTGAACAAGAAGGTCCCTAAAAAAATATTGATATATCGATCAAATGGAGAAACATATATATTCTGTTCAAGTTATTCTAAAAAAAAAATATTTTAATTAAAAACAAAACCAGTAATTGGGAAATTCTATCCACTACAAAATACAGTAGTATATCTACTGAAATATTTTGGTCGATTGATAGGGAAATTGACATCTACGAATATTTAAACTTGGTGTAGTGGTCCGATTCCTTTCACTACACATAACGGTGCCAGGCAAATATATTTTGTTCCATGTATCGGTGTAAAAGCGTTACATAGCTCTTAGCAGACGACCCAAACACATAACCCTTGTTTCGTTTCGCTTAATTGGGTAGAAATATATTTTGATAAAAAAATAAATAAATAATAAGGCAAGATTTTAATAAATTAAAATCAAACATTTTTTAGTGTTCTTTGGCTAAATTAAAAAAATATATTGATTTTTAAATAATGATTACAAAATGAATTTTTTGTACAAACAGAGGTAATGTAAAATATTGTAGGAAAGTTCTTTCTTGATAATTGACAATCTTGTCCGACGTTGAAGAATGAATAAATAGAAGAGTTTTTTTTTAAGCCTGGCAGTTTATTTAAATTCCTGAAATTAATTAATTAATAATATATGAAGAATCTCAGAAGCTGTTAATGTATTTATGTATATACTTCAAAGCTATTAATAAAGTTCTTGAAATGAAGTTTTTTTTTAAGGATTAGAGAAGGGAAATTTTTTAAATTATTACATGTATTCAATCAATTTCAATATCCCTTAATATATTTCACATAACTTTAAGGATTTGCAATGTTAGCATTCAAAACATAATATGTTAATAACCAAATCATGCTTTTTATAAGTTTGTTGATTATTTGTTCTAGCTTCACATTTTTATTTTTCATCCTGCTTTTTATGTTTTTTATTAATTGGATTTTTGTTTTTGTTTTTTTCGTTCATACTTAATCACTGATATTCATTTAGGATTCATGTTCACAAGACCGATTTAAAGTTAATTTAATTAAAATGAAAATGTATCTCCATGTTAAGAAAGAGATCACCCATGGCTACTGTTTTTTTTTTATTTACAAAGTCTTCTCCAAATTTCCATTGCTTTGTGAAAAAATGAATCCTCTCCCTTATTTAATTATAACTCTTAATTATGAATTCAAGTAAGAGTCCTTTTTGCTAAAAAATATATTTTATAATTTTTAAAATAAGATGTTTTGCTTGATACATAGAAATTTTATTCAATTACAGAATATATTTAAAAAAATAAAAATTTATGGTTTATAATAAAAGTCAGATACATGTTAGTTTGATATACAGAGATTAGACTTTAATTAAGGAGAACTAATTGAAGATATTACTTTATTTTTCTATATTACTTATTAAGATGATATGATCACATGTTTAATATTACTTTCAGTTATTTGGCAATAATAACTTCCGATTGGTAACAATTGAGTATATTTCTATTATCAACGTTACATATTAACAAGTTAGTTGACGTTTCGGGATATTTACTCCCATCTTCGGAACTGCAATCCCAATAATCTTGTGGATGCAAGGCTTAAAATTAATAATAATAATAATGTGCTCCATCGTCAAATTTCTAATTTATGTTATAAAATGTATCATCTAGAGCAACATCCTGCTTTTGACCAATAATTGGGTGTCTGCCAAATAACTAAAAATAAATAAACAACTTCCCAGAAAAAAGTTTAATATTACCTTTACTTCCCGAGTCCTGAACATGACTATTCCTCAGCTCTTGACTATTGGAGCACAAAGGTTTCGTATTATCGTACCTGAAATTTATAATTTATGTTGATTAACTTTACCAATAAGAATAATACTAATAAACAAATTAGTTATAACTCTTTTTAGTGCTAATTTTTATAGCAAAATGAAACAAAATATAATAAATCAACTAACTATTCAACTTATAATGCTCACAATTATCTTTTTTATATTTTTTTAGTTTCTATAAGACATTTTTATTTAAACATTGGGAATATAGGTCTCAACAAATCTTTTCGAAAAAATATACAGAGTGACAAAGCCAGAAAAACAAAAACAAAACCGACTAATAAATAATATTTTAGAAAAATGAACGCACCCATCCCTGTTAAGTGTGAACATGCTACTCTGAAGTGGAGGCGGAACTGCAATTTCTTCTTCATCGTCTTTCCTGTCCATGGACTCTGCGCCATTGCCAGGTTCCCGTGAACAGATATCCCTAAGATTTGGGTTCGATGCACCGTCTGGGTGTCTTAATGAAGATATACTTGTGCTATAATATCAGAAATAATTATAAATGGAAAATAATAAGCTAGAGCTTGATTTAATAATATTGGTAGTTTTGTATAAAGTTTAGAAAGAATGTGAAAAGAATTACAATAAAGTTGGGTGATATTTTGAAATTATCTTTAGTTAATTGTTTGGAAGTCAAACATCATGAGAATCATGTTAAAAACATTGGACTATAATAATACTTAAATAATTTTATTTTTAAAATAAAACTGTGACTGTTAGAATGAATAATATATCAAATCAAGGTTGCGAAGGTGTGGAAAATGAAAATATTTTAAACGGATTAAAAAATAAGTTTAAAATGAAACTGAATTTCATGAACTGGATGGATTTGGGAGTTTAGGAAAGTTATTTTCACAAAAGGAATAAAATTTACAAAAATGGAGTGAGAATATTAAGTGAAAATAATACTGCTTACAATTTCCTGAGGCCATGAAATCGAGTCATGTCTTGCTTCTGCCATGGCATCTTCATTTCATCATTTTGCTCAAGGTTCCCTTTACAGTTATCACAGAATTTTCCATTTTCTCCCTGAATATATTACAATCTGATTGTACTTATATTAACAATTTTTAATTTCTAGCCAGTACGTAGACAAAAATATTGCAAGATATTAGAAATATAGAAGATAAACATTTAAACGTTAGTGGTTGTTGGCTTACAGGAAGGTAGGCAGGCTCGCTGGCTATGCTGTTTACATCAACGTCACTCGGAGGTCCGGTGATGAAATCTGAGAACATCAGCGACTGACACCTTGAGACTGGTTTCATTTCAGCTTTACGCATTTGGTAAAGATCTTGGAGGGCGCTCAGCTGTTCATAATTGCCTATTTTTAAGAAACAAATGAGTTTCTCTACATTAACATACATATCAAATATGTTCTTTTAAATCTAGATGAACTAAATCTGTATCACTTCATATCCTTTTTTTAAATACTTGTATTTTTAATTTGTAAAATTTACCAAAATGTAGTTTTCGCTGTCTATTATTGTCGATGTACTTAAATCACAGGAAGAAATAAATAAAATTATTGTTTAAGCTGAAGTACTGCAAGTTTTCTTTAAATAGTTAAAAACTTAACATGTTTGTAAAAACTATTTTAATTTCTCATATTTATGTATAAAATATATAATATGGGAATGTATTGCAATAATGAAAAATTTCAAATCAGTTTTTAAAAGAAATACAACTTTCAAGGTCTCCCGAGTCCAAACAATTCTCACAAAAAGATATGTGTGTGATGCTTGGACTACAAATTTGTTTATTTTGTTTTGTTTATTTATTATTATTTTTAATTTACATATTGCCTTAGTAAAAATAGGGAGGGGGTAGCTGAGTGGATGAGCAATGACTTCCAGAGCTGAACGTCCTAGGTTTGGGTGTGGCTGATGAACAATGATTTTTCATAAGCTGTGGATCGAGTCTAGGGTCGCAAAACCTTCCTGGTGGCACACTCAGCCTCTATAAAGTGGGTAATCTTAATTAAATAATTAATTAAGAGAAAAAACAAGGCAGTTGAGCATGATCTTGGCCTAATCACTTCCCTGCACAACTGTTGGTCTTGTAACACGTACCTCTTCACATAGTACTGAATCCAAGATTTCATGGGTTGTAATGCAGATTTTTAGTAAAAATAACCATTTTATCAGCTTTTAAGATAATGTAAGACTAGCTCTTTACACTCTGGCATTGCATTATTTTTGTTATGTCTCAACTTAAAATTGATTAAATCAAACATTATAACTTTTTTAAATTCTTGGGGGAGTATCAAAGAGTTGAAATCTGAATAAAAAAAATTGTTTTTACTGCAATAAACAATTCCACACCTGCCAAATCTGTATTGTTCTGCTATGGAATATAAGCAGAACAGTACGGATTTCTGTTAAAAAAAAAAACAAAAAAACTTTACCACTACAACCCATCACGAATTTCTGTTAAAAAAAACCTGCACCACTACAATCCATGAAGGGTCTTGGGTTCAGTCCAATTAGGAAAAGTACTGTTTCAAAGCCAACAGTTGTGCAAGGAGGGGATCAGGCCAGGATCATGCTTAACCGCCACGTTTTCCCCCTTAATCAATTATTTAATTAAAGGTACCCACTTTATAGAGGCTGGGTGTGCCCCAGGAGGGCTTGCTACCCCAGGGGCTCCCCACGGCCAATGAAACAGAATAAATAATTTTTCTGCCATGAGCCAGGATTTGAACGTGGGACCTTCAGCACAGAAAGCAGGGAAGTACCCTACCCTGTTCTCTCTCTCTTTTTTTTTAAACCCGAAAAAAAAAACAAGAACAAAGAACTGACTTTCAGCTTCATAAACTAAAAATGTATAATGAACAAAATTTATAGTTAATAATATAGTGAATAGTCGTAATTTATGATGATTGTCTCAAATTTCGGTTTATTATTAAAGTAATATTTTTCAGATTTATGAATTTTTTAAGAAATTAATTTCTATTGAAAATAAAAGTTGTGCAATGAATTGCATCAGATTTTTTATTATAAATCCAATCAAGTTTATTTATTTTAAATATTGGTTCTTTTGTTTATTTACATAGTTTTCGTATATAAGATGTACTTAGTCTCATGTACTCATCATGTTTATGGAACAGTAAAGTATGAATAATATAAATTGAACAAGTGTTATAAATTTTTTTTTCTATTTTCTATTTACATTTCCTTGCTATAAGGTCAACAGGACTCTCTATCCTCTGCTGCCATTCATTCATTTCCTTGTAGAGGCTCCCGTTCCTTGGAATCAGTTTTTCAAAATCATTTACAACTGACATTGAATCTAAAACATTAAAAAATCAAAATATTAAGAATAAATAACCTTTCCGATCCCAAAATAGTAATTTGTAAAGAATATTCACCAGCAAAAGTAGAAACTACAGTTAAATTTTCTTGACTTAGAATCCTTAAAGGATGTGCCCTCTGATCTACTTCAGGCAGAGGATTTTCAAGTTCTCCCATGCAAAGGGCAATATCTTCCTCTGTTACCTGCGGCAAAGGAAGTATACATGATAATTTCAGAATAACACCTTTAAATATAAATAGTAGATCATTGGTCTCAATGTGAACCCATGTAATTAACAAATCCCAACTTTTAAGTAGAGCCAAAAAAGTTTTAAAAGATTACATTTTCATCGTATTACGCTATATTTTTAAAATCAGTAAGCATTAGAGTTTCAATATGATTAGTTGGTTGTCTGAGGGCAAACTCACTCTGCACAAAGTTAAAATTAATATCTTCAATATCATGCAATTGTTATATTTCCAAGTAGAAAATATTAAGAATTCATTCTTGCTAATAATAAAATAAAACAAAATCGAGGTTTTGTAATTAAATGATTTCATATTGAGAATGAGGATATTCATTCAATTAACTTGAAAATCCATGCAATGCATTATATTATATTTTAAAAAGTAAAGGTTTGTGCCTAATAACAGTATTTTTTTTTAAATGACCGGAGATCTGTAAAAGTATTTATATTTCTAACTGAGACTAATATTTTCTCATTCCCTTATGGCAATGCCATTGTTCTGATCTTAGCTAATGAATGTTTAATTGAAGCTACATAGAATGAAATTCAATCAAAAAGCCAAATTGGCAACCTTATAACATAGAATGTTATTTGATTGAATGTTTCAATTGTTTTAAATCCTTACCTGTAAACAACAATCTTGCATAGGAACTGGTTCCATTGGTTCTTCAATTTCAATTATTTCGATTTCCATTTCCTCATCATCAATATATTCTGGTTCAACTCCAGTGCACTGTAACTTTTCTAATGGAACCACTGAAAATAATAATGATCATTATCAATTATTCTTAAAAAATGAGCTGAAATGTAAGTACAAATAACTTTATACTTACCCTTCGATACAGGGAAGGAGGGAGATGGGCGATCTGGCTGAGTGACCTGCCTCGGTCGCTCGTGGTGCCTGGTGACGATGGCAGTCTGGTTCTCGACCCACTGCCTGATCATGTTCTTCTTGTGAGTGTCCATGAAGCCATATCCTTTAGGACCGTCCACCCACGTCTCTCGCTTCTCTCGGCCTCGATGGATGTTACGAGCCTCGGACACCCTTGACCTGAGGTAAAATGAATAGTATTGTTGTATTATTATAAAATTGGTTGAGAAAAAATCCAGAAAAAAATACTTCAAGAAATAGATATTTAATCTGAATAGAAAATCAATTTTGAACACCCATTACCAACAGGTGAATAACCTAGGACTTAGAAAAAAAGAAATGTTTCCTTCAATATACATATAAATAAGATCCACCTCAAATCAAAAATTTGTTCAGGCTCATACACACATTAAAGAAGAATTTCTCGGAACTGAGCTAAGCATATCTTTGACCCATGTACTATGTCTAAGTTGTGAAACTGAAACTTAAACTTATTTTATTAAAAAATGCACAATTTTACACGTTCTCATATCCATAATTATTTTTCCATAACTGTCTTGAAATGGATTATGACAAGCCTTGATAGGATAAGATGATAGTAAACACATCATTTTAGAATATTTAGTGAAATGTAAATGTATGTATTTAGTAAGTTTAAATAATTTTATTTTAGAAACTTACTTTAAGATCTTAGGCCCATCGACCCATTGTTCTTCAGGTGCTTTACGCGCAGGGGATGACCTAGTGCTGACGGGTTTCGGTATTTTCCTTGAAGCCTTCTCTTCCGGTATAGATCTTTGCGGCGAGGCAGGAACAGATCTAGAGGCAGACTTCAATTTCTGTTCAACTAAAGACCCTCTCAGGGCTTTATTCATTGCACACCTATTGTCTCCTATTTCAAAATATTCTTTAATTAATTTTTTTTTTTAAAACAATTTCAATACAATACAAATGTCATTGTTTCAATTTAAAATTTAACTACAAATTATATTTTAGAAAGTAATTGCTATTTCATTACCAGAATTTAAACTAGGTATATAGACCGGAGGGTGTTCGCCATCTGTCTCTTCGCTAGGCCCTACATATATCACAGTATCAGCTGATTGCTCGCTGCTAGAAGGATCGACGTCGCTGCTACCTGTGGCCTTGGCTCCTTCCTCACCGCCACAGGCTGCGTTGGCTCCCATGAACTAAAATCAATAATATTAATGAATGAATGAACTGAAATCAATAAGCAAAAAATTAATAATAAGAAGATATCTGGTTGGCAGCAAGAATAATACCCAAATGGTAGAAACTAGTTTTGAATAGCAATGTTTCAGTCCACATCGAAGGCTTTTTCTTCAGGTTTACAAAGAATAAGATATTACAATGAAAGTGAAATATTGTAGAACTAAACAGAATGACGTTGCTAATGGAAAAATAGAAAATAAGTATTAATGATATAAAAGAAATGAAAAATAAAATCTGAATTGTATAATTTATTAAAATTCAAATTAATTTAATTGATAACTTTGATTTTTTTAGCGGTTTGTTGAGTACAAAACTTTGTTTTTTCTAAATACATGCAGTGTTAATCTCAAAAAATAACTACTTAGTGCTAAAGTACTAAGTTAAAACAAAGTGAAACGGCACTGAAGGTGCTGGAAAATGATAAAACATTAAAAAATTGTAATTTTATCATCAGTTGTGAAGTTGAGGCCAATAGATATAGATCTAACCTAACCATGAGTTCTAAAGATCTAATGTAAGAGGAAAAATTGATATATTAGCATTCTCAGAAGACTAAATATACCTTATTTTGTTTAAAATCTAGCAGATCTTATCTTTTAGTAAAGATAAGTATCTTTTTGGTTTATTATTTTGACTAATGAACCATTGTAATCGACAAACAAAATTTGTTTGCTTAAGATGAAATTTTCTAAATAGTCATCAAAATCGGACAACTTAACGCTGAGATATGGTGTTTTGAACTTTTTACACACTGTCGTTTTATTGTAAAAAGTTACATTAAGTAACATTTCATAAAATGAAATTTCTAAGTACATCGATGAATTTTCTCTCTCTGAAATGAGGTGAAGGCGCATTTAGTATACTTACTGGTTTTCATAAATCGATAAAGGTTTAATGTGGAAATTAACAAAGACTTACTTAAAAGTTTAATTCCATCCCCACTTAGTGACTTTCTGCAATAAACCAACAATATGTTTTAATGGAAAATCGATTTCTTTTATTTTATAACTGAAAAATTTACATTTATGGAAGCTGTTTAAATTATTTGAAGAATAATTTGATTTCCTAAAGTTTTTTATTCTTAAGGAGTGAATTTTTAATATGATTTTTCTCAGAAGTGGTAAAGAAAGTAGTTTGACACACCACACATATTTAATAACAATAGTATATATTTTTGAAATAACAAACCATTGTGTAATAATTTCCAATGGTTTAATTTATATGATGAAGACTAAAAAACAGTTCAAAAGAGTTTATTTATTGCAGGAAGAATCACCTTAAACCTTTTTCTTCTCATGCGATGTATTCTGGACGCTAGCTGTATGGTAGTCAAGGTCTCGCTGTAGTTAGAAACGAGTGGCGATACATGAGCGATCATAGCGGCGTGGCAGGTGAGCGAGCCCATACACTCTTTAAGCAGCTGCGTCAGCTTGTGTTCTCTACAATAAAACAAAAAACAATATGTAACATATTGAGTGGCATAGACATATATTAAATTAAGGAATATAAAATTTATTTATAGAGCAATCCTAGTTCTGGACCTGTAGTAGTTAGAGAAATAGATGAAGATATATATATATATATATATGGAGAGGAAAAATATATTACAGAAAATTACATAAATAATATTATTTAATTTTGTTTTCAATGAAGTTTTGTACAACTTCTGCGAGTTTATAATATATCTGTTATGTTTAATTTTCCCCATATAATTTTATATTTATTTTTCTCTATTTTATCTGAAGTAAGCTATATTATAATTCTCATTTCTTGTTTTCTTAATCATAAAAGGGGTCAGCATTAACAATAAAAAGTTATATATTGAGTTAATTACTATTAACCACACTCACAGTCATCAACTATATTAGATCAACTTTCAATTATACCTCTAAGTATATTTATTATAAATTATTACTTATAATTATTTATGTTATATATTACAATGCAAACTTAAACACATTACCTGTGAGGTAGGTGTTTCTGGCCATTAAATATAGCTAAGAGGACGTTGCCGATGGCTGAAAGTGGAAGGCCCCCTCCCTTTCCTCTTTCACAGCCGCCCAAATCGACGAGGTGCAGCCTGCTTCTCCCTCCTGCAACTATTTTGAGAAAAAGTCTTCAATAATGATCATTAATTATAAATTTAATAACTGTATTCTTTTTACTTTTATTCAAATATATTATTTTCGTTGCTTTTCTTAAAGATTTATGTTAAATAATGGATTAAAATAAAATTAAATTGGGCATTTTTTGCAACATATATTTAGGCTCCGGCTTATCTTGAATCCAAATTTTGTTTTCTAGTTCCTTTATGTACTTTATGTCTTAAAGACATTTCTGGGATCATAGACTGTTGTTTTTTAATAATCATTGTGCTAAGTTGTACAAATTACAAAATTAAATCTGCCTTTCTCATATATAAATAACAAAAATTGATCAGACATGTTGTTGAAATGAAATAAGCACAAAATAAAAAAATAAATATAAAACATGGGGAATGAGTCATTTCATATGATTAAGTTATTTTTGTTTACAAATAAACCCAGAATATGTTTAACTTATTGATAGATACAGGTTGGTATATATACAATGGGCAAAAAAATATTTGTACACTCTGTTTTTTGGCAGAAATGGTTCAATATCATTTTTTAAACTTGAAATAATGGCAGATATCAATTACAAACTTTATTTTGTGTTAATGTTATATAGACCCAACATTTAAAATCTCATATGACTTTTATAACATTAATATTTCATTAACTTGTACACAAAAAAAGTATTCATATACTAGAGGGAGTATTAATGATACAATAATTTTTGTTATAAAAACAGTGTTTTAGCATCCTATATTTAATACTTTGCTCCTGAGATTTTAACAATAAAATTGCAAAAGAAATCACTTGTTCAGCTCAGTACTAAGGAATATTTCTCCGGCAATGGGTCATAGGTCCAAAGAATTGAATTCTCATCTTAAAGATGACATTGTAATAAAGTTTGTTGAATATTGGAAAAAGTTCGGAATACCTCATACAATGGAGCATTTCATTATAAAAAAAATTAAAAACGGATCAGTAAACATTTTTTCAGTCCTTATCCTAATCATTTTGCACATTTCACTAATAGTTAATTTTTTACCGTTTATTTAATCATATAAACCCTGTCCAGGAAGAAAACACTTGTTGACAGTGCGAGAATCTTGTGTAATTGTACGTACAGGGGCAAAAATCCCATGTTAAGTGCTTGAGAGGTTTCGGCTCACATTAGGTCAGCTTATGGGAAATCTTTAAAACTCCAAACAATGAGAAATCGGGTACATGAAGCTGGCTTGAGAGGTAGAGAGATAAGAAATAATCTTTTATAAATGGAAAAAAAAGATTGGAGTGTGCCCGAGAAAATGTAAATAAACCCTACACGTATTGGGAAAATGTGTTGTTTTCAGTTAACAGCACGTATAATATATTTGGATCTGACGGAACAGAATATATTTGGAGGAAAAAAGGAATTTGAACCCCAAAATCTACAACCCACAGTGAAGCAAGGAGGTACCTACAAAACACTAAAATTAGTTGTTACTGAAATTTATTATATTTGCTATGGATAAGTTATAATATTCTTTGGGTAAGAATTTTTTTTTTTCGCTTCACATTTGTATATTTTTCATAAAATTTTACTTTTTTTGTACAATTAGTGCAAAATGAAATTTCTAGTTGTTATCTATAGTTGCTTTGTGATGAAAGTATAAATAAAAAGATTTTTGATAAAAAAAAATGGTGTACGAATACTCTTTTTGGTTTTTGGCCACTGTATATATGTATATATATACATTTCCATTGATTTGTCTGCTTTTGAAGTTCCATCACATTCTTAAAAAATGCAGACATGGTAAAGTAAGGGTTACCATTATTAATTAATTTTTTAGCCCCTGAAAAATAGAGGGAATGTTTTACATAAATTTAGCTTTCTTGGAGTTTTAGAGATGAACAACTCGTTGCCTCAATTGCTGAGGTAAAATTTCTCAGGAAATTATTTTAAGTTTTCCTCTTTTTTTTTTTTTTGCTGGACTAAATGAGTTTTTGTCAAATGACTGGAAATAAAAATCTGTCAATAAAACATTTGAGTTATAGAGGATTAAGTTATTGAATCATATGAATAACTATAAATGAAGAAGGTATATATGAACTACAGATTTACTTCATTAATTTTAACAAGTGTTTTAAAATAGTGTTACATACTTTTGATAAGCAGTGGTTTGTAAAACTCATAACCACATACTAAGTGTTTTATCCAACTTTGAAAAAAACAAAAAAACAAATAAGATCTATCAAAATATAAAAAGTTTATCTTTTTATATTTCTACTTCTTGCTATTGGACTTATAGTTCACCATCGTAGATATGTTGAAGAGACATTGATTGGTGTGTTCAGTAAAAAAAAAAAAGGACGAAGTCAAAATAAATAAATTAATTTTATTGGTATATTATCTTGGAAAACTTTGACTTATTACTTTGGCACAAGGATACAAAAATGAATATAATTTATTTATTTTTACTTAATCGTCTCTTGGATTAGTGATCAGAAGTTGAAGACCAAGACCAAGACTTACCTCCACCCTTGCCCGCTACACTATACTGATAGACATGGAGGGTGTAGAAGAGGTGAGACTGTTCTGACGACCGTCCTCCAAGAGCTGTGTCCAAGAAGAAGGCAGCTTTTTCAGGTGTCGGGGCTCGTAATTCACAACAGCTCTGTAAGGCTCCCTCGCAAAGGTAGAGGCTAGAAGCCTGGTCAGACTCTACAAACAAAAGATTATTCATTCATAACTTAACAAAATCATAAAGTTTAATCACAAAATACATACGTAAACCGAAACTTGTTTATTTTGAGTCTGACGGATTTTATTAATAATGGTATCAATGTTTATAAGAAAAATATAGCACTTAATTAATGTAAAATCAAAATGATGCATCAAACTTAAGTATATGATCTAAAGTTATTTTTAAGCTGACAATCAAAAATATATACTATAGTTTATTGAATTGTCGTTTTGGAATTGCATGAAGACAATTTTATCATACTTTTGAGAGAGAAGTGCATATCAAAGAAAGTAATTTAAGTAGTGCTTATGGGCTGATAAAGCATATACCATTTAACAACTTCAGTCACGATAATAGATTTAAATAATTAAATATTAACGTGACCTATTTATATGTGGAGAAATGTTATTATTTAATTAGGGTGGTAAATAGAAAGTTGTATGACACATCTTACACCAGATTATTTATTAATGAAATATATTCCATTCACTATTTTAAAAATACGAACCAGAATATAAAAATCATAAATTAAAAAAAAAAAGTAATCTGTTTCATGAAAAATATTACATTAAATATGTACATAAAAAATGTTTACTCAAAGCTTAAAAAAATAATAGAAATAGTAGTCATTGTTACAAATATATGTTTGTGAAAGAAATTAGTTTTGCCCCTTGAACTAACTTTTGTTTTAATAAAATACAATAGTTAATGTAAGATGGGAGCAAGTTCATGAACTCAGCGCCAAGTCCATCGATGGCATCGGAAATACATCACAACATTCCTAAATGCATCCATAGAATTCAATTTATTCATTGATTGACATTAGAACCTCAGTATTGTTAATTCTAAATTTACTTTACTCATTAATGTTCAGTTTACTTTCTCTTTTAATATGTTTTAAACAGATCATCTATTTTCGAATAAGGTCCGAAATAATAAGACATAATTTCCGTCTTGGAAAGTAATATATGAGATAGAACTGGAGAAAGAAGACTCGATTGACCCGGATTCATAAGACACCCTCGCCTACAAAGGAATCAAAGCCATCTGATCTTTTTTCGATAGGTCGATAAGGATACCATCGATAGGTCCATATCATAAGGATAACATCGATTAGTCATCTTCGTGTAGGCGGAGGATCCAGTATAGAGGTGAATCGCTGGTCATCAAATACTGCCTGGGTCGTCATGGCAATACATTATATACACATAGTACTTTATATACGTTAAATTATGTCATATATTAAATAGCGTTTGATTGAATTACTTGTATAGAATGTTGATATGATATGTATTGTCTCTGGCGTAAAATACGTTTTTCCATACTAGTGATGCCTGAACTGGCGAAACGTCGACTTTCTATTAATTGACTGATGCTAGAGAGAGTCAAAGGCTTAGTTTTAAAATTTTTTTCTGATCTCTCTAAAACTGAAAAAACAATCAATTAGAGACAGGAATCCACTCCATTAACAGAGAATGATCCATTCTTTACCGTTGTCTACTTTTAGGAGTATTTGAAGGTGGGTTGTCTCATTTAATTATTGTCATATTTCTTAAATAAGATTTACCCTTTTATATTTTGAGTTGAGAATTATGTCTTGGAATCTTCCTGTTATATCCTATAGCTCGTCCTAGATAAAATGGCTGACAGTCGGCGAACTCATGAGGTGCTAATCTGAAACTAACGCTTTTCTCGTATTACGTGTGTTTCACCACGATTATTGAAGATTAGGAAAAAAAAAATCAGCACGCCACATAGTTTTTCCGTCCTGGAAACCACGATGCACTTTTTTGTCTCAACTCCGCCAATTCGATAAGTTCAAATTTGAAAATATTCAAAAACAATATGAGAAATTGAGCAGATAAATGTATTTTACTGTTTACTTTCCTCAAGTAAGAGTGAATGAAACAACTTATCATCTGTTCTTCAGACAGAAATGATAGGAAAATACGTTCTCATGATAACTAGTTTTTTTTTTTTTTTAGTAAATTCTTAAGGTTATATTACTTTCACTCAAATATGTATTATGTAATAGTCATAATCTAGTAATAATTAGTGATATGAGAAAGGACAGAGCAAAAATATATAGTAATAAAATACTGTGTGTGTTATTGTTTTTCCAAAAGGGATGGACCAGTGTGCTAGCGCAGTGCTACTTTAAATAAAGTATTTATCTCTATCTTTAAGAATCTGAATGCTTTATTATTCGGTTTGT